AAAAACTTAAAAAAAAAAAAAAAAAAAAAAAAAAAAAAAAAAAAAAAAAAAAAAACACTTAATGACGTGTAGTGAAAGCAAAAATAAACGCACCCAAGCTCGGGCCGGTCGCATCGATGAACGACTCGAACATGAGGTACCAGAAACTAAGGCAGAGCGGCTCGCCGCTGGGTTTGATCTCCGTGCTGAGAAGGTAGGCCGTTCCGACGATGGGAGGCGAGGCACCGTGGATCGTCAAGGCAGCGAAGAACTCCTGGCGAGGCCGAGCCACGGGCAGACTGTACGGCTTGCGCTGGTTGCGGGGGCTCAGATTCGACTGGGAGACGCGCTCCCAGGTGACGCGGCCGTGAATCGGTAGCCCACCACCCGAGGCCACGGAAGTCGGGGCGCTCGGGTCACCGCGGCTGTTTACCCACTCGCACTCGTCGATCTCGAAGGTACAGTCGTGCGGAAAATTGCTCGGCGCTGCCACTTGCGGCGACGCTGTGGACCAGGGTTTATTATTGCATTGATTTTTTTTTGTTTTTTTTCATAGCCATCCCTGCACTTGCAATGTACCGTGCGTATTATGTATACTGACTGGGACAGGGTCCAGCTGTGAAGTTGATGTCGTCGATGGCGATGTCCCCCATGCCGGTGCTCCCGACGCTGGCCTCGAACACGATCTGAAAGTCGTCGAGCGAGCTGACCGTGACGCGCGAGTCGAACCAGGAATTGCCCGCGTTGCCCCGCAGCGACCAGATCTCCTGTAGCTGGGAGTCGATGCTGCGCGCGTGCTTGAGACTGACTCGCAGCTCGCCCACGCCCGAGCCGAACATGTGGAAGGAAAAGTGCATGCACATCGGGGAGTCGGACGAGGTGGCCGGTATCGCCTTGCTCGACAGTCTGGCCAGGTCTTCGGGCCTCCGGGGATAGCTCGAGTCGATGTAGGCGTACCCACCCCCTCCGACCGAGCTCCCGAACGCCCCCGATTCCCGATCCATCACCGGGCCAGTCGTCGGATTCCCGCTGCCTCGGCTCTGTCGCACCGGTGTTCCGTACAGTTTAATCAAAATGGGAAAAAAAGCTTGGTGGGGGAAAAAAAATACCACGTACGCGCGTCAAGCCGCCCAGTAACGTGGTAAGTTTTGTTTATGTATACGAACGATGGACCAGTCAAAGTCGTCGTCGATGTCGTTGGCCCAGTCGCAAAATCCCGCGGCAAAGTTGCAGTAGGTGATGCACAGCGAGCCCGGCTGGAGATCAATGTCGTCGATCGCCACGTAGCCCCTGTAGGAGCGCGATGGATCCGCCGGGTCCACCGGTATTCCTTCGACGATCAGCTGAAAATAATTGTACACACGTCACATCGTAATTCCCCTCGTCCCGTAAAAACAATTAACCATGTCCTCAAACACTCACGGTGTGCAACTCCGGGTAGGTGTAGAGTATCTGGGCCTGCTGCCAGGCACCGAGCACGTGGTAGTGGGCGTGCCATAGCAACCGGTCTTCCGGCTGCTTTTGTGCGGTGGCCGAGATCGGACCGGAGGCAACAGCCGCGGAGGACGGAGCAGAGGCGGTGATCTTGGAGTAGCGGTCGCAGGACTTGGTGCCGGGCCTGGTGTCGTTGAGCTTGGCTATGGTCGAGCTAAAGTCGTCGTAGCCCGGATGCAGGAGGACCCGCAGCCCGGCCGAGCTCAATCCGTCCATCGCGTACTTGAACATGAAGCAGGTGCCCTGCACCCCCGTGCTCCCCAGTTGGGGACTGTGCAACAGCCCGTTCGGGCTTATCGAGTTGGCCGAGACGGCCGTACCTCCGGGCCCTGGCTTGATTTTCGCCTGCGACGTCTCCAGGAACGCGTACCTAATTGCCACATTGTCACAAACGAATTACAACTGTATATAATGTTATTATCCGTGGGTGTGCGATGGTGCTTACCCTCCCTCGGCAGTGCCGGCCGTCGAGTCGATCGGTGGCCCGCCGAGCCAGTTGGTCGAGATGCCGGTACCGGGTGTCCAGGTCAGCTCGCCGCAGCCGTCCTGCCACTCGCAAAGCGAATGAGCGGGCAAAGGACCAAAGTCGCAAAAAGCCTACAGTACGTTACGTATATCTTTTTAAACAAATGTTTTGGTATATTATGTATATCTATACACCGAAAAAAAAAAAAAAACAACAACAACAACAACAACAAAGAAGAGAGCTTCTCCATGATGATGTAGGTACGTGTACTGGCCTCGTCGATGCCAGAAGTGGGCACGGGGGCAGGTAAGCCCGAGTCCGCGGCCTCCGACGATCTCTCCTCGTCGTCGTCGTCGTCGCCGATGCCCCCAGTTTGACGTTGACCCCGGTTTGGGTCGCGCCTGCGATTACCGGTGCTGCTGAGCGCCGGTGCCGTTCTCGGGGACCATTTCGGCGCGTGCACGACGCGCGGCTCTACGCGCTCCACCTCGTCGAACGGGGCCCCCTGCTGGTTGCCGCCCCATTTGTCCGCCCTCCGGCTGCTGTCTGAATTTTTTTTTTTTTTTTTTATTAACTTCCAAACAAAAATACGTACCAGTAGCGTTTTCACGCGACAACGTATACGTTTGAGGTTTTTTTTTTCCCCCTGTAAACTGTCGTGTGCCACGCTTAAGGAACTTCTTGACAAAACAATAATTTTTTACCGACAAAAATGGTCCGGTATTTTAAATAAAAAAAAAGGCTCGAGAGTTTGAAGGTGCTTTGCAAGTTATTCAGTGGCTAAAATTTTGTTTGCTCGTAAAATAAAAATTTTTTTTTTCTCCTAACAGCTAGTATTGTAAGTGTACATAGATCATATAGGCGAGGCGAAAAAAAAACAAAATGCCTGTCACTCTAGTATATAGTGTAGGATAATATTTACAGTTTGGCTGAAAAATGACATACTGCACCAACAAAAAGATAAGGTTCATCTCATGTAACTACGAACAAAAGGTTGCGTGAAAAAATGTTCCGAATTGAAAAAAAGGATAAAAAAAACAAAAAACAAAGGGTATTAACAAAAAAGACTTAGGAAAATAATTCTCAGAAGAACAGATTTCCAACGTATCATGTATCTGTCATTTTTAGAAACGAGCTCCAAAACAGCTATTAATTATTCTCTTGCACAATATACTGTATAGTTATGCAAAAACAGGTTTAAAACGAAGATTTATAGCAATTCAACTTCGGATGTACTTGAATGATATCACATCCAAATCATCTACGCTGCGGTGGTTACATAAGCATCACGGCAATTACAAATCTTAGACGATGATAAATATACGCTCGTCCGCACGGGTACAGGTGAATAAACATTTTTTTTTCTATTAGTCATCGGCGACACAAAGTACATCACAAAAGCGCACATACGATCATCGGGGGGGGGGGGGAAATAATGAAATTTATTACTTGACGCTGGGAGAAAAAGAAAAAGAAAAAAAGGAATAAAAAGACATAAAACGTACTCGCTGCGGCATTGAGATCTAACTGTTCGCCGAGAAAGAAGGATTCGTGTGGTCCAACCGGCGATGCCCGATGCACGTGCAAAAGCGCGACGAGAACGAGACAGTGTCGCGCTGTCATGCCGCTATCGTTTTTTGCCCAACGATAAATATGCTGCTGCTCATCTTACGCGTATATCGTGCACCTGATGCGAGCGCGAAAACCTCTCTCGCGCGCGTCCCGGCCGACGCGAGACTTGCTTCGAAACTGACTGTCGACCACCAACTCTGTATACTGTATGTACTACACACCTAGGAGGTACAACGTGCAACGACAACAGCATCATCATCGTCGTTACGGTCGAATGCCCTCCGGATTTAGCGTCACGCTCGCTGGACATGCCTCGGTGCAGGAAATAATGTATACCCCCCGCTATACGACAACGGACAATGGGGAACTAAAACGCGAGCGGAGCTTCGCAGCTGATAAATTCCTCGATAAATTGCTCTTTCATTCAATGCTAGGTGTACCTATACGACACACACACGTACGTATACATATATATATATATATATATATATATATATATACACGCAAACAGAAAAAAGGATGTGAAAATAGAGAGAGCCTGTTATACGTTAAAGTACACTCGGTGGCATGCCTTTTTTTCCAATTGTAAAAACCAAGCCGATCTACCGATTATTTTTATATAGAAGGGGGGGGATACGTGTGATAATTAATGTACAGGGGCACTTCCTACTTTCCACACCTGTACTTTGGATTATTAATTTTTTTTTCTTTTGGGTTCGGAAAAATACATTGTCATAAACTCTACAGCGTTATACTCTTTTAAAATATTCATTTTTCCACCCATACATCCGGTAAGCATAAGCGTACCAACGGATAGCGATCGCGCGCGAACTGATTACTTTTCTTTTTTTTTTTTTTTTTTTAATTTGTTCGCGAGAAACGACATTACTTGTGTATATATTTAAAAGTCGCGTGCGAATGTTATCTGAATAATAAGGACAACGAGAGAATGGATGCAAATTCCGTTTGAAAGTCGCAGCCTTGTGTGTGTTGTTTTTGCGTGCGAGCCAACGATCAACGTTGACCGCTATTCCGTCCATGCGATGATATGATGCTGCTGATATTTTTCTTTGTTTCGTTTGCAGTAATGTAACTGTTAGTACTTGTATATATACTTACCTACTAGATTGAAATTTTACTTTCAAGCAAAGATAAGTGAACACGTCCATAGGTTTGATTCGTGTACATAGGCAACACATTTTTTTTTTTTTTTTTTTTTTTTTTTTTTTTTTTTTTTCCTTCGAAAGCCATAAACATCGATGCAAAAAAAAAAAGACGCTCTTTTTTTTTGTTTGCTTGCCGCCCGAAAAATAAAAACCCCCGCTATCGTTGGATTCATTTCGGAGCTTGCGATTTAAAAAGAGGTTCCCCCGAGAGAGAGAGAGAGAGAGAGATGCTTTTTTTCAATCTTACTTTTCCCATCGCTCGTCGTTCTTCGACGTAAAAGTATACGAGATAATTAATCGGACTTTGTCCGAGGGTGATAGATAAAAGAGACCAAAGTGCCGGCCACGAAAGAATCCGAACGACGAANTTTTTTTTTTTTTTTTTTTTTTTTTTTTTTTTTTTTTTTTTTTAGTCATACAGAGGCGCGCGTATAACAGGGCATGTAGTACACATGATGCATTGAAGCCTCTTGGACTTTTGTTTGCCAAAGAATCTGAGAAAAAGTATACAATCGGTTTATCCATGCGGATGTGTATGCTATTATTTATTTATTGATTATTTTTAACTATAATAGTTGGCTTATACACCGTTAATGTTAAAGAAATACGCTCAATATTCGTGTAGAATTACATGTAACTCTTTTTTTTTTTTTTTGTCTTTTCGAAACTTACACATTTTTAAAACATTTTGCGGCGTTTCGTATCATAGTTCACAAACAGCTAGATGTACATTTCAATAAAAAGCAAGTACGATAAAGATTATGTTCTATGCAGTGTTTTTAAGGGAATCTCACTGTGAATAGCTAATACTTCCTTTACTACTTTTGTTAGTTATTACGTGTTAAAGATGTTTAAAAAAATATCCATCCCAATTTTTTTTGGGTGCAGGTGTTTGGGAAAATTCAGTCTTGTTTTAAAATTCGATAAAAAATGTAGAGATATTACTTAAAAAATTCGTTTTTCTGGAAGAAAAGATTTTTAGTATATTTTGCTAGCATATGATTTTTGTTAACGGGTGAGATGTCTACGGAAACTATTTATTTACTATTAAAAAAATCTTGGTTAAATTGAAAAAAAAAAAAAAAAAAAAAAAATCCCACCGTCCTTTCATATTCATTATAAGCATATCTGACATACTATTCCTTATGAACATCGTTATAGATATTTTTATGGTCCCAAAATGTTCTTATGATAGAAAAATAGTGTAAGAAAAATAAAGTATTACAGTGGAATTGTCCCTTAATACAGTCATATATTTTTACGTCAAAAAGCGAAAAGTTATTCGTAATAATTACATTCAGCATAATGTATACGTCCTTTTCACCTTTCACACCGGCTGGATTATACAAAATAGATTATCATAATGTATACAGTCAAAGTTTAATGTAAACATTTTCAGAAAATCCTTATAAAAATGATACAATACCTATTTTTTTGTTTTTAAAATACATTTATAAAAAGTAGCTCATTTTTGTTTAGTCACGTGTATAAATTATATATGTATTAGCGACCTTAGAAGTAGCTTGAGATCCACAATTACATGAGAAGCGCAAGTCGTGGGTAGGTATACACTTATTATTATATAGTAAAAAAGGAAAATGTGTTTTGGCTGCTTCAGTTTCTTCAATACGAGAAATTGATACTTACATGCAACGATTTGTATGGAGCTCAGACACATAATATTTTACTGCCAATTTTAAGTCAATTGTCAATTTCAACAAACCAATTCGATCTTTTCATGAAAAAATCCATTAGATTCGTCAAATGGAAATTTTTTCACGAACAAAAACCGAAGAAAATAGAGCGTGTCAAAGTTCGTAAGTAGGGCGGGGGGGATAGCTTATGACGTCACAAAGGTTAGAGATTTTAGAACTTTTGTGTGATATCACGCGGAACTTTAACACTTTAACACGCTCTACTTATTTTTATCAGTTTTTATTCGTGTGAAAAAAATGCGTATCCAATATTTTTTTATAATCTGACGAATCAAATTGAGTGAAAAAGTATTCTATAAAAAGATTGTATTTATAGAATAGTTTACTATTTTTGTAACGCAGCGTTAACGCTAAACATAAGTATATTTATACCTATACGTATGATATGTATAGATAATTAGATGTTGATGCTGCACTAGCACTTTAAGTATAGCATTTTTAGTGCAAATTAGTGCTCATGTTGTAGAGTTGCACATGTAAGTATAAACCAGTACAAAAAAATTAAAGCTTTTTTTTTTTTTTAATAATAATAAATATACTTGTATGGCATTTTGAAAGCGTAAGGGTGAATGTGCGTTTTCCCTGTTTACTATATGCATAACTGGGTAATTATTTTAATAATATGTTTCAAAGTCGAGCTTTGTAAATATACTGGTATACAGTAGTATTATATAAAAAATGGTTAGAAATTATTAATCACATTCAATTGTTCCACGGTCCATTTATATGTTAGATATGCTTTGCCCTTCCTGAATAAATATTTATGTTGTGAAGAGATATATCGTACAACTACAGTTTTTCCACAACATATCACGCAAATTATAGATTGAAGATGTTTAAATACTCAGATGGTTATAAATTTGGGCACTTTCAAGTTTTGCTAATTAGTTCAAAATACTTCCGTGAGTCTGATTTCACCTAATAACTATTAACAAGAGAATCCTATAAAACAGTTTTAAAATTCGGAAACACTTAAGTGATAATCATTAAAGAATTCATATTTTTGAAAAATTTGTAAATTAACAAAATGCAGTAAAATTTGTTATAAACAATCTAAAATTTCCAATCCAATTTGATCAAATAATTTTAGAGTAAATTTAATTTGAAATTTAATATATTTAAACTTTGTATATTTCAGACATGTCTACTTCATTTTAATCCTTAACCGTTTTTATGTTTTACATAACACATTAAATTTAAATTTTAATTGTTTTTGTATCATCGATAATACCGCAGTAATGAGAATTACAAGTTTAATGCTATATAGTCAAATTTCAACTATAACTTTTTTTTTAGAGAAGTATAAAACGATTGCGGTTTCACTGTAAAATAAATAAATTAAGCCACAATGACATATACTCAAGTTAAGGATTAACTACAATATATGATAACAACACTAATGATGTCAATACATTTACAAAAAATCAAGACATTAAATCTCGATTTCATCATATACTTGAATGGATATTAATTTTATTTTTAAGCTGTGAAATATGTAGGTTCGATAATTTTGTATCATTTTTTTTTTTTTTTTTTTATAGAAGTTATGTATATACTGTATACAAAATATAAAAGGTTTGAAAATAGATCACAAATAGGCCGTAAAACAAAATTAATATCTCATCAAAATGCATTAATGGGGTTGGCCATTTTATTAAAAATTTACATATTTGGTACTTATTTATATTACTTCCTTGTTGAAGATGATTTTTTGTTCAAATCACTTTGGCAAGTTATGTGTAATAAAAATATACTTCAGATATAAAAAAAACTCACATTGCTGCTTTTAAAACATAAGGATATAGAAGCTACAAATAGATTTTAAAAAACAATTTGTACATTAATACCTTAGAGAATCTTGTACGTATGCTTACAATCGCCGTAAATTAAATGAATTTTTTTTTTTTTTTTTTTCAAGTTATGGAAGAAATTTTCGTTCTACCCTTGTTTTTCTGTTTTTTTTTTTTTATTTTTTTATTTTTTATAGCTTTCTTGATAAAAAAAATCGCTTAATATTTACTGATGAGTACTTTAGAAGTCATTTTTTATACTTGTAATTCAACTTGATTCTTTTTCTTTTGAGTCTGAAAAAATTATTCAACATTTAAAAATTAAAATATTTAAATTGTGAGTATCAAACTTTTTAATTAAAGTAAATACTAACCACTATCAGATTTTTCTTCCGAGGTGCCATTTGTTAGCTCAGGCTCCTTTGGCTTTTCAGTTTCATCGGATTCTGTACTTGGAGACTTTTTATCTTCCTGCATTGCATTCTTCTTATCTTTTCCTTTGCTTTTAGCTGGAGTGATGGGTTTTGGCTTGGGTTCCAAGCTTAGGTCCAAGATAATTTTACCTATGTTCTTGTGTTCGTGCATTTTGAGCAGGGCTTCTGATGCGTCTTCCAGCGCCCAGGTAGAATCAATTACTGGTTTTACTTTGCCTTCGCTCCAAAGTTTAAAAACTTGATTGACAACTCGTTGAACCATTTCGTGATTTCCGTTTTGGTACATCAAGTTCCGAAGGTTGAAACCACTTAAACTTTTGTTCTCATCATATAGTTTGATGGGTGCAACTTTGTCAACTGTCCACCACTAAAACAAATATATTTAGAATTTATGAAACAGTTAAATTATAAATGGTAAGGTAAGTTTAATATATTACACGTACAAATCGAGCAGCCGAGAGACTTTTACTCTCACCAGCGTTGCCTAATCCATAGAGAACGTATTTTCCTAAAGGTTTAAGGAGTGCGTATCCCCGCCTGCATTCTTCACCATACAAGCAGTCCAAGACAATGTCGACACCTTCAGGGAATTCCCTAAATAAATTTTTTTTATTAATTTTTAAATTGAAGAAAAAAAAATTTTTTATCTAACATATAGTTTTATTTTCAAATAGAAAAAGAAAATCGCCACTTACTTCCTGACGGCACTAGAATAATCTGTGCCTCGCTCCAAAAGATGATCAATCAGACCAGCAGATTTAAGAGTCTCATGCTTTGCTTTACTGCAGACACCAAAAATTGTGGTGTTTTCAACCGTTTTAGCCAATTGAGCTATAGCGTGACCCTGAAACAAAAAAAAAGGTGGTTATTTAAACGGAAACAAAAAAGCTGCGTCAAATTAATATACTTACAACGCCACCTGAAGCACCGTGAAGAAGTATGCTTTTTCCAGGAGTGAGATTGGCAATCTCAAATAATAAAAAGTAAGCTACTGTGTAGTTCATTGTAATGGCGGCAGCATTTTTGCAGTCCATTTCAGCAGGCAGTTTGTAAACGTAGTTGGCAGGTACAGTCACGTACTCTGCCCAAGCTTTATGATCTGGAAGTGCGACAACCTCGTCGCCGACCTAGTTAAAGTATCACGACAATTAATTAGTACACAATCAACACACAATATTCAAATTTTTATTTCACTCGTTGTAGGCAATGTAAATGTAATCTTTACCTTCAAGTCTTTGACGCTTTCGCCAACTTGCACGATTTCACCGGCACATTCGAAACCCATGACAAATGGTGGCTTTGGTGGACTCTCCAAAGCTCCTTGTCTGGCCATCATGTCTTGGAAATTAACGCCGCTAAAAACCATAAAATTATTTCTCATTTTGTCGATCAGCAACATCATGTAACAATTTCCAGGATAAAAAGAAAATCTTCTCACATCATCTTACGGAAAAGTTAATAAATATCCAAAAACATCATCGAAGGTTCGCAATGTGTAAGTATGCGACAACATGGGTATACATAGCGAAAGCTTTGAAATCTTATGAATGACATCTGGCAGTATATAACTCTCCAATGCGCTGGTATTTGAGAAAACGCTTCCGGAGTCGAAGCTAAAAGCGTTAACTTACCAACAAAACGTGACGGGACTGCTACAATATATGGTTTTTTAAACCAGTTAGCCTATCCGCCGTGTGTATACGTATATATAAGGAACCTCCAGCTCGAGAAACACATGAAAATCATATACGCTTACGCGCTCGCATATATATAAGTGGGTATAACTACAAGTTGGCGTGGGTGTAGTATATTTTGCGGGCCTGCATACACACACACACACACACACAGCTATTGGTCGCGCGCGCGAATGGCATGTATAACAGCGCGTATAATGTATGTGATATATACGGGCAGGAAGTGTCGCCGGGGCCCAGGGACTTATTGTCTATTCCGGGCGACACGCCACTTTACAGATGGCCAAAGCAATTTGTGCGTATATATGTGTGTTTGGATGGTAAAATGCGCTGTGCTCGTACTTATGTGCATAATCCTCGTCATTAATGCACCTCTGCCTGTGTCAACGTGCCAATTTTGGTACTTTTTTTTTTTTTTTTCCTTCGAAAGCCATAAACATCGATGCAAAAAAAAAAAGACGCTCTTTTTTTTTGTTTGCTTGCCGCCCGAAAAATAAAAACCCCCGCTATCGTTGGATTCATTTCGGAGCTTGCGATTTAAAAAGAGGTTCCCCCGAGAGAGAGAGAGAGAGAGAGATGCTTTTTTTCAATCTTACTTTTCCCATCGCTCGTCGTTCTTCGACGTAAAAGTATACGAGATAATTAATCGGACTTTGTCCGAGGGTGATAGATAAAAGAGACCAAAGTGCCGGCCACGAAAGAATCCGAACGACGAAATGAGAGGACAAATGCTGGGAGGATTCTGAAAAGGGTGGCACTTGAAAAAGACCGTGCCAAAGGGAGTCAAAAAGTTTTTATGTGCTCGTTGTGCGCTGTACTTACTTGTCTATTGTGCTTATAAAAGAGGATCGTTTGACACAACGCAGTGTGTCCGATGCTCTTTGTACATAATATTAATTATGCACGTGCAGCGAACATACGATGCGAGCCACTAATAAAATCGTTTTGTTCATGTAGCTGTTAACGGCCGCGTCGACCATGAAAGTATAAGGTACTTATTTGCCGGGTGGTGCAGTATAATATGTATATATATACGGTATCGTGCGTATGACCAGCAAAGAGATACAGAGAGAGAGAGAGAGAGAGAGAAAATTGTTCTCTTTCTTTTCCCTTCTCGCTTCATTACGCCGAATCGTTTTGAATTAAATATTTCAAATGCCTCTCGCTCCCGTCGTTGCTTTCATTGATTAACGGATCAAGTCGCGCGCTCATTTATCTCGGAACATTGTGGAAATTTTATGTTTTATACTTTTAGTGCAAAATGTAACGTGATGTGTATGCACACACACAAGAGCGGCTTTGACAGAAGATAAGGAGTAATAATTATTTATCGCCCGCGCGCGAGCGTTCGTAATATAATAATAATTTGCCTCGAGCTTATTTTTCAAAACAGATAGCAACACGCCGAGCTATCGCGTGTGCTCAAGTCTGTGTGCATATAATATTATACATTTACGCAGAGTACTTTGTAAAACCTTATACATATATCGCGCGTTATAAATATATATAATAATACGCGGGGTTTGATGCAATGTTATTTTTTTTTTCTCCGCTGATGCGCATTTTCAACTCTATTTTATCATACCTCGTCGTTTAAGTTATGTGCTGCCGCGTTGTTCGTTTTTTTTTCTCTCTCTTTCTCTCGACGTAATTAAGTAGTGTGTATGCGCTTGAAATTTTTCGGCTATTTAAAATTTGCAAAACATCACCACCATCGACGCTTTGTCAGCCAGTCCCCCGAGAAGATGTACTTACCTGCATAACTGAAAGTTACTTTTGTTTGGAAAGGTGTATCATTATCGGCGCGATATCTTGCACTGTCAATCGACAAAGTCCGTAACCGGTAAAACTGTTTTGGCTACTGGTGCGAATTTTTTGCGCTTCAAAGCGATTAAATAAATATATATAATGAACGAGTGAAGATTAGAAAATGATAATTCCGAGTCAAGGTTGGAAAATAAATCAATGGACCAAACGTCGTCGCTTCTGCTTTTTTCCCCGCCCTTTAAACGGTTTCAGTTCCACCAAATGCGAATGTATACCTATATGTATAAGTGTGTTTCGGAGACGGTCTATATAGGAGGAACGAGAGGCGACTTAAAACGGGGGAGGGAGGGAAAGAAGCAACGGAAGGACCGCAGAGAAAGAGCGGCGGAGGACAAGTATATAATACACAGGGGAAGAAAGATTACAAAAAATTAACCCTACGTGCATTGCACATTTATACCCATCCAAAGCGAATATTCGGTTCTTTTGCTCGAGTTCCCTACATAGACTTGCTGTTTCTGTACTCGACAAAACCAAGAATACTCAATTCTTGCTGAAGATCGCGAGGGAGTGATTCGCGCGATACACGCCCGTTTTATGTATATATATACATATATAGGTAGTGGATCTCTCCACCTCGCACGCATCACGTCGGCGAACACTCCAGAAAAATTTCACAGCCAAAGGGACCCCCTGTTCGACCCACGAGTCTCTTGGTCGATTAAAAAGGACATCGATAGTTAATATAGGTGTACATTTGTATAAACAATATGATGCCAATGATCAACAATGATGCGCTATCGACTCCGAAATCATACTAGGTACAATGCAATACGGGGGTTGTGGCAACTTGGGTTGTAATGAATAAACTTAAAAAGAAAAAATCAAGTGTCGCTTCCGCGCCGACAGGACGAGAGTAAGCATGAGCACCAGCGTGGTAAAAGCCCGCGCGTATAACTATATACATAAAGGGAGGAGCTGCCAATGGTACATTGCGTGTATATAATATGTGTGGCATCCTTACCATGCCTTGACTTTGATAAGGACCTCGCTGTCGGCGAGTCCAGCGGGTTCGGGTCTCTTGAGCGATTTGACGTTTTTGAGGCTGCCAAAGCCGTGGAGGACGATCGCGCGCATGTCCTTGGGTGGCTCAGGGCTCGCCTTGTCGCCGTTCTCCTTGGGTGTTTCGTCGTCGCCGCCGCCGCCACCACCGCCGTCACCATTCTCCATCTTCTCTGCATCCCCCTTGGGCTGCTTCTTGTCCGCCTCGTCGGCGGCCGATGGCCCGTTCATGGGTTTATCGTTACTGTCGCCGGCAGCTGCCTCGTGCTGATTATTGGCGTCACCCTGGTGCAAATCCTTATCCTCGGCCATTGCGCTGCAGCTCCTGATGATGTGCGTATCGGCGCGTTTCTCTCTTCCTTTCGTTGCTCGCTCGCTCGCTCGCCTCGCTCTCGACTCTCTCAACTATCTACTGACTTGTTTCCCGTTCTTCGTTCCCGTATTATAAGTATACAGTGCCTGCCTGCGGCGTATGTGCGCACTGCGCACCCTTTCCTTCTTCTCCTTTCTTCTTTCTCCCCCACGTTCACTCGGATTAGTAAATTTAATTTCGCCTGCACTCCACTGCAGTTGTTGCAGTCAATGTCACGATGTACAAAAGAATAATGAAAAAAAACAAAAAAAAAAAAACAAAAAAAAGCCAAGCCCTGCAAGTAAGTATGGTATTAAGTACGTGTATGCACTTATGACTCGCCGGAAAGCCCAAACTGCCGCTACCACCACCGCCACCGCATTAAAGCGTCCTTTCTCGACCTATATCTGTATTTGTCACTTTACTGCCCCTGTATTCGTATTGGTGAATTTGCATCTGTGTGTGTAATAATACGCTCCTTTTTTTATGGTGTGGCGCGCGCACATTTTCCCCCCTCTTGCTCATATTTTATATTTATATATATGGGAAGCCATCCTTGTCTTTCTCGCGGTGACGCGGGGAGAGCGCATCACTTTCGCGATTTTCGCTTTTTTTCGGAGCACGAAGGGGTGCGCGGAGTATCCCATCAGACGATCAGACCCCAGAAGATGAACGAGATATATTGTGTTGGTGTGTACGTACTATACCGACACAAGTATATACTTACGAGTAATTTAATTAAAAGTATAATATATAATTATGATGAGTTATCTCTTGTAAGTACACAATTTGAGAATATTAATAAATAATAAGTTGATGTGATCTACTTCTTGAAAAAAAAAACCATTTGCCAAGAGATATTGGATCCTTATAAATTTAGTTTGGATATACTGTACTGACAATCTAAAAAATCGAATAAAGTCTGGGCACTTTGACTTTGTGTGTTATGCCGATTGCGAAGAACCGCTCTGACCGGTGAAAGCCAAGTGCCGATGGTTGATTTGTTTTATTTGCGTTTGTGTATGTAAAATACGTCGATTTATGTGTACTTGATATCATATTAATAGTATAGTCGCAATAAGAATTAAGACTTGAAATGGTTCAAGTTTGAGGTTTGACGGTTTGAGTAATACGTAGCATATATATACACATCGGTGTGCTAGAATAATTTGAAACTTATTTTGCATGTTTTAATTAATTTTTTTTAATGCGATCTCCCAAATTTGTTCATTGGTTCCCGTAAAATATGAGTACTTACTTCTTGGTAGTAGTAGTGGTATTTATTTAAACTTACTTTCTTCTTAAATCATGATCATGTACATACCTTTAATTGATTAAAATTTTAAACAATTTGCTGGTGCTATGCATGTGTCGACATAAATGTATAATATTGATTTACGAAGGCTAATCACTCAATGAAATTTTTTTATTTAATGGACTTCTATTAAAACTCACTATAACTTTAGATATACATATTAAAACTTGGTGCATATATTATATTTTGTATACTTGCATTTAATGTTTTGCTGCTTCAATTATAAGAATCTAGTAACGTTAAGTTAATGCATAAAAAATGGGAATTAAATTTAAAGTCATGCAGAACGCGTAAACGACAGTTGATAATGTTGCTCTCTTAGTAGTACATTGCAGCATTGATCGCGAGCAAACCCATCAAGTTTCATTTCATTGTTATTGTTATACACTCGTAAACTATAACCCTGACTTCATACCAATACGATATAAATAAAAGCAAATCAGAAATACTCAATTACGAATGTAGCAAATAATTTTTATTTTACAATCACGACACTACCAACAATCAAATGGTCGTTTACACGTAATGCCATTTATACCGACGTCCCATAAAAGCAAACTGAGATGTGCGGAAGCGGTCACATGCGTGAGAATGAGAGAGGTGTATTTCGTGCATCTTTCTCCCTTTACAGTCTTTCCGGATATACTTATGCATTTTAAGTGCACTTTTTCAACAATCTTGAAAAGTTGAATGGTTCGGTAGTACGGAATCCATAGACCGTTGCGTGTTGCTTGTTGTGCTCTATCATTGCATGATGTCATTGTAAATTGTATACTACTTAGCAAAACTTACTTCTACAGCTTCCATGAGCGCTGTTGTTGTACTTAGGTATACTCTGTACGATGTGTTGTGGTGTTGCGCTCCGAAACGACGACGATACATTTCAAACTGTGCATCGATGTTTAGTAGAACTTCGACTTGAGAAAAGTCTGACGTGTCAAGAAGTAAAACCGTAATTTAAAAATTAAAAATACCTTTTAAAAGTCAAAAGCTTGCAAGTACAGTGTATTGGAGAACATAAAAAATCAATGGCAGAGAACAGTGAGATCGTACTCAAATCTGACAGGTTAGTGCATAACAATATTTATATGTAGAAAAGCACCCAAAACAAAACCCTTCACCGTACGTGGAACATACCTACATCATCCTAATGTAAAATATAAAATTTGTGCATACAGGAAGCTCAATGTAGGTGTGTTAACTTTATGTATATTTTTTTATTCCATTTTCTTTTATTGTTGTCAGAATGACACGATGATGATTAAGTATTTTTAATTATTCGATGAATCAGCTTTTTTGATTAATTAAGCGCTCTTTTTGCTACGATACGCGACTACTGCGACGAGCAACAAAATTTGGCTATATAGTTATCGTCGTGTTCATGCCGTTTGACACTTTTCGTCGTTTCCATATCTATTTATAAAACAAAAATATAACAATATGCTAATAAGGCAATGGCACCACGCGCAAAACAACAGTTTTTACTGTCAAACGTTGACATGTGCACGTTGGTACGAATTGGCATTTTGACCTTCACAGTTTTTCGAGTTTGAAATTTTCGGATTCTACAAGTTTTTTGCTCCAAACTCTTATTGTCATTGTAAATCGTAAAATGTTGGAAGAATTTCTCATGTTGATGCAATTCGCGATTCGCAGTAACGTTTAATGATTCGAGTACACTTTCAATAGTTATCTTGATGGTATCCTTAAGCTGCTTTATTCAATTTTTAATATTACTTTTTATTCATTATCAGCATTTATTATTAACAGAAAAAATCGTTTATTCCAATAGAAAACAGTAAAACTTATATATCTTTCTCAAGTAATGACATATAGATAAAAACACTTATACAACTATTGCCTAATCATATGCAAGATTTTTTAAACATTAATAAGTTTTGTTTCACTTAATTCAATATCTTTAACCTGCATGAATTTTATTGTTTTTCAGTTGGTTTTGGGGATGGTTTAGTTGGTCAGGCTCCTCTTCAACAATGTTGAGAACAATAGAAAAAAAGATTCTCTCACGTGAGTACTTGATCTGATCATAATATATATAATTCCTTTGTTTAACTACCGCTATTTAACTGCAGGGGGCAATCGTTATAGATTTGTTTGTAACTCAATATGATGTTACAAAATGTGCTCTATTGATAACAATTTTCAAGGAAATGCTGTAGATAAGAATACATTGTCTATGATGCTTTTGTTTCTATCTACACAGCAAAGCATTAACCGTTTTTTTGCGATTTAGTTAAATAAAATATGAAATCATTTTTTTTTTTTTTTTTTTTTTTTTTTTTTTTTTTTTTCAAGTGCTAAAAAAGATAAAACCTTTATTTCAACAAACACTAAAAAAATTTACAGATCTTAAAACAGCCTATAGAGGTTGGTACGTTGATATTGGACCAGTTGTTGGAGCTGCAGATAAAATATGGACTATATCTCTCAATGAAGAATCCCCTAATACACCACTTGTCTTATTACATGGTCTTGGAGCTGGAGTAGCCTTATGGGTTTTAAATCTTGACTCTTTGGCTAAACAAAGACCTGTTTATGCCATAGATTTATTAGGTGAATTAGTATAATTTCTTTTACTGTGTTACAGTTTTTTACATATTTTTACGTTTTTTTTTTTTGTTTTTTTATTTATTTATAGGATTTGGTAGAAGTAGCCGACCAGTCTTTAGTAATAAAGCTGAAGAAACTGAAAGTCAACTGGTCAAATCAGTAGAAGAATGGAGGAAAGAAATGCAATTGGAAAAATTCGTTTTATTAGGCCATTCAATGGGAGGCTTTTTAGCAGCTTCATATGCTATTGAACATCCAGATAAGGTCAAGCACCTGATTCTTGCTGATCCATGGGGTGTCCCAGAAAAACCCAGTGAAGTTACAAACCAAAGACGTGTACCAATTGTGATAAAAGCTTTAGCATACATGTTACAACCTTTAAATCCATTGTGGGCCGTGAGGTTTGCAGGGCCATTGGGTAATATTAAACTACAGTTTCAATAAAATTGTTTTAATTTTGATTAAAAAAGAAAAAAAAAAATATATTAAGTAAAAAACTATTTTAGGCCAGTGGCTTATTGAAACAACACGACCCGACATAGTCAAGAAGTTTGGTACAGTTTTGAATGACGATCCTAGCATTATTTCACAATATATACATCAGTGCAACGTGCAAACGCCGTCGTAAGTATCGTATGCCCATTTTAATAAAAAAAAATTATTTTTAATACAAACTTGATTTCTTTGTTTGTTTCACAGAGGAGAGAGTGCATTTCATGCAATGATGCAGGGTTTTGGATGGGCTAAGAATCCAATAATTAAAAGGATAGACCAATTGAGGAAGGAAGTTCCCATAACTTTAATATATGGAAGCAGATCGTGGGTCGATAATTCAGCAAGTGAGACAATAAAAGAAATAAGGTCGGCTTCCTATGTTGATGTACAGGTAAATTTTATGCAATATAATTAATAATCGGTCATTTCATCAAAAAGTATTTAAAGCCTTCAGTATTATTGATTTATTTTATACATTGATGGGCATGTTAGTAAATAAATACTTATTATTATCTTAAGCTAACATAGTTAACGCGTTAAGAAAATTATTTTATACATGAAATGTATTTTGCAGATTATAAGTGGTGCGGGACATCACGTTTACCTAGACAAAAGTGACATTTTTAATAAGTATGTGCTAGAAGCATGTTCACTGAGTGATAAAAATATTAAACTAACTAATTTAATGAATACAAAACAAGAGTTAAATATAAAAAATGATCAATCAACAGAGAGTGAAGAAGATACTGATCAGAAAAAATATTCTGATAAGATAGTTGACACGGACAGATCAAGATCAAGCTAAAAGTTAGTGTAAATGATAATTTGTATGTTTTTTAAAGTATTGTAAATGGAAAAAAAAATAGTTATCTAAGAATTAACTATCGCACATCTAGTATTCCAAAAATAAACTTTAGTTACTATGTTTCGATTTAAAAATGTAGATAAAAAAAAATATGTTAAATGATCACCCAAGTTGTATGTGTTGACATACACTATTTATTTATTTATTTCTATTTGTAGCGTTTTAAATGATTGATTATATTTTTTTATCAAAACTAAGTTAATACATTGTGTTGAAGTAGTTGTAAAAATAAATTTCACAACTATATAATATTAAATTTTTTACGCAGTTAAAACGATATTTGACAGAAAGAATATTCGTATGTCTGCAAAGTTTGTTCATTTTTTTCGTTATGTGTTGATGTAAAAAATACTTGAAGCATGTAAACTACTAGGTTTTGTAGTCATAGTTTGAATGATTAAAGATACCCACTGTCAATTCATTATTTACTTTGCTTTGTTAAATAATTTAATATTTTTACGAGCTGTAGTCACAAATGGCCCATCATATGACTACCAAAAGTATTATTCGAAAGTCATTTGTACTGATGAAAATTAATTTTTGAAATAAATGGATAACCTATTGTTAATAAAAAAAAGTTGTTAAATTATGTTTTAGTAAAAAATCCACCCCAGCACCTCTGAAAATTTTTGTATGTAAGCTGTGGAAAGTATTCGTTGTATTGTAAAAAAAAAAAAAAAAAAAAAAAAAAAAAAATCATAAAAATTATTCACGACTAATTCATTATTCCCCAGCCCGTTGTTTACTAGTTTCAGAGTATTTAGGTAGATCGAATCTGTTAATTGTCAAAAAAAAAAATTTCCAATTAGTTTCGAGTAAACAATTTTTATTTTACTCGGAAATTTAGAATTACGCGCCAGAGAAGAGAGAGACCAGAGAGTCCTCTCTGCCGGCTCCGGGCAGTTCTGAACTAAACACGTGCTTGGGCGGGAAAAGTATATACTTACTCTCTTCCAGAACGTCCACAGCAGACAATAGAAAAGTCCGTCGCTTGTGCGACACATGAGCTAAAAAGTATACTATTAGGTACCTACTTATTGGAGGACGAATAATCATAAATATCCTATCGTGTTGTTGGTGCAGTATTATTAATCGAAAGAGAGTTTAAGTGTCGGCAAAATGTCGAGCCCCATACAATCTCCACGAACACCGACAAGAAGTACCAGGCAGGCGGTTCAAAGATCGTCTCCGAGCGTCCGGAGTTCGCCCAGACTACGCAACACCAACGGTGGTTCGTCGCCTAGGCAAAATGGCACACCAGGCAATAGACGAGGTAGGTACACCTATTTGCATTATAACAACAAATCAGCGTATAATTGTTGGTACATCTGATGACCGAGATAATTTGCTTGTTGGAAAGGAACTGTCAATGGATCCACCGACACCCCTATGCGTTGGGGAAATAATCGCAACAGAAATGAAGAGTTGATCGCCGCTTCATCGGAGGGCCCGTCATCCGCGGCTCCGGCTTCGTCACCTAACCGGCTGCTCATGACAAGTCCCGTTCCTCAGGGACTGACGGAAATCGATTTGTCCTCGCCTTTGAATTACGGGACACCGAGTTCCATGGGCTCCGTCCGCACACCTAGAAGTGGAATCAGAGGGACTCCGAGACGTCTGAGGCTTGACATCAGAGGTGACAAGAGAATGCGGCAGTTCAACATTGGCGAGCCTGTAAGTTGATGAAGATCATACAGCTTAAATTTATTGAATAATAATCCACCATTACTTGTCTCCAGATTCCAGAAGAAGGAGCTGTTGCTGTCGCACAGTCGTCTGAAAGTGAAAACTTGGCGGGTCCCCAGCTTGTTATATGGGGAACGAATGTCAATGTTAACCGCTGCAAGGACCAGTTCAAGAGATTTATCCAGAGGTTTATCGATCCAGGAGCAGAAAACGATGAACTGCCAGAAAGCATGAACGTTACTGAACCCCTTTACATGCAGCATCTCAATGATATCCATACTCTAGAAGAATTATTTTTAAACATCAACTGTCAGCATCTGAAAGACTTTGATGAACAATTGTACAAACAGCTCATCTCTTACCCTCAGGAAGTTATACCGACAATGGACATGGCTGTGAATGAAATGTTCTTTGAAAAGTTTCCAGCTGCTGTTTTAGATCATCAAATACAAGTCAGGCCCTACAATGTTACTCAAACTAAAAGCATGCGCAATCTGAATCCTGAAGACATCGATCAATTGATTACTATCAATGGAATGGTCATTAGAACTTCAAATATAATTCCTGAAATGAGGGAGGCTTTCTTCAAATGTATCGTGTGTAATTTGACGACTATGGTGGAAATCGATAGGGGTCGTATCAGTGAACCAACAGTTTGCACTAATTGCAACAATAACTACTGTTTTTCTTTGATCCACAATCTCAGTCACTATACAGATAAACAAATGATCAAGTTGCAAGAATCGCCTGATGATATGCCTGCGGGAGAGACACCACACACAATTGTACTCTATGCTCATAACGATTTGGTTGATAAAGTCTCTGCTGGTGATAGAGTTTCTGTAACCGGAATTTTTAGATCCCAGACCATTCAAATTAATCCAAGAGCTTCTACAATACTTGCCGTGTATAAAACTCACATTGATGTTGTCCATTTTAGAAAACACGATTCCAAAAAGTAAGTAAACCTTTTTACTTTTATTAACTTGGAAATAAAAAATTTTCTTAACTTTGAAATATTTTCACTACAGGCTGTATGATGTTACTGAAGACAGTGAACATAACTTCCCGCCGGAGAGACTTGAACTTATCAGGTCATTATCAATGAAAAAAGACGTATATGAAAGACTTGCAAGAAATATTGCACCCAGTATTTATGAAAATCTTGACATTAAGAAGGGCATTTTGTTGCAATTGTTTGGAGGAACCAAAAAAACTCATCACGTTTCTGGCAGGACTCATTTTAGATCTGAAATTAATATTTTACTTTGCGGTGATCCTGGCACAAGTAAATCTCAATTGTTACAGTTTGTTTTCAATCTAGTTCCTCGTTCTCAGTACAGTAGTGGAAAAGGTAAGTGCTAATATTTAATTTTTCTACGATTTTTTATAGAGGTTTCTCGAAATTCATTCTAGGGTTCTTTTTCTTCAGGTTCTAGTGCCGTTGGTTTGACGGCTTACGTGACAAAAGATCCCGAAACTCGACAATTGGTTTTACAAACTGGAGCACTTGTACTTGCTGACAATGGTATTTGTTGCATCGATGAATTTGATAAAATGAATGACAGTACAAGGTCTGTTCTTCACGAGGTCATGGAACAACAAACTCTGAGTATTGCCAAGGCTGGAATTATTTGCCAGTTGAATGCTAGAACAAGCGTTTTAGCAGCCGCAAATCCTGTAGAATCTCAGTGGGATTGCAGAAAAACTGTAAAAAAATATTTACGTTCATAATCGCGGTTAACCATAAATTTTACCTGTAATATTATTATTTTTTCCAGGTAATTGAAAACATAATGCTCCCTCCCACACTTATTTCCCGTTTCGATTTAATCTTTTTAATGTTGGATCCGCAAGACGAACGGTTTGACATGAGATTGGGTCGTCATTTAGTAACTTTGTTTTATGAAAATGAGATAGAGGAAGTGGATGATTTAATTGATATGAGCATATTACGTGATTATATTGCTTATGCGAAAGAACACTGTCATCCAGTTCTTAGCGAAGAAGCTCAGCAAAGGCTGGTCCAAGCTTATGTTGACATGCGGCGCGTTGGAAGCGGTCATGGGCAAATCACTGCTTATCCCCGTCAACTCGAATCGCTCATTCGTCTTGCCGAAGCTCATGCCAAAATTCGACTCAGTAACAAAGTCGAGATGAAAGATGTAGAAGAAGCGTGGAGGTAACATAGTGATTTTAATTGATTCTAAATATTGTTTTTAAATTATTTAAAATAATTCGCAGACTGCATCGTGAAGCTTTAAAACAATCGGCGACTGATCCTCTTACGGGCAAGATCGATGTCAATATTCTGACAACTGGTCTATCCGTATCTGCTAAGCAACGAATGGCTCAATTAAGAGATTCATTGAAAAAGTTGATTGACTCAAAAAAGGTTGCTACTATTAATTATCAAAAATTGTTTAGTGATTTTAGAGATGCCAGTGATATTGTAAGTAAAATTTATAGAATCCAAATTACTAATTTTGATTTTTCATTTAATAATAATTGAATTATTTTTTTTAGTATATAACTCGAGACATGTTTGAAGATACCCTTAAAATGTTAGTGGATGACGAACAAATACGAATCAAGAGTAAAAATACTATTGTAATTTGTTCACATACCACCTAAGAAAAACGAAAAAGTGCCTTATATAAATTTATATTAAAATTTTTGTAATTTCTATTTTCATTTTTATATAAATTCTTTGTCACATTGTCCCTATACCTTATCAAATCTGAAGCATAATTTTGTTAATAACTTTTTTTTAAATAATCTATTGCATGATTATCCCGTTAAAAAAAAGTGAAAAAATAAAGATATCGTTAAATGTTGATTTAGTTGAAAATTAAAAATTTAATTTTATTTCCTTAATTGAACAAATAACTTATACGTATATATACACGATCGCGAGTCTGTACAATCTGATATAAATGATGGCGCTCTCATGCATTGATCAAGCATAACATTCTTTTAAAAAAAAGTTTTAATTACGTTATAAAAATATCGTTTATTTTCATAATTATGCTCAATAATTAACGATTAATATATGTTTATTAAAATCTTCATCCGTTAATGAGATTGCGCAATTTCAGAGAAAAATTCTAATATATTTTGAATGGAAAATTCTAAAGTAACGTTACTATCAGGGTAACATCGTTGAATAAGCTCTTCGATATGTTTATACTGGGTGATGAATTCACCCTGCATTTCTCGCCACACGACCTGCAGTTCAAATATTTTTGTTATTAATTGTTTTTGTTTTATGTTTAACATCGAGTTTACCTGCAAAAGGTTTTCTTCTTCGCACAAATGTTTTTCCACTTTTCGGTATAAATTTTCAAGACCCTTTTTAACTTCTCTGGCAGGATATTCCTTAACTACTTTTCTCAACTCTTGTCTACTGAAAGCCATTTGATAGCTGATTTCCGACTCCTTTACACCAGCTCCAACTTTCGCTTGGATGCCATCAAAGAAAAACTATGACAACAAGCAACAAATTACTTAAAAAATAAATGTCACGTGATTTGTGTTTAGCTTACATTTAATTTTTCTAAAGGTCTTCCAAAATAACGGGTAACATAAGCTCTTAGAGCGTCTTGATATTTTTGTTTTGCTTCCTTGCGTTCGTGATCCAGAACCGAAATCTTTAATTGAGATAAAAGGTCGTGCAAGTGATGAAAATTTTCTGCACAAAATATAAAATTTTCTAGAATTATACAAAAATTCAATTTAAATATGTTGCTCGAAAAATACGTGCTATACCCATTTTTATGACTTCGGTTGGCGTCTTATGATGTTCGGTACTGTGAACAACGATCGCCTCAAACATGGTGCTTATCAACTTGGTGTACCATTTTTCCAAATCTACTTTTCTATCGGAATTTTTGAAGATATTTTCAGCTGTCCTCGCAAAAGGACCAAAATTTTCGACGTACGGTAAAATACCACATTTGTTTCGCCGATTGACTTTAGTATCGAGAATAGATTGTTGTTGCATTTGCATGAATTTGTCAAAGGCTCGCTTTGCTTGCACGAGAGCCGAAGCAAAAGTCATGGATAAAAATGATCCGGTATCTTGAGCTGACATGACGTGCTGAGACAAACGCACCAATACGTACATGCACCAACTGTGAAGAAAAACAAAATTCACAATATACTTTATGGTTCTTTTGACTGGGAATTTTTGTCGACTCACAATGTATCTATTTTTTCAAGGAAAGTTATGAAACTGTTCAGTTCTGTTTCTAAAGTCGGAAATATAGCGGCCATTGTAGCCCGAACTTGTTCGTTAACTTGACGTTCTAATTTCGTAATGTCGTTCATGTTAGCTGAACCAGGACTCGATGCTACATTGTGGTCTTCTCCGCTATTTCCACTGCTGCAGCTACCCGTTTCATCTTTGATAGTCTGTAGGACGAAATGCACATAAAAATATGTATATATTTTGGGTATGCCAAGCATTGTATGGTACGAAATTTTTTACTTTTGTCGTTGACAAAGTATCGAGATGAAGAAAGGAAGTACAAAAAGCTTGCTCGGCAAGGCAAACTGGTTGCAATTGCGAAAGCACGTTATCTAATACTGAATCCAACAAAGCTCCTTCTCCCTGTGGAGTCCATTGTTCGTAACTAAGAAGGCAAATTGGAGGTATTAATGATGAAATCAATGTTTCCATATCTCCTTTTGGCAATGCTCCGCTCATTGATTTGCTCATTAGGTGGGCTGAATAAAAATGTATAGAACGTGTATCAGCTTGCTAGCTTTCATCGTATTTTTAAAGAAAAAAAATTTTGACTTACGGTGGTGTTGGTGTTGAAGACGCTTGGCAATAAGGCGGTCTTTAGCTTCATCAAAAAAGTATTTGAAATCTCTTTGATACAGAGTACCCATAGTTTTCGTATAAACTTTCGTCAGTTGCGTGAAAGCTTTAGGGTCTAGTGCCCTTAGTAATTTCATGAGTTCAGTATATGGTTCTAATTCTTTTTGTATAGACTGGTGCGTTGATAACTTAAAATCATTTGATGCACTGTCTGACGATGTTGCTGAAGTAATGTTCGACTGTGGCGCTTCACTACTATCATTACCCTGGTTATGAGATGACGAATATTTTTTAACAAATTGTGTTGCGTAATAAAATTTACAAAAAATTAATTACCAAGTGAATAAATAAATTATTTAGATGTCTAGCCAGTAGTAAGGAAAATTTCGCTCTTAATTTGTCCAACTTCTTTCGTTGCTCGGCTACAGCACTTAATTTATCCAAGCCAAGAGGCAAAGGAAAAGAAATTGCTTTCAGCAGATCGGCACCAGCTTCTGCCAATTCATCTTTGTGACCCGGGAGTTCTGCTTCGCTTAATATTTTTTGATGCTCAGGAGTGACAGTAAGCTGCGTCTAAAAATTCAATGACATCCATAAGTACCTTTGAATATAAACTATCAAATGAAATTATTGTAAAATGAAAGTTTTTTTTTTTCTTACAATTACAACTTCTAGCTGCTCTAAAAGTAATCTAGAATTCCGATTGGCAACATGAATAGCTTGATTTTTTTGGGCCACACGATCCATTGCTTCTCTAATTCTTCCCAATGCTTCATCATAAGCAGTTAATTGCGTTTCAACTACAGATGCTTCACTGATTGCTGCTGTAATGCCGTTCATTAACTGAGTCACTTGCGGCTCAGAAGCAAGAACTGATTGTATATTTTCCTAAAAAGTTTTTTTTTTCTGTTAATTACAATTTTCTTACAATTTTTTTTTGTAGATGTTGAAATAAAAACCTACACCATCGAGTACAGATAAGTCTTTGGCTAATGTTTCCATGAATAATTCTGCATTTGAAACAGCGTAATAACAGTTTTCCATCAGTGTCGCCAAATCTGTCGTTTCTTTTTCAGTTATTGGTTGGTATGAGGTTGATAAAAGGTTTATAGGCGGTTGCATAAAATCTGTAAAAAAAATTTTTTTTAATCAAATACAAACACTGAATTTATACTATGTAAGCAGTAAACATCCAACTTATATGTATATTTACCAGGAGCAATGTTGTCACTAGGAGCGATGCTGGTTTGTTCTACTGACAACCACTCCTTAGGAATATTTTTAAACTCAGGCCTTTGAGGCAAACTATAAGAATATGTGCAGAGATTGTGAATAAAGTTTCTCCTTTCCAGTGCATTTGTAGCTGACCACTTATAAATTTTGTCAATGTGTAATTCAAGGTCCATAGAGTCTCCACCAATTCCATCGATTCTGCTGATGTCTGACAAATGCCAGGATTGTTTTTTCTTGAATGGACTTTTATCACTGCTGCTCTTCACCTGATATAAAATCAGAGTCTCTGGGGTATCAGTTGTCGAGACAAGGCAGAGAAAGCTCATCTTTTTCTTTTTGTAGGCCTTGCTGACACGACAGATACTGAGTATCTTTTCGTCGCTGAGGTTGAAAATTTCCCTTTGCAAAAAATTTCTCATTGCCGCCATTGTTAGTTAATTTTTTAAACAAACTTCAACAACACTCGTGCAAAAAAATTCTGACAGCAGGACTAAGTCAAATACTGTGATATACTTAATCTAATAAAATAACATTTCAAACTTGACAAACACTTGATTATATACCCTTCTGCAATTCACTAGTGGTGGGTAGATTAATAAACTGCAGACAAATACAGTTATACAGTTTATCCAATTGAAGCATATTTTTAAAAAAATAGTATGTCACACAACTATTTTGGCGTTGAATGTATCAGATATGCCATCAATACACTTGTAAATAAATCGTTTGCCCATGAAGCTTCACTTATCACAAAAAGTTTTGCACCAACGAAATAATAAAAACTAATTTTCGAGACGTTAGTAGATAATTTATTTCTTCTTTCGTAATAGTGCAACTTTTTGCTTGATAACCTTTCTCTCAAAACGGGACCGCCGACCGCCCTCTAGGGAAACACGGTGAGCGGACGGGAGTAGTGCGGAGGGGGATGGGGGGTGGATAATGGGGATGGCTTGTGCTTGTGTTGTGACGACGTATCAGTAGGTATCATATGAGTGTGTCGTGTTCTCTCTTTTTCTCTCGCGCTTTTAAATATCAAGTTCACCTGTCAGGCTGTCAGTGACCAGCAGTGACTCAGTGCTCATACGTTTGTAATGCGGTGTTTTAGTGTTGTTAAGTAATGTTTCTAAGTAAATAAGTAGGTACGTAACAATCAGCAAGCTATGAAGTTTATAGATTGATTGAAATTCGTAATTCTCATTTGGTAACCAAAGATAATTGAACAGGTGGTGCTCCAACTTGAGTATTTTTTTTGTTATTTGAAAAAAATTTAATGCCAGATACTTTAGCTTTTCCACGGCAAGATGAAATATTTGGCAGATAGTAAAAAATGTTGTAGGATTGAAGATTTGATAGCAACGAATACATAAAATGACGAGCCCGTCACGTCAGGAGAGTGGGCCTCTGCAGGAATGGGCCCCACTGACAACATTGTTGCAAAAGCTTCCTGCAAAACTTCAAGTAGGCCTATTCGCGCAAGATATAAATTTCACGTGCATCGACGCTGTGGCCGAGTTTATTGCAATTGGCACTAATCACAATCTTGTGTATTGGTTTGATAGGAAGACTGGGAAACTTGAAACTCTTGTCTGCGAGGTAAGTGGTTCTACATCAATCTCATACCAGTTATTTTGCAAGTTATAAGCATTTAGTATTTTTTTTTTCAGAACTCTGGTAACGGTATCACATGCATTAGAGTCGTATCCACTGTAGAATTCATGGTTGCAGCTGGTAATGATCAAGGAATAATTACCATTTTTCAAATACCAAAGAAAATTTCCGATTCGTTACCTGAATCCCTGAAACCAAGTAAAAAGCCACAGGTAATGATAATATTACTTATCATATATTATTACTTTATAAAAGCATAATTTTACACGTAAATGTTGTTCGCTAAACTAATATTGTCCCAACATTTAAGGTAGAAAGATTTAGTATTAAAGGTATGCACAAGGTAACAGTAACGGCTGTAGAATGGTCTAAGAATGGAATGAAGTTATTTAGCGGTGATCAAGACGGTTTCGTTGTTTCAACTGAAATAAATTTTTTTATGGTAAGTCAACAACAGTGAAAACTGACTCTTTTTATAATTATTTTTAATTTTAATTTAGCGCTCATTCGAATCCACCGAGCTGTTAAATGAAAAGTATCCAGTAGTGCAACTTAGTTACCAAAACGGACTGTTATTGATATCTACTTTGTTTAGGACAATTATAGTTGATAATAAGCAGAATAATCAAGTCAAACAAATTGGACAAAAAGAAAGAAAAATGTAATCACATTAGATTACTAATTTAAACAATTTTTGTTTATTATTAAAATCTAAACCAATTACTTCAAATTTTCAGGCTTGGTAAATTTGGAGCTGTTTTTGCGAACAATAAAAATTATGTTGACCCTCCAGTAATTTATGCAACTAGGCCTGGCTTGAGAATTTGGCAAGCAGATAAAACCGGCACTGTTTTAAAAACTCTTATTTTCAAAGGAGCAGTAAAAACAGAACCATCAAGAGTGAATTTATTAAATCCTATACCAGAGAAATCTAAAAAAAGAATTAAAGAAGATGTTAAGTTTGGCATCATAAAACCATTTTCGGATAACTTATTAGTGACCTTTAATCAAGATGTTATTTATCTTTTGAATCCAAATGAAATTACTATAACTTCAGTTGTCACTGATCTTAGAAAAGTAACGGATGTTGCATGCTTTGAAGATGAAATTTTTGTTCTTGAAGGTGAAAGAAATATTTTAAGATTGTCTTGCTATCCCGAAATAGATATTTTAGAAACAGGTATACTTTTAAAAATTAATGTGATATGTGATCAATACCGTTCACAATTTAAAAATAATGCTATTATTTTAGTTCCACATGAATCACTAGAACAGATAACACCGATCGCAGAATCAAGTAAGCCAATAGCTTGGGGACTTTCGGATATCACATCAAAATTAAAATCAAGCTCCATTGTTCCTGCCATTCCATTTCATAAAATAAACCCAACAAGTATTATGCAGGCAACGAGGTAATTTTTATTCTGACAAGTTATTTATATTATTTTTTCAACATGATGTTATCTACTCCCTTTTTTAATCTTGATAAATCGAAATAAAAATCAGTGACCCATTAAGTAGAAAAATCTGTCACCAATAGCCAGCAAAACATCTCTACAACATATTGATTAAAAAATTTAAACACTTTGTGTATTTATTTTTCACCCCGTTTCAATAGATCGCTGATTCCTACTTAAATTTATCTTTAAAATTAATTTGTGCATTGAATTTACAATTTTTCAAAATGTTTATTTCCTAACCATTAGCATTTTACCACCTATCGTTATTGGATTGGATACAACTTCGATTATAAATGCAGAAGAAGCGGTAGAAGTATGTGTAGAAGTCCCACCAGTTGTTTCGATAGATTTAGATACTCCCCTAGTGACTGATATGGAAGTGTTGAAAAAATCAAACGATTCCGTGAATTTCAAAAGTTCTGCAATAGATCGCAAAGATATTTTTGAAAAAATTAGTCAACAAGATTTTGAAGAAGTTGTTTACACGCCTAAGAGAAAGGAAAAGTTATCATCACATAAAAAAGAAAAAACTCAATCATTGCAGTCAGCAAAATTGATTACAAATAGTGTCGTTCCAGTAAATTCTAAACACAGTGATGAAGACTGTGTTTCTATTAGAATCAATGAATTATCTCAAGTTTCTGATAGAACTGAAAGCTTTATTTTAGAAAATGGAAAGAATTATGAAAACATAGAAAAAGCTGTCGAAAACAAAGAAAAGCTGTTGTATAATTATTTAGACTTATCAAAATATGAAGATAAAATAAGAATGTCCAATATAAATTCCCGCGCCTCCGTTGAGTCTCAGCGTATCAATTTTAATCCACGCGCTGTGATACAATCTCAAACTACGTGTAAGAGTGAAAATATTAATGATGAACAAAAAATTGGTGAATCTTCAACGGATAAATTTCAAAATTTATCAGAATACAATAAGAATGAAAACTTCGGATCTGATATTAAAGATTCTGCAGCCGAATCTCACTTTAGTGGTAATATTTAATTTTATTTGTAAGGCTAAATGTTAACACTGTCTTTAATTTAAATATTTTATTTTAAGAACTTTCTAAAGAGTTTGTCAAGTCCACGATGCGTGAAGAGAAAAGTGACTGGATATTACTTGGTTAAATGACACTTTTAGCGAATTTGTTGTAAAAAATCTGTACATTGTTTACATATATCATACAATTTTTTTAAACGTAACGTTAAAAGCATGAAAAATATTTCATAAATATTTTTGCAAAAGTGCCTGAGGCAAAAAATCAATTACTTTCTGTTTGCTATGCGGATCGAAATAACCACTTCCTGACCGCAGCAGCACTTTAAATTATATGTATACCATGGCCGGAAGTAGCTATGAAGAAATCTCAGATCGCCCTATTATCACAATCCACGGACGACCTTAGACTTTCTTTACTCAACTACCTAAGTGTATAATAAATACACTATTACTCTTGAATACCTGCGTATGTACATTTTTAATTTTGAAAGAACTGTAAGACATAATTGTGATTTATATTTTTATTTTTGAATTATAAAATGTATTAAAAATAAAATTTTTTGTAACTGTTTGCATCAAATGACCCATTGTTTAGTTTTATGCAGTAGTTACATTGTCGTTGATTCTTTTAAATTTCTTAATAAATTTTTTTCTCCCTTTAACAACTTTTATATGTACATGCTTGCGAGGACTTAAACATCCATAGTAACAAGTAATCTAAGGTATTAACATTACTTTTTAGTGATTGGTATCAAATTTGCTGCTGTGAGAACCTGTCTAGCAGCATTATTAATGTGTCTGAAACGGTCTGGTCCCAGATGTATCCCACCATACCATCGTGATACGATTACTACAATATTTTTAACATTCATAATCTTAAAAAAAAAAAAAAAAAAAAAAAAATTTAGCAAAGTCTTTAATGAGACCATAATATATTCGACAACTTAATACGAAAATAACTTACCTCTAACAAATGTAACAATCTACTTCCAGCTTGAGTTTCTCCATCATCATCACAGTCATGTATAAAACTATTATTACTTTCATTATATATCCTATATGCAGATATGTTGTGAGTTGCATGCTCAATTTTTTTATTTTCCTTGAGCTTATTAATTACTTGTCTGCAGGTTAAATAATAAGGATAACTATGAAATACTGAAAAAAATGTTATTGAAAATCGATAGTTTACTTTTTACAATTACCTAACTTGTTCAACAGAAAAAACTGTAGCAGTATGGCCTTGAAATGAGCTTTTTCTATCAATCATTGTCTCACCATGAATAATTTCTGGACATTCAAATAAGCGATCTTCATTATCATTTTCAATCGGTATAGGCTTTGAAATTGTGAGATCTTTCAACTGATCTTCCAGTTCTAAAGATGATGAGAATTCCTCTCTTATTTTTTCTATAAATTGAAAAATAACAGTATCCCCAATGTTTGATCTAGAAAAAAAAAGAAATTTAAGTAACAATACTATGAAAATAATTATCAACTACCTACAAGTAAACATCTTCAAGAGCATGACAAAGTTGTTCTTTTTGATTTTTCTTCAAGTGCGGAGCCGAAATCTCAAATGTTGGAGGGGACATGGTAGGATAATCTTCAGGCAGTTTAAAATATAGCTTCACATACAGATTCTTATTACGATTATCAGAGATTTTAATACTATAAGATCTATTTTCTTCATCCTCCGTTTGTAATTCATCACCATAAATTGCTGTCAAGGTTTCTATCTCTTCAATCTGAAAAACATAGGTGTCAATGATATTACAAATTGCGATTTCATTTTCGGATAATCACTTACTTGTTTAGTTAGATCATCCATTTGAGACGAAAACAATAGTTATTTGGACGTTAAGAATTTTTGAAACCAAATAAGGTAATGTAATTTGAGGAACCTATGACATAAATTAATCAGTACCAGTGCACATTATTAAACAAACAATAATTTAACAGAAAAATATTTACACGATTTTCCAACATTAGCCTTGAAGCTTTAAACAGTTTTTGGTATATTTGAATTTCAAACAATCTTAAAGAGAAATTTATTTTCTAACCTTGAAACTGTTTTCCATCTCTTCAAAATACAGTACTTATTCCATTCATATTACTTAGTCGTCTTCATCTTACAATCGTTTACTTAATCTAATCGTCGAATCGTCCCTCACTGATACACAAAAATATAAACATCAGATGTTTATCAAGGTCCATTTTTACACTGAATTGAGAACCAGCGTCAAAGCTTACAAAGTTCTTGACACTCGGCTTAGGTAACGTAATCATGAAAATGGGCCCTAATTAATGCTCTACGCGCTTCAACTTTCAGCATTATTATTGTTTTTGTTTTCGTAAACAACAAGCAGTCAAGAGTCAAGTTGTTTGGTGTAAATTATACTTAAACACTCAGTGGATTATTGGTTAAAAAAGTTTAAAATTCATAAAAAATTTTATGAGATTGTAGTCAATTGATGACACAAAATTATTATTGAACCTTTTATGATTTAGCATACTTAGTAGGTTACACACCAGTCTTACAAGTGTTAACTGACCTATAAATAATGAATCTTGAATTATTAGGTAAGTAAATTGTTTTTGTTTTAATCCGATTTTTACTTACTATTAAAATATTCTAAAAATATTTTTTTACAGAATCTTTTGGCCAGAATTATCCAGAAGTAAGAGCTCTATTTAAATTATGCACAATCAAAATGTCACAATAAAAAATTATTCATGAAATTTACTTTTTTTTTTTTTTTTTTTTTTTTTTAAGGAATTCGATGGAACGTTAGATTGCATTTCACTTGCTGTTACATGTACATTTAATAAGCGTGGAACATTGTTAGCTGTAGGTTGTAATGATGGAAGAATTGTAATTTGGGATTTTTTGACAAGAGGTATTGCAAAAATTATTAGTGCACACGTTCATCCAGTATGTTCACTGAGGTAAAAAATTTTTTTTTTAATATTTCCTGTTTTCATCAAAATTAATTAATAAAACGTATTCTCTCTCTAGTTGGTCTAGACATGGTCATAAATTACTCAGTGCTTCAACTGACAATAATGTATGTATATGGGATGTGCTGAATGGCGAGTGTGAACAAAAGTACAGATTTCCTTCTCCCATTTTAAAAGTACAGTTTCATCCAAGAAATTCGACAAAATTTTTAGTTTGCCCTGTCAGACATGCTGCAGTTTCTGTGGATATTCAGGGTGGGCATCATGTTATTCCTCTAGATCAAGATGTAAGGTTAAACTGATTTTTTTTTTTTAATTATTTATTCACGTAAAAGTATGATATAAACTAAAATTTCTAGAGTGACTTAAATATCGTTGCATCATTCAATAGAAGAGGGGATTATATTTTTACTGGTAACGGAAAAGGGAGAATTTTAGTTCTTGATGTAGAGTCTTGTTCTGTGAAAGCATCTTTTAAAATATCACAGGGAACAGCCAGCAATACAGCTGTTAAAAGTATAGAGTTTGCTAGAAGAGGCTCTTACTTTTTAGTGAATACTGCAGACAGAGTTATAAGGGTTTATGATAGTGCAGAAGTTTTAACTTGTGGAATTGATGGACAGCCAGAACCAATTCAAAAACTTCAAGATCTTGTCAATAAAACAACTTGGAAAAAGTGTTGCTTTTCAGGAGATGGGGAATATGTTTGTGCTGGTTCAGCCAGGCAGCATGCTTTGTACATTTGGGAAAAAAGTGTTGGTAATTTGCAAAAAATTTTACACGGCACGAAAGGGGAACTTTTACTTGACGTTGTGGTAATTACATTTTAATTGATGTATGATTTTTAACACACTAATTGATAATTAATGCAATGTTTTGTTTATAGTGGCATCCAGTAAGACCAATCATTGCTTCGATATCATCAGGAGTTGTTTCAATCTGGGCACAAAATCAAGTAGAAAATTGGTCAGCTTTTGCTCCAGATTTCAAAGAACTTGATGAAAATGTTGAGTACGAAGAGAGAGAAAGCGAATTTGATATCAGTGATGAAGACAAATCTGTGGTCCAAGGTGAAGAAGCACAAGACGAAGAAATTGAAGTAGATGTACAAGCTATTGAAAGGGTGGCAGCTTTCTGTAGTTCAGATGAAGAGATTGAAGGCCAAGAATCTTTACAATTTTTACCAATCGCTCCAGAAGTTGAAGAAAATGAGGAAGCACCGACCTCTCATGAAATTCCTGCAAAGAAATTTAAACATTACGAGATTGATTTGAAAGGAGCACCTACAGATGGTAATTTTTTTAATGATTCCAAATCTAATTTTACTAATATGTTTATGAAGCACAGTAAAATGTATAATTTTTGTTTTATTCAGCACTTCATCCTATGTTTAACAAAGGTAAAGATAAGCCAGCTGCCAAAAAAGGTCGACCACGACTGGAGCATCGAAAAGGAAAGTAAAAATTATAATTGTAAATAATTTGACGAATCATGAAGCTTCTTGGTTCTGATAATTTTGTGATTTGTAAACTCCTAGGTGTGAGTTTTTAAAATATATATGTGAATTATTTTAAAAACAGTGTAAAAGTTAGCAACTGAAATTACACGAGTACAAGACTTAAATTAATATTTATGATCATACGATTAAGTATTTCATCTTGTAAAAAATTTATTGTACACCTAGGCATGAAAAATTGTACCTAATTCGTTTTTCATAAAAACCAAAAGTTATTCCACTCGAAGTAGTGTTTTTTTATACTTATAAATAATAATAAAATTTCACTAACAGTGAAAAAACAATACTTTTCGATCTATTTCTTAATTGTTTACCATGTAAAATAAATAGATTGCATTTTTTCTACTTTGCAGTGTTAAATTTTTTTTTACTTCCCGCCTGTGCGTGTCTTTTCTTTTCACTCATTTTTTTTCGCGTGCGTACTGTATACACACCTTAATAACGCACTGGGACAACACAAAAAAAACGTATCCGTTAAACAATAAGTTGATTTTTTTGATATAAAGTTTGTTTCGTAATAATTTTAGTACTTTTGCCCAATTTCTTTAAAAAAATGTGATGATTATATGTTAGTATGAAATTGCTTGTGAATACTTACTGACTTAGTAAATGACTCTCTTGTCCTAAGTTAACCTCGAATAGGACTGTTTTATCACTTTCGCCAAAATTTAAAAAAATGGCTCTTTGTAATGGTAAGTAATACGTTTTTTATAAGAAATTTAGTGCCTGTAACGTGAAATTTAATGATTATTATTTTAAAAGGACTCGCCTTTAAATTATTAAAATCAGTCAGTCTGAGAAGCCTAGGCACTCAGACTGCTCAAGCCGTGAAAATACAGGAAGAAGTATTACAAACATTTCGTACTAATGAAAACAATCCTGCTAAGCATACAAAGCAACATTTGGGTAGATATTACACTGTCCCGCCAAGTGACATTGTACCAATTATTGGCGATGGTGAAATGCCTCTTACTCCTATAAAAAAGGAGATAAAAACTTTCATGCAGTGGAATATTTTAATCAGAAAACCAGCACTTGAAATCATAAGTTATCTGTCTCAAACTGATTACAGCAAACCTGTGAACAAATATGTTTTGTGTATCCTTTTATTATCAGTACAATTAATGTGAATCTTACGTTTTTTATTGTAAACCTTAACAATGATGCACAGTTGGAGAAGACGGCACTGGCAAAACATTGAGTTTGTTACATGTAATTCATTATGGCTACGTCACAAAGAAATTGATAATTTATATACCATGGTGTAAGAATTTTAAATAACTTGTATGATTAATTGCATTTTTAGCATTTATAAATTAATTTATTCTAGTACAAGAATGGTACAGATTTCCTCGAGAATGTGCCAATTCAGAAACAAAAGAAGGTCTAGTGGATTTACCAATTGATGCTGCTAAATTACTACTGAATTTTAGAAATATTAATGCCTTGCTACTTTCTAAAATAGATGTGAGTATAATTATCTTTATTTTATGCTCATCATGAGATAAATTAAGTTTTAATTCACTTCTTTCATCACGGCAAAACAGATAAAGCTGTCTAAAGATTATGTATTTGGTGTTGATACTTTTCATAAAGATGCACCTATAACTGAGATGGTAGATTTTGGTATTAGTAGGATTAAATATGCCTGTGATGTTATAGATACCTTATTCAATGAAATCAAACTAGCCAGTATTGCAGGAAAATGCAATACATTAGTAGCAGTTGATGGATACAATGCAATTTATTCTAAAACTACATTTGTTAAAGATGATAATAAACAAAAAGTACCAGCTTCAAGGGTATCTTTAACCCAATCTCTCTTAGAATTGACAAAATCTGATTGGTGTAATGGACAAATCGTACTTACAGTAGATCAAAAGGCTGTTAAAGTAAGTTGTTGATAGTAATAACTAAAAGATTTAAAAATTTTTTAACTTGTCCTTACTAAAATTTTTTAATTTTTACTCAGGATAACCGAGAATCACACCTTCCACGGTATTTGCTCGCAAAAGAAGGTTTTAACCATTTAGATCCATTTTTACCAGTTGGTGTTGAAAATTATACCCAAGATGAGTTTGACACTGTTATGGAATATTATAAAAATAGAAAGTGGATAAGAAATATTAGTGAAGAAGGACTGAAAGAATTGAGATTGGTATGTGGTAGTAATCCCTACAGACTAATGGATTATTGCAAGGATTTATAAAAAGTCTAGTTTCATACAAGTTATGACACTGTACATAAAACAAGTAGATGATACAGCTACTTTTTTTCCAATATTTTATTTATACTTGTACATATATACCCAGCAAATACAGAGCTATTAAATAACTTTTCTACTCTATTACTCATAATAATACTTCAACCAATAGTTTTACCAGATTCACATAGACCTTTAGGTATGTATTAATTTAATTTTTGAATAACAAATGAATTATGCTTTAATTGCGAGTAGGTTGTAATGCATCTAAAACTTTGCTGATATCTCCATTCTTTGAGACCAACAGTTGAGTTAGCCAGCCTCCTTCATTGGTGAACCCCATTTGCATCATTGCATCAACTGCACGCTGTATTTTGGGATTGGAATGCCAAACTGTATCAGTAACGTTTTGTAGAGATGGATAAATTGACGAGCCCTCGGTAGGTTTATCCTCGGTGGTACTTGGCTGCAAAAACAAATATTTATTTATTTTTTTCTAACAATTAGTAATTTTATCCAAATAAATATTTACCTTCTTTGCGTCAGTGTTACTTGCAGCATCAGATGTTTCAACAGGAGCAGTGGGAATGTTTTCAGTGTCCAGTAAGGTCCAATCATCAGTCTTTAAATTTTCATTGTCGTTGGACAATTTGGTTTCTTCTTTTTTTCCTTGGCTTTCACTATTTTGAGCAGGTGAGGGCTCTTTAGTAAAACTACTTGAAGGCTTTCTATCAGGAGTGGCATCGCCTTTCTGGCTCCTTGGGGTGCTTGATCCAGATTCACTTGCTTGGTCTACTCCACTTTGCTTGGAAGAGGAGCGATTGGCGGTAGATTTTGCGTTATTAGATGCCGGATTGTCAGTGGAAGTTGAATTATTCGTTTCCGCGGTTTTATCAGTTTTTACTTGAACGTTCACGTCGATGCCCAGCGGGTCTAAAAAATGCGAAATAGTTTCGCCAATATTCTTCAATAATTCGACGTGGGGCTCCTCTGAATTTTTCTCGCTTGACGAGGCTGCAGAACCCTTGTCCGACTTGCCCTGATTTTTTTCCTGCTCGGACTCCTTTTTTCCATTTTCCATGATAGGGCATTCCGGGAAGTTGGCCCAGTCATTCAAGTACGTCGTAAAAGTGTTCAGCCAAGATGGGGTCTGCGGGTCATGATCATAGTGACGGCTGTGCGATGTGCTACTGTACCTTCTGTTCTTGAAGGGACATTCCTTAGATTCATCTTCGTCCGAGGTGGGAGACGAGGCTTTTCTCATGAACTTGTTGATAATGTAAAACATGCGCTTCTCGTGATGTGAGCGCAAGTGCAGGGGTGTGGGCATGCGGATCATCAGGTGTTTGGCGTGTAAATTTTTGATTTCGCAATTGCTGCACAAGTCGTAATCGGGGCATTGAAGGCATTTGTACCGGAAACCGATAACGGGCTTGTCACAGCTATCGCAAATAACACCCGGATGCTTAGTTTTCGGCACCGAGGAAGCATCGCTGGCAGAGGGGAAAGTCTTGTGGTTGTTTTGGTACGCGGTGACGTACAGCTTGCGTATCGGTTCGTTGATCTCGTTGATCGCTATAGACAACTCCTCATCATTGGTAATGCGAATACAATCTCCTTCACCATCTGAAAAAACCATGTCAGCCTTATAAACATTAGAATTTAGACGATGACGATGGTAAAACGGTAATATCATACACGGGTACACAGGTATACATGATACATTGAATGTAATTGACAACTGTATCAAGAGTACCGTATCGTTACAAAGCATTACAGAGCTACGTGATTTACCTTTCCAGGAAATGTCCAAGCGTTTGCCGTGGGTGTCGGGGAATATGACCTGGAGTTTTTCCTGAAGCTTCGAGAAAGGGTTCTTGATGATGTCCATGGAAAGTCGATGGATCTCGGTCTTTTGATCCGGGTCTTCAGACCAGACCAGAAACACTTTGTAGTCGATTACGCCCATGTTGATGACTATTACTTTTTGCACTTACTATATGTATTATTATGCACGGTAGTTAAATGTTTGCTATTATACGCGTTGCTGATGCAAGTTGACAGTGGAACTGTCGACTATCTGACAAGTCTCTCTGTTATATAGCAAATATCCATATAATAGAGAAGAGAGAGGGAGACCCGCGTACTGCGCACTTTCGGAGTATCGGAGTTTGCCTTCGCTTTCCCTTCTCTCTAACTCCCCACCCTCTTACACTGCAGATCCGGAGCGATGATTCAATGAAAAATGAAAACAAACGTCAGCTGTCACTGCGTTGCTGCTGCAATTTCGCACATGCTGATTATCTATCGACCTGGCCTATCAGACGTGCTTTAGCTGAGCTGTTTTACTGCCATAGGCTCGTTTCGCGTATAAACGTCCAGTCACTATTATGGCGTTTTTTGTTTAATCCTTTCAATTTCACAGACTCACCATGGCTGCTGTTGTTGAGTGTGTAACATATATATACGCAAGTTGGTTGTAGTTACACTATTTATCGTAAATCCATGCAATAAAAAAGTATAGGAACGTGCGAGATATATAACTGTAACACAATTTTGGAGAGAAAACATTAAATTATAGAAGATTTAAATTAATTGTAATACTCAACAGCCAAGTGATGTTAAAAAATTTAGAAATAAGACAATGTAATGATAAATATATATGGTGCCCTGTCTAATACTATATTAATTTTTTATTATGGTTGCATATGAAAAAAAAAAAAAAAAAGACAACTCTAGTCTGCATATGTNTTGCATATAAAAAAAAAAAAAAAAAAGACAACTCTAGTCTGCATATGTTACGTACACACGAATACGATTACAAAATAAGTTGATTAATTTTGACTGTTGAGCTGCTGCAGGATGACTTAAAAGAGGTACTTAATAGACGGAAAAAAAAAAACTAACGTAAAAACTAAAATTATGTCGCCGTCGTACAAACTTGAACCTTTTTTCAAGTTCTGTTACACATTCAGCGAAAGTGGGTACCTTGAAATTAAACTTTCCATCGAAATACTGCGCTATCACTTATGGAATAATTTATTATTTTAAAAATTCGTAAATTTTTATAATTATTATACCTTTTGAATTTTTTTGCTAAATACACGTGTGAATAAACTGCTAGGGATTTCGTTCTTTTTGTTTTTGTTGAAAAAATCGTAAATGAACGTTCGTTTTTGAGTATCTACTCGAGAGGTCAAACTACAAGATAAAAAAAAACTTTGGTGAAGTTTATAGTTAATTCAGTTGAGCCCGAGTTATATTTCTTAATGATAAATGTTGTATGCTGCAAACTATTCGAAAGAAAAGTAGAAAAACTTACTTAGTAATGATGTTTTTTGTCACAAAAAAAAAGTAACGTGTACATGTAAAATAAATAAACAATTATACAACAGGTGTTTTCCCGAGCTTGCAGACACATTTAATTATAAAATCAATATTTTAGAAATTTAGTAAACTATGCGCTGGTCATTTTACGGGTAATATCTTGATCATTCGAGAACAACCCCCCCCCCATTTTACGTTACTGAAAGAATTCATTAATTTACATATACTTACGCTATCGCTGACGCAATTGCGATAAGTTGTGTGTGCATCATCTTAAGCATGTATAAGTGTACGTATTGAATAAAAAAAAAAATTATTTTACTACATAAATTATTGAAATGTGAATCGCAAATACACATGTATATATATTTTTGCGCACATTCACCTCCTGTTTCGGAAACATTTCGGAATGGATGCTGGAGATAAATTTAATTTGTTATAATTTCAAGCGGATTTATTGGTCATCAGCAAACAAACCAATAAGTTTTTTTAAAATTAATTTTCGTGGTCGCTGATGATATTGAACATACATGTTATTATAATATATAATATAGTTCCATTTCAAAGCTAGCTATTTTTCCCTCGTTTGAATAAAGTCAGATTTTGTAAACTGATAAACTTTTCCGCAAACAAAAGTATATAGGTACTTATGTATTTTTTGAGAAATTTACTTCGCTTCTAGTGGTTAAAAAAAAAACAAACAAAAAAACAAAAAACAAATAAAAAAATTCCGCTAATAATCCGGTGTTTTATTTAAGATACTTACTGTGTTTCGAAAAAGTTAAAAGTCATGCATTGAAGTACTTATTTGATGAAAAAATCTCGACACATCTAAAAATTTCAAAAAGTGTCTGCAATGCATGATGAATCATATGGATCATGGATGCGGGATTGCATCATGAAATAATTAAAATGATATCGCGACACCCGTATCTTCTGCTGGTGTGCTGTTGTTGGTGATGTGGTTTGGTCATACACATATATTCACCGCTGTTTTTCTTTGTGTGTCGTGTTGAGACCCTTTTATAAGTACAATAAACTTTTGATACTGCACAAAAATATCTCGTACTTAGCAGTTACGTGCAACATTTTAAATCACGCATTGTCTGATATGTTACGTATGAAACAAACAAGTAACTCATCTATCTGAATACTTGGTTAAATGGATTTATTTATATAGAAATAGTTGTACTTGTTCAGTGAATATTAAACGAAAAGAAAAAAAAGTGAGAATGTCTGGAAATACGAAAAAAGAATCGCAGAAAGGTGGATTTGGGAAACAGGAAAGCCTGCAAGCTGTTGTTTTCACAGATGATTTCGTTCACGACTTGAGGCCAGCGGATCGCGTGTTTCCCAGCACTCTGTTGCCCATCATCTCTTGTCCACTCTTGGATTATTTATTAGAAACGTTAGCTCGTTCACGGGTGCAGCAAGTATTTTTATATTTGAGTAATCACGTTGAAAAGCTCAAAACTCACTTGGACTCGCTAAAGAATGTCCTGGACAAAAGTATGGTCATTACCACCATTGTATCAGATGGATGCAGATCTCTCGGTGATGCACTGAGGGACATAGATACCAAGGGTTTTATCAGAGGTGATTTTATTTTGATTAGAGGTACAGCCTTTACCAATGTAGACTTTAGAACTTACATGGATCATCACAAGGCTCGCAAGGAGAAAGATAAAAATGTTGCCATGACTATGATTTTTAGAAATCTTGGTAATATCAAGGATTCAGTTCTGAAAAATGAGTCTAGTTATGTTGTTTCAAGTGCCAATTCTAAAAAACTTTTGTTTTACAAAAAATGTACCCCAAACGAAAAAAAAGTTGAAATGGAGTTGCAGTGGTTCTTAGAGCACGATAAAGTTAACATCGATACTGCTTTGTTTGATACTCACATGTACATTTGTTCTCAGTCAGTCTTACCTTTATTTGCAGATAATTTTGATTTTCAGGTAAAAATGAAATATATATATACATAAAATAAATGATTAATATTTTTTCATAAATGATAATTAAAAGTATATTTTTTATATTTAGACCATGGAAGATTTTATTCGAGGAGTTTTGATGAATGAAGAATTTATAGATTCAAGAATATATTGGGAACCTTTGATTAATCCGGAATACGCTTTACCAATAAATTCTTGGAAGGCTTATCAAATGATATGCAGAGATATTTTACAACGTCAGTGCTATCCTTTGGTGCCAGATACTTTGCCTTTATCTATGCGAGATTTTACTTATATGTCCAGAAGTACTTACAAACATCATACATCAACTGTATCTAAAGGGTGTACTTTACACAGCGAAGCAATCATTGGTGAGCACTCCACTTTGGGAGAAAACTCATTTGTCAAGAGATCCGTAATTGGGTCCAAATGTTCGATTGGATCAAATGTAAATATTTATAACTCTTACATCATGTCCGGTGTTAAAATTCAAGATAATTGTATTGTTACCGACAGTATTATCTTCTCAAATTGTACAATTGAAAATGGAAAAAAAATCGAGGCATGCATATTGTTGCCCTATGTTAAATGCTCTAGCAACTACAGCGATGTGTTTCTGGAATTGAGCAGTGATGATACAGTTGTACATACAAAATTGGAACAATTGTTTGAAGATGATGAGAATTACTCGAGTATTCTTAGGAATGACGATTCTAAAGTAGATTTCGATGATGCATCATCAATGTCATCAGACTCCTCTGCTTGGTCAGCCCCATCATCAAGAGAATCCATTCCACTGGCAGTACTTCAAGATGACAACGACTTATTCCTCTCGGAAGTTATTGATAGTTTGTTGCGTGGTTTTGAAGACCAGCTCAAGTGCGAGAACTTGATTTTAGAAATCAACTCTTCTAGATATGCTTACAATATCAATATTAGACAAGTGTCGCATAATGTCATCAAGGCCATCCTCAGATTACCATTACATCATTACTCTAAAATTGAAGCTGATTCGAAAAACCAAATGAAATCTGCCGAATATTTTAAGATTTTGAAAAAAATACTTGAATATTTTAACCCCATAATTGAAAACTACATTAAGACTGAGAACGCTCAAGAAGATTGTCTTAATGCCATTCAAGACGTTGTCTTTACAAATGAAACACTTGTCAAACCATATGTGATACATTTGATAAAATATTTATATGATCGTGATATTTTGGTTGAAGAAAAAATTATCGAGTGGTATGAGCAAGATTTCTTTTCTACCGAGGATGCTCAGCTCTTTAATACTGAAAGTGATAACTTGACGCAAGAAGAGAAACGGTGCATATCTGCTTCTATGCGAAAGGAAATGGCGCCGTTTATTAACTGGTTAAAAGAAGCTGAAGAAAGTTCTGATTCACAGTAATTTTTTTTTAACTACATAAATTTTTGATAAATTCTTGATGTACATAAATAAATTTTAAATGTATATAAATAGTTGTTTTTTTTATTCAAACGAGCCTTTTTATAATGGTGCAAAACAAAAGTTAGTTCAAGTATTAGCAAAATACAAAATGCATTTATTCATTGATAAACTTAATATTTTTTTATGATTCATCGTCACTGTGAGAGTTTTGCTTTGGTTTTGGACCACCAGCTCTCTTTGCCATGATAATTTGATCAATTTTGAGGATAGTACATGCAGCGTTGGTCGCGTACTTAAGGGCCCAGTACTTTGTTAGATACAAATCAAGAATACCTGCCTTTTCGACATCAATAACACTTTCTTCTCCTGTGCCCTATTAACAGTAAAAATTCATTAATAATATTAATCTTGAGAATTGTTTGAGAACGTGAATTCAAATTTTGTTATCTTACATCAATATTGAAGCCATGATTTATTTTCCCCTCCTTGTGAGCAGCATACAGTTTCGAAATTATTCCAGAAGAGTGAGTTCCACTGTTATCAGAAAGAGTTTTAGGAAAAACTTCTAGAGCTACGGCAAATTTGCGTACAGCATATTGTTCTAAGCCAGGGATGGTATCTCCATATGAAGCAATTTTAGATGCTAGTTCAATTTCAGTAGCACCTCCACCAGGAACAATATTACCATTCTTTGTGATGGCTTTGAAAGTATTAACTCCGTCATCGATTGCCCTTTCAATGTCATCCATGTAATTATCAGTAGAACCTCGAACAACGATTGTGCTAATGCGACTTTCTTGATCTTGATTTTGAAAAACTACTATGCTCGTATCGCCAAGTTCATCTACATGAACGGAATCTGCATACCCCAGCTCTTCTTTGGTTGGCGGATTCTATATTAATTAAAAATTGTTTAGTTACCGATTCCTAACCATCGCAAAACCAGTTGTTAGTTTTACGTTTTTAGTACATTTCTCAATTCATACGTTCATTTTTTGTTATTATGAACAATTAAGTTTATGATTGCACAGTTTCTACTTGATTAAAGAATATGTATTAACAAATAAATAAAAACTCACCAACTTCGTCAAAGCTACAGCCTTAACGGCTCGACAAAGGCGTCTTAAGTCGAACTTGCTAGGGAGGCGTACGGCCATCAGATTGTACTTGTTAACATAGTAAAGGGCCATATCTCCGAATTTACCACCAGAAACAATAACTGTGGCACCAGAATCTGCAATAGCTTTAATTTGCGATTCCAATAAAGATTCTTCACCTCTCGAAAAGTTCAACAACTCATTAGCAGACTTGATAAGAACTGTTCCTTTTGTTTCTGTTTGCATAATGTCTACCGGGCATGTATAGACGGCAACTTTAGCTTTTTCCACCTTTGTAATGTCTCCTTCTACTTGTCTCTTGAAAACCATTCCTTGAATGACCTAAAAAGCATCTTAAAAATTAATTTAAAGAACCCTATATCCAAACGCCAAAGAGTGTTAGGTAAAAAAAGTCATAAAAATTAGTTTTTAAACAGAAAAAATAAGAGAAGAGGAAATATTTTAATAATAGTTTTCTAGAAAATTTTTGATTCAATTTTTGAAAATGAAACGCACCTGTGAAGAATGCAACCCAGAGCCCAAAATTTTGCAAACTCTCACGTTGTCTACGTTAAATGTAACATTTTTTTTAATAGCATCTGCAGGCAAAATGGAAGAGCAGGCTTTACAAACGAGATTTGCAATGAGATCTTCTTTGCCATACTGTTTGCTCATGATGGAAGTTTTCATAACATCCTCAATTTGACTGATATCTTGCCAGTCCTTAACTTCCCTGATTACTAACTTTGGTAAAAGTTCTAAGGCTTTTTCCAGAGCAAGTTCGTATCCTTCAACAATTTCTGTAGTAGTGATTCCCTGCAATAATAAAAATTAAAGAATCACGAAGTGTACTTAATGTTTTCAAAAATTTTTCACTTTCAATAAAAATTTCATACCAATCTCAGAAGCTCTTCAGCGTGTTCCAGCAGAGCTCCGGCAAATATAATAACGAAATTTGTGCCATCTCCGACTTCAGACTCTTGCATCTCTGATGCCAGAACCAACAGCTTTGCTGCTGGATGTTCCACATCCAACTCTCTAATGATAGTTGCTGCATCACTTGTGACAAACAACTTTTCCAAGTGATTTATCACCATTTTGTTCATCCCATTGGGTCCATAAGCTGTGCGCACGGTCTGTGCAAACTCCTTACAGGCTGTGATATTACGATAGACAGCTTCTTCCAGTCCAGAAAAGTACTAAAATAACATGAAAACCAACATTTTTGTTGCAAATTTCAATGTAAGGTTTAAATGAATACAAGTTACATTGATCATTAACATAAAAAAAAAAAAAAAAAAAAAAAAAAAGATTAGTGCCTCAAACTAATAACTGGACCATATAAAATGACCACTTCTTATCAGAGATGATGGACAAATAAGTTAAAATAAAAAGAATTTGCTAACCTATACTCATCGACAAATATCAGAAGCCAAAGACAAGCGAAGAATTAAAGTATACTAGAATGGCAACAAGAACCTTAGAAAATATCATTAATCAAACTCAGTTTCAACCTCTTTATTATCCTGATAACCGACAATACGCGAGTATTCTCCGAAATGTCCATAAAAGGCAATGGCTTTGGTCGATCTACGTGTATACGTAAGGACGGTAAAAAACACACCTACGTGTACGCCCTTTTTTGCAAAAATGAAGACAACAATCTACATCGAGCGAACGCCTTAAAAGAGGAATAATATAAGTATCAAGATAACAAGTAATACGTACACGTGCACCATCCTTGAGCATCTGAGCCATGCCCGGGGCCTTGGGTACGTGCAGAGCCATCCTTCCTCGTTGATTATTTCGTCGTACAAAAAAAAGGCACAAATATCGGGGAGAACTAAATATTTAATATCTGGAACTCTGAATTATAAATGTTACGAACGTGCTTGCTAACAATAAGATTATTGTATCTTGATCACAAGTGTACCTACCGGAATCAAACAAGAAGCGGAGCTGATTCGTATACTATACAGCGCAAATAAAAAAAGATGGTCACGCTTGACGTCAATGACGTCATTCTACGGGTTACGTGGCGTAATTTTAACAAATCGAAATCAAGTTGACAATCGATCCTACTATTCGACACTTCAAAGTCTTCAAACACTTTTAAGGACCGATCGGTTGAAAAAAAAAAATCTTAAATCCTACAAAGGTAGATTTATAAATTTGAAATTATAATAAGTTATATGTTCAATAATAGTTATTTATTGAAATATTAAATATAACTATTAAGCAAAGATAGAAACCCCGTCGACAATTGAATATCGAAATAATCATGAAATCGAAGCTGTACACAAAACTCGGAAAGGCTGTATCGACAAGTGCGCCATGCAGTTGCAGATGCAGAGGCGATTTCAGCGTGAGGTGTAATTGTACTTATACTTTCGATAGTACTCACGCTTTGCTTGGGCTAATATTTAATACTGCTATATTTGTGTGCTACTTTACTTACGACTTACGTTGAGAAAAAAAAAATTAAATTCAGGCCTCGGACTTGAACTCAAACTTTTGAATTTTAGGGTTTTACTTAACTTGATAAGTATTTGTTTCTCTCAATCGATCGTAGGTTGTCGGCGTCGTACAGTCTTTACAACTCATATACTTACTCTACAAAGTGCAAAGTAAAGTGACCATTATCTATAGTACGTATATAAGATTTAGGTTATAAGTTAATCCATTACCTATTGAAAAACTCGGAGCTCTTTCTTTCTCTGTATCTCTGTGTCGGTTTTCTTGTTACAATTGTTTCAATTGGAGTAGGTAAACTCAACGATTTAATTGGCAGACATTACGTTGCTGAGGACAATTTCAGTTGGGCAAACTTCCAAACAAGACTGCCAAAAGTTTCTGTATTTTTTATGTAATATAAAACCAAGTCTCGGTATGGATCGTTGTGACTCAATTGCATTTGTAAAGCTTTTTTTTCAATGCACATCTGGATAACCCTGACCGTGACTTTTTTTCTATTTTAAGGTGTCAAATTTTTATTTTAACATGATTCACGTAAGACAAAAGTTTTTGTCGATGCAAACTTGAATTCCAATGTAAAGTAACATGCTCTTGCAAGGCGAGAAATAGTAGATCGGAGAGAAAGACTCAAAATTCATCCCGCAAACATTTGAACGTTGCAAAGATGAGTGGTGAAATGTTTGAGGATAAGGACTACCCAACCCAGTGGGCCATCAATCCCGCAACTTATCAAAATATGAACAGTGATCAAGGTAATTATAATGAATTTCTGATTGAAACAAAAGAATGTATAGTTTTAACATTCCCTAATTAAATTTTTCAGTAAAAGCAGAACTTAATAATGATTGACGATTAGTAGTTTGTAAAAAAAAAAAATCTTCTCAAATATAATACACTGAATTTTCTTTTCTAGTGGATTGGGCTGCTTTAGCCCAGCAGTGGATCAAAATGAAAGAGTCTAGTGTTCCACCTGCACCACCTCCGCCTCTGATTGCGGACAGTCTTCTAAATACTTCGTCACATGATGGTGGTGGTGAAGCACCTATGGATATGGATACTAAAGATGATGATATTCCTCCGGCACCACCAGCTCCAACTATTAGTGGATCAGGTTTCTTTCAACTGTTCACCACTGACAAAAAACTCATTGTATCAAATAAGAAATCACGAAAAATATCTATCCTTGTTCCAGATGACTGGAATCAATGGAGTCAGTGGGGAAATCAATGGGGGCAAGCTGCACCATCTCTCGCACCTCCGAATTGGGATTGGGTTGCATTTCCTGGGGGTCCTGAGGGAAAGTCTATAGGGATTCCGATCCCACCCCCTGCCCCATGTATATCAGGCAATCACATGCCACCTGCAGTGGTACCTACAGTACCACCACCTTTACCTCCTGCTTATTCATACAATACAGTACCTATTCCACCTACGCCATATGGAAATCAAGTAAAACATAATTTTCATTAAATTTTTTTCGTAGTAAAAAATAGATTAATTTGATTTGAATTTTAATTTAAGGTTCCTCCTACTAATTTCTGGAACTCTGAGCAACATCATCCAATTCCTGCTGCTCCTATGCCTGGTCAACCACCTTTTGTAAAAAACATACGTCCAAATCATCACAGAATACCTTTTCCACCTCCACCTCCAAATATAATGCCAACATCTGAGTTGATGACGACTAAAAATCGAGGTTTGAGAGATAGAACACCTGAAAATGATTATTCATTGACAATAGGTATGAAAATCAGTGGAATACTTAAACATATTCTAATAACATGTATTACTCATGTTTTTTCTATGGAAATTAATTATGTATTATTCCTATAAGATCCTATAAAGCGACGTACGCTACCGGCCTGGATACGAGAAGGTCTCGAGAAAATGGAAAAGGAAAAACAAAGAGCTGTTGAACGGGAAAAAGAAGAAATTCTTCGAAAACAAGAATTAGTTGAACGTAAAAAAATTGAGGAGGAAGCACGCGCTGTTCTTAATCCTGCAAAAAGTAAATTTGTAAGTATCAGTAAATTTTTTTATGTACTTTTTCATTAAAAAATTTTCTTTTAATTAATAATACATGTAATGGTCATGTCTGAAACTAAGGTCGAAAATCAAATATGTACCCCAATTCAAAAATTATTTTTTAGGATTCTGATTCAGAAAAAGAAGCTACCGAGCAAGAAGATGAGGATGATAACAAAGAGAACAATAGTAACGAAGGAAAATCCACACCTAATGAATCTAACGAGCCAAATAGCCCAGATTTCATGCGACCTAGAAAGAGTCGTTTCCATGACTCATCTTCTTCTGTAGTTGCACATTCACGTGCATCTACATCTGCAACAAAGGAGAAAAGTCCCGAAGCTGCCATTCCATTCGCTAGTCCAGTTCCACGGTTGATGAAAGAAGAGATGTTGCAAAACTTAGTAAGTTTCTGCCTATAACAGATATTTGTTCCAGGCCATTTCTCATTTGGATGAATTATATTTTATACAGATGCTTAAAGTACGGAGATCATTGACGGAAATTTTACTTGAAGTGACAAATGACGAAATCGGTTCTGTATGTAAAGACTTTTGGAAACGCTATTCTAACAAAGGTATTAATGGACTTGAATATTTTCGAAAATTATTAAGCTGACCTCACACTTGAGCTTAGCAGTGAAATTAATAATAATTCGTACCTGTGGTATAACTACATTCATAAATTTTTTACATATTATTTCATAATTTTAATGATATCGATACATCATTAAATCATGTGATTGTGATTGCTTTTACTAATAATTGATTATCTAAAATTTTCATTTAAAACAAAATTGATGATTTCAGTTTCATCGTCATTCAAATGATGTCCAAGTAATTTGAATACGCAAATTTAATAATGTCGTACAAATTATTGGACTTTAGAAATACTATACTGACAACTTTTTTTTCAATAACAATTATGAAAAGTTATAGAGACAAGATTTTTTTGTTCAAAATTGTTGTATCAAAAAATTTTTTAACACAATACAGAGTTAAAATGAATTGCCTTATAGCGTTTGACTTGATAACACAGTGAATACACAAACAAAAGTGCACAAATGCAAAAAAAAAAAAAATGAAATTAGTTTGACACTGTACCAAAGAAAAATGGATTGCCTTCGTGATTAAAAAGAAAGAAAGAAAGAAAATTGAAAACAGAAAACAGAAAACGTGTTTTCGCAATATACTGTTTAAGCGAGCTTTTTCGCAAAGCAGTACACCTCATAAAAAATAAATTATGTGTATCTTATAAGCTTCTACAGGAAAGAACTTAAACCAAACAGCTAGCAACACAGCTCCAGTTTCCCAGATCACTCGCAAGCTCGGTAAGTGACCACAACGATTCAAATAGGGAACAGATATCACGTCGTTCACAGATCTGTAATATTTTTCCGAGACCGGGAGAATGACCGTGTAAAAAGACCGAAGCTGTCCAGCAATCGTTTTTGTTTTTCTTCCGGCAAAACCGATACTTTTCCCTATTTTTTCGTTCAGCCCGAAAATACTTGATACTTGTATCGCGTTGCTCAATTGGTCGCGTGCAGCAAAAGCGCCCTTGTGCGTGCGTGCGCGCGTGAATTTCGCCAAGGCAAGGGGATTCGGAATGAGAAATTGCACGTTGCATTATAGGCTTGGGCATTTATGATGATAGTAGCAGCGAGTCGGAAGAAGAGCCGCCGCCCCAGCAAAACGAGCCTCAACAGCCTCAAAGTGCCAACGAGAACGACAGTGACGAAGAACTGAAGGTACATCACCGAAATTGCATATGCATGTAAATTTACGACGTTTATGAACGTGGGTGTCATTCTGAATTGTTTACAGGAAACCTTGAAACGTCGCCAGCAAGCCTTCCGCAGGACCGAAGCCGAAATCGAAGCTCGGCTGGCTAAGGAGGAGGAAGAAGAGCAAGAAGGCCAAGAAGAGGACGAGGATGATGAGGATGAATCGAGGAGCCGGTCCAAAGATCGAGAGGACTGTAGGAAGGATGACGACAGGCGAAAGAGGGAGGAAGAATCGGTAAGGGATGACCAAAGCACAAAAGAAAAGAAAAGAAGTAGGACAGCAGGAGGTGGTAGAGGGGTGAATAATCGCGTAAGGAAGGATAATTATACGGGTAATTCTAGCTGCCCGGAAACAGGTATGTGTTGCTTTAAGTACATAACAGGCGCGTATATAAAAATTTAATGAAAAAGTCACGAAGCAGAACTACTAACTGCTTTGTACGCGAGTTATGGTCAAAATGATTCACAATCACATCGCACTCCCCCCATACAGAGGACAATGACATAGATACTGCGCCGATCGTCGGCGGTGAGATGAAGAGAGCTCCCTCAGCTTTCAAGTCTGACCCATCAACGGCCCTGGCGGATCTCGACACCGCCTGCCGAGGAGCAGACGACTCGTCCGACTCGGAAAGTACAACCCAGTCGAAACGGACCTCCCGCGCCGGTAGTGCTAACAATAAAAACAGCAAAAGCTCGTCCGCGCGCAGAAAGTCCTCGGGTCACTCGAGAGATCGCTCATCGAGCTGCAGCCGATCCAAGAGTCGCAACAAGTCCTCCAGGGAGAACTCATACGAATCGTCGCGCTCCTCGGCAAAGCCAGACATCGCCAGTAACGGCAAGCGCGAGGGTAACGCCAGCTCGGCGCGCTCGGACGTTAAGAAGCACAAGTCAAAGAACAATGTTAAGCACAGACAGCGCTACCGGTCGTCGAGCTCGAGGTCTAGGTCGCGATCGCACTCGACGTCGAGCTCCAGGTCGAGGTCAAAGCGCAAACGCTCGACGCGCTCGCGTTCTACTACCTCGCATAGGAGCAAACGAAACAGGCGGGCTCGCTCCCGATCCCATGATCGCTCCTCGCGCACGCGATCTCGCTCGACGTCGCGTTCGAGGCGTAAGCGCTCGAGGAGCCACAAGAGCTCGACGTCCTCGAGACGGCGACGAGGCTCGCGCTCGAGGTCGACCGAAAAATCTAGGCGGTCGAGGTCGCGCTCCAGGGGCTATCGGCATCGGCGTGACAGAGACGGTAAGAAGTCGTCGCATCGGTACCAGGACTAAGTGCACGTCTCACAGCCAAAGGTTGTATCGATGGTTTGATTTTATATTCTCGTCCTTTTACTTGTAGCGTCGCTGACAAATGTAGATTTATTACGCTTAGCTCGGTAATAATTACGTCTCTTACGACTCTCTTTCCGCTTAAACTTTAAGTTTGTAATTCTCAACTCCAACGCGGGTGATTAAGATTTTTCAGTAAAAACGCCACTTATCGTCTCTGTACATTTCTTCGAAAATAATATCGTGATTCTAGTACAGCGCTCTTGTAAATATATTTACAGTTTAAGTATATCTTCCTTAAATAAAAACTCAAGACTTAAGAATAATTTTTACAAGTCTGAGATATTCCCTTTTTCCTTTTTTACTGTTCGTAGTTAAGAACCAAAAAAAAATTTTATCCATGAAAAGAAGCGTGTTTTTTGTGTTTTTCCCTAATCAAAACACAAACAATATCTCAGAAATATAATACCTTTTAATCGCGTACAAAGAACAATAGTAACGAAGGAAAATCCATTTTAATAATAGTTTTCTAGAAAATTTTTGATTCAATTTTTGAAAATGAAACGCACCTGTGAAGAATGCAACCCAGAGCCCAAAATTTTGCAAACTCTCACGTTGTCTACGTTAAATGTAACATTTTTTTTAATAGCATCTGCAGGCAAAATGGAAGAGCAGGCTTTACAAACGAGATTTGCAATGAGATCTTCTTTGCCATACTGTTTGCTCATGATGGAAGTTTTCATAACATCCTCAATTTGACTGATATCTTGCCAGTCCTTAACTTCCCTGATTACTAACTTTGGTAAAAGTTCTAAGGCTTTTTCCAGAGCAAGTTCGTATCCTTCAACAATTTCTGTAGTAGTGATTCCCTGCAATAATAAAAATTAAAGAATCACGAAGTGTACTTAATGTTTTCAAAAATTTTTCACTTTCAATAAAAATTTCATACNAACATTTTCAACATTATCTTGTAGCGTATACTAACTTGAGCAACTTAAATAAAAAAAATTTTTTTTTTTTTTTCACGTAAGTACTTTGTCAAGAATATTTTCTTTATTTTCAGGCTTGCATAATAGTTTGCTCCATTACATCTTGGCTTTGACTTAAACATACTTCTGTGCAACGATATTAATATTAATGATTTTAAAAAGGTTGAATCCTAAGTTTATGTACGAAACATCCGAACTCGGAAGATTGTCCAATATTTACTGAGGCTAACATATAAATAAATGTATTTTTCTTCTTCAATAAACTAAATTACAATGATTTTCATATGCATTCTACTATTATTTTTTCACGTTCTTCAATTTAAAAATACCCTCTTTCCAGTACAATTTTTTTTTTTCACAATCGTAACGGAAAATTTTACGAAAGAAAAGTGTTAAGTATTTTTTCAAATTATACTTATAGAATTTGAGTGAATAGTAAATTCAACTATTTTTCATGTCTTATAATTTTACATATACTACTGCTAATTTGTTTAAAAATTTTTCAAGATTCGACAGTAAATTTCAAAATTCCAAGTTTTAAAATCATAGTAAATATTAAAACATATAAACCATTGATCATTCTGCAATGGTTAATTCATGTACGTTTGATGACTTTGATAAACGATATTTGTAGCTTACCACACATTTTTTTGCATTTTTCCGTAATATAATATCTTTACACGCATATTTGCGACGTATTATTATACAATTTGTGTGTATTTATTTATATATCAATATACCAATAAAACCGAAGTATTCAAAAATTATTTTTGTAATGTTACTTTAGCAGTAATTTTTTTTTTTATCATTGCTTCACTGATAGCATTGCCCACTCAATAATTTTTATCTGCTGCTAAAGTTCAAGGCATAAATGTACATGTTCTAAATATGTTAGTTTATATAATTATCTTCAATACTGTTGGGTGTAGGTCCTTTCAAAATGATTTTTTCAATTATAATTCATACTTATATGAATAAACAATATGTATATATTAAAAATTTGTACATTTTTTACATTATTACGTAATTACAATTATTTTATAACGATGTAAGTAAACTTTGAAACAAATTGTTTTAAAATCTTCAAAACTCATACTCATTTTTTATAAAAATAATTGCTGTACACTATTGTCCATTATTAGTGGAAAATAAACAATTACTGGAAGATACAAATTTCGAGCATTTGTTCACTTAAAATTACAGTTTGATTTGTAGCTACTTTCCATATCGTTGTTGGCATTTGCTGAATTTTACCAACGTTTTTATAAAACCATCTGATGATACGTCATGATGGGTTGGAAACGTGCTGATGGAAAATTTAAAAATAACATTTAGTTTATTACAATGAAAAATTTGTATGGATAACGGAATAAAAAAAAGGTCTACTCTTACAAAAATTCCGTTATTCTAGTTTGCCATGGAAGGAAGCCATATGTGCACATAGTTTTACCAAAAACTATTGCCAGATCAGGATTTGGTGTGTCATTGCTTATGCTTAACTGTTTGTCCAGGAACTCAGGAGTGATGCTTTCTTCTTGAAAAATACTTGAATTATTGACTTTTGCCAAACTTTTTGTAACACTGACAATTCTCCCTTTACAGTCTGCATATGATAAAAAATACACTTTTGTTCTGTGCTCACTAACATCTCCCACTTTAGAATTTTTGTTGTTTGTGTAAACATCTTTGTTGGCTATGGCAACATTTTTTACACCATTGGTAGCTTTACCCGAAACACTTGGCCATTCAATATTCTTCGATATACTGGGTTCCATTTCACTAATTCTCTTTTTGATAAAAACTTGATTTTTCTGTAAATTTCCTGCAAAATGTTAACAAAGAATAAAATTACATGTCACATTTATTCAAACGATTCTTGTAACAATACCTTTGTGATCGTAAAAACTGATAAAAGGTATTTCAGCAACGACACACCAGCTGATCAACTTCACAACATCCAACACTGAGACTTCTTCGTGTCCTAGCAAAAATGCTAGATGCCTTGGTATTTTCGGTACATTGATTAAATTCTCGTTAAACTTCAACGATGAATAATTAGATTTGACTTTGCTTGAGCGTGTACATCGTTCGATGAACAACAAAAATCGTGTGTATTGCTGTTGTACAAAATATTGGAAGCTGTACGCAAAGTGCAAGAAACTCAAAATAACACGAAAAATTATGTACATCGTGAAGAATTGAAAAAAAAGATGATAATATTTTATAAAAAGCAATATTATTAAACTATATTACTGGTTTGTGCGCTACAAACGCTCTGAGCGCATTTTGCTTCGAAAACTAATGCATATGACGTTGCATACCTACTATTATATACAACCCCAACACCACTACTTGCCACTGCCACTTGCCAGCCGTCGGTTGGAGATGGAGACTCTGAGGGAGGGAAACATGGAAGGGATAACAACAACATATTCGTAGCAAGCGTAAATTTTAAATTGATAAATTATAGTCGGACGTCAATCGTCATTTTTTTTTACCGTTCAAAATTTAAAATCTTTAAAAGTAAAAAGTCTTTAATATTATATATGAATCTCGTAGTTGGCAATTGTTGAAGTTGAAAAAACCTCATTTTTGTGAAGCAAAATTTATGAACTGTTTACTGAAGAAAATTTATTTTATGTGTTTTTTAAATTAATAACTCAAGAAGCCTCAAACATGCTCTTACACGTTAGATAAGATTTAAGTTGTAAAATTAAATGGATATGTTGTATGACCTGAGCTGGATTAAAAAAAAAAAAAAATTATTATTTTAATAATTGAAGCATCGCATCGTGCGCACACACTATAGGTTTGTTCAAGCTTAAAGTTGGTCGGTTCTCTGGCTCTGCTCTGCGCACAGATAAATACTAAAAAATATATAATTTTCAACAAAATAAACCCCCACCCCCACGTCCACCACCTCCCTTGAAAAACCAGGTTCGTTTCGGTTGTATACTTAAACATGTTAGATGATCTGTTTTGTATCTGCATAAGTAGCCGGGGAAGCGCTGAACCGATCCACTTTATATAATATACGCTTGAACAAGCCTACTGTTTATTATCTCTTTTTTTTGACATGTGCGAGCGCGCCTGGCGCGCCCTATATGTACATGGAAGCTTCCGTCTCAAAATCATTAAAAAAGTTAGATTTATGAGTTATTGGGTTAAATTATTGGTACTTACGTGTAGGTTAAAGCTGCTTACATAGTTGGAGAAGTGTTCTTACCTGCAATCAATTGAAAAAAAAATTTTTTTCTATTGGGTGTGACTTATCAAAAATTATAGCGATCGAAAGAAGATGATCCATAAAAATCGCTAACAATGATACTATATATACATATTGTAGAAATGCTTTTCCTCTTTAAACCTCTATAACTTTTGATTGGTGGCACTAAATTGTTTTTTTTTTTTTTTTTTTTAATTAATTGGGCTTTATTATGTAGCTTTCATTTAAGCTAAGTTGGGTCCTTTTAAAATAGTGTATATACCACACCGCCACTAACGTTCAAAGTAGCATTACCGTTGATTGACGCATCTCGCGAAAAAAAGGTGTTTTGGCACAAATGCCAAAAGATACGTGATAAGTACTTACGTCTGAAGTTTTAGTCCAACAGTAATGGAAAACAAGGTTGGTGTAATATATATAATCTGTTGTCCTAAAGTGTGAAAAAGAAATACACTTTTATCATTGGGGTGGTCGGAAAGGACATTCAAGTTTCGCAAAATGACGTTTTGTATGAACATCCTTAATGAGAAAACGCGCACATTAAGTATACTTTTGAAAAAATTGTACGAGCCGCAGGATGAAGGTGAACAGAAAAGATAAAAAATTTTTATCCCCGTACAATAACGTCAAACCTTAGTTAAACTTAGTTTTGAACTCGGTTTAACAAAACGGCGTGGCCGATTTTTACTTGCGTTCCATCAAACTTCTAACTCATTTTTGACTATGTTTTGGGGCCAAAATGCGGGCTCATTTCTTTGATTGCAGTTAATGAAGGAATTTGGTTTTGATGGCGATAGATTGATATTAATAAGTACCCCAAAGTTATTTGACTTTTATTCGCAAGCTCGATGTCCGCGCACGGCGAGGGCCAAAAAGTGACAAAACTGAAGAGCGATTTAGAGGACGTTTCGACCGTTTTTTATAAAATTTTACCCCCAAAACGATTTCGAATGCTGTTTTCGAAGAATAGTGAAGAAAGAGCGCAGTTTTTTAAATAAATATATAATTCACTTTCATCGAGGAACGCGCATACCTATATTAATCGGGGGGACATCGTATCGTTTGAGTCGAGTCAGTACCGGGTTCCGCCGCGGAATCATCCATATACATGACATCATGGTGTGTATACACACTCTCGCACACTACGAATGTTGGGTACTTACTTTTTATTGGATTCGGGGCTACATTACATACCTAAATAAAAAAAAGTGAAAGAAAAGAGAGAGATAAAGTCTTGTAGAAAGAGAAGAGAGAGAGAGAGAGAGACGTTTAATGTCTGCAGTGTCTGCACACATAAAGAACAAAACACGAAAACTGCTGCTAGAGGGTCTCCCATCTCCCACAGCATCATTTGAGCCACCGCGGTATACGAGTTTTAAAGTTCTCCGTCGTTGCTCGTCGTCGTCGTCGTCGTCGTCGTCGTCGCGAGCTTTTTCGCACACTGCCTATACGGACTGCAGCAGCTGCGGGAAAGGACCAACCGCGTCTACGACATATCTCGTTCTCGTTTGCGGTCGCGGTCAGTGTGTGTGAAGCGTGGTTTAAAAAAGGGACACAACAGAAAGTGAGGGGGTGGCCGTGACTCCTGGCGCACCAGGATATGTTAGTGTAGGCATGCCGAAGAAGGCCGGGAGGCATGCGGTGCACGCGCGTGAGTCCACGCTGCAACATCAGCAACAGCCGGCGACCGGGCCGAAGGAAAAAACCATCAAGGGTCTCCGGAGTGTGCACATCGGGCCCCGGCACGGACGACGCTGGCTCTCCCTCAAGAAGAGGCTTGGTCTGCACACGGACGACGATCTCGTTCTTTACCTGCTCAACCTTGCCGACTCGATTGACACTCGGTAAGACCTGTTTGTTGTTGTCGATCATGATACTATTTTGTTTATTCGTTCTGAATGCTTCTCTTTGCTTGGTTCTTTCGAGGTAAACTTTTGTATATTCCCCAGGAGAGATGACGAGTGCCATGAAGATGAAGAGCCTTGGAAGCCGGGGAACGATAAAAAAATTAAAGCCCTTAATAGCGAAGAGGCTGCAAGCCCGGTGGTGGAGGACATGCAGGAGTTGCCAAGGCGCAGTCTGAGGAAGCTTACTGCTGCCTCCGAGGAGTCAATAAAAAGTGAAAAGGCTGACAAGCCGGAAAAAGTGGCAAATTTCACGAGTAGTTTGGAAAAACAGGATAGCAAGTTGTATTTAAAACCAGGCTCTAAGACCAGTAAGACAAAGCGCCATAAAAGCAAAGGAAGACATCACAAAGAAAAGCGAAAGAAAAAGAAACATCAAAAGATCAAAGAGTTGGCTCTGAATAACAAGGTGTCTAACGACGTTTTGTGGGAATTTGAGTCAAGTTCTGAGACTGAAAAGTGTTCAACTGATGTGCAGGATAATTTCGTTTCACAGACAATCACTCAATCACCTGTAGATTCCAATTCTGAAGATACTGCTAAATTTTTAGAATTGGACAGATCGTGCAAGAAAAAAGACAAAGAAGCTTGTCCAGATGTCAGTGAGCTTACATCTGGTGATCATAATTTCAATGAAATTTGTGATCAAGAACAAGAAAACATTAACAAGGTACAAAATTGCACAAATAAACAAGCTGAAGATGTTGAAAATAACTCGGATGAATCAGATAAAACGTTATTAATCTCGTTGAAGTCAAATGAGGATTTGTTTGCGCATCCTGCAAAAAGTTCATCAAAAGAGGTGGATGACAAAAACGAAAAGCCCGCGGAACACGAAAATTCAAACAAAAAGCATAAACGTTCTAAACATGGATCCGTGGAGACTTGCAGCGTGATGGTGGAATTAGATAGAAGTTATTGTGACGAATTAATAACATCGCTGCACAAACGTGATAAGAAAAAACACAAGGACCACCAAAATAAGAAACACCGTGATGTGAGAAAAGCTCCTCAAGATGGGATTGTGAGCACGGATCAAAATCAAGACATTGCACACTCCAATGATTCTAACCCAGCAACTGTCACTACTGTACCTGATAATAGTATTTCTGAAGCACTACCAGATGAAAACGCTGGCTCGGATCCTCCAAGATTAGCTATTAAAATAAAAATGTGCCAAGAATGTAATTGCAGGCATTTACAAGATGCTTGTCCCTTGATGGAACCTCAATACATCATTAATGATTCCATAAGTCTGGATCAGTGGGAAAAAAAACACAAGAGCAACTCTGAAGCCATGAAAGGCTACAACTCCAGTGATCCAATGTCCCAAGGCTATGATAAATATTTGGATGATGGCTTTGAGTCAGATGAAGATGCACCAGAGCAATACAAATCAAAAGCAAAATCAGAATTTGAAGAGAAACAAGAAGTTATTGGCACTAATAGGCCGCTCTATTCAAGAGAATCCTTGCCTGATTGCTTAGAGCTCAAGTCAACAAACACAGATCACGGTCTAGGTGTGTTTGTAAAAAGTAGTATACCTATGTATGCACAATTAGGTCCTTTAGTGGGTAAGCTTATTCAAGAAATGGATATACCAGATGATTGTTCAATGAGACACATCTATGAGGTATAATTAAATTTTTTTAATTTAATTTTTGTTCAACTTATGTTGACATTTTCAAGTGAAAACAATAAAACTTCGATTGTTTGCCCTTTAGGTAGATGTCAACAATAAAACGTCATACATTAGTACCACAAATCCATTAGCTAGCAATTGGATACGTTATGTTAGACCCTCCGAAAATAAAGAAGATAGAAACGTAGTTGTGGTCCAAAGAAATGGAGAACTCTTTTTAGTAACAACTAAAAGCTTGAATACCGGCACAGAATTGATGTATTGGTCAGATTCGAATACAACAAATTGGGCTAGAAAAAACAAGATGGATAAAACAAGTAATGTATTAATGAATATTTCACCTGTTTGAGGTCTCTGATTACAATGATATTAATTAATTATTACAGATTGCGGAGGATGTAATTTAAATTTTACTCATCCAATTTACTATCGACTTCATTGCTGCATATTTCACGATATGAATTTTAGTCTTACCATAAGGAAATATCACTGTAAAGTATGTGACTTGAATTAATATTTCAGTACTTATATTGAAAACTTGAGTTTGGTATTTATTCCCAATACTTGAACACTCTTCTTAGGTATGTGGACAGGCTGTTTTAGGGAAAGAGAATATTATGAAGCACGCAGCTCAACTTCATGAAGGACAGGGTGCATATCAGTGTCAATATTGTAAAAAATTCTTTTTAAGGCTAAATTATCTAGAAATGCATAGAACATACGGTTGTTCCCAAAACCCTCAGAGATCTAGACCTTTGTGTGATTTTTGTGGTCGCAAATTTTGTCAACCACAAAAGCTCAAAGTACACATCAAAAGGATGCATAGTGGTAATTATATTTGATGCTATTTTATTTTGGAATAATTTTAAAAATAAAATTTTTACAATTTATGCGCTATTCAACAGATATGTCAGAAGTATTACGAGAATTCCAGTGTAAGTTATGTTTAAAACTTCTTGGTTCCCGTGCTGCTTTACAGCGACACATGAAAGAGGTCCATCAAAAAGATGTTGTTGGAGCAGCTACTTGCGACCGTTGCGGAAAAATGTTTCAAAACAAAAGTAATTTAAAAATTCACATGTTGACCCACAGTGGAGTCAAGCCTTTCAAGTAATTTTATTACCCTTATTTTACCACGAGTTCATTTTTTAAATTCAATTTTAAAGATATTTTTAATTGAAATCGAATTTTCAGATGTAAAGAAAATAGTTGTAGAGCTGCCTTCACGACAAAACAGTGCCTACAGTTTCATTATAAAAAAGTGCATGGACTTAGTGAAGACTTGATGCCAAAAATCGAACGATCGGTAGCTTATACTTTCGATGCTTACAGTGGAGGTTTAGCAGAAGATTCTGGCAGAGGGAAAACGCCAAAATTCAATAAATCAAGTTCACAGGTATGCAAAACTTAAATTATTTTATGTTAAATCGTAACTAAATAAATTTGTTAATCAACAACCACGATTTTTTATCACAGGAAAACAGTGATAGTTTAGCATCGTTTGACGATGGTAGCAATGAAAATAATAACGCGCCATCCACTGCTGAATTGCCGTGTAACAGTAATAGCGATTCAAATAACGAGTTTAGACCTAGTGAGGAGCCAAGTGAACCTATACCAACAGTGAATGAGCCTTCTACGGAGTCACCGACAGAAGAGAATACCGAATCGGATGTCGATCTCATGTCGATATCTTACAGATCGCGAACTCCAAACAAAAATGACAAAAAGTGGATCGGTGAATTCGACCCTACTCCGATGGCACAACCGCCTCCCCCGCCGCCAGCTAATGTTACTCCGACCGACATTTACGATTTCCAAGATAATAGAAGCGATGAGGATAAAATTCAGGATCAGCCGCAACAGCAGCTGAGTCAAAATTTGATTGAAGAAACTAAGCTTGGTTTAAGCCTGTACCGAAGAACGGACAGTTCGAACGCTAGTCTACTTGTTGAGGCTGCACTCGACGCTGCCGAGCGTGAAATCGGAGTCGTGTCCAGTCCCATTTTGGAAGACAACGATCGCGATACAAACCTCTACTCCCTTTCAAACGAGCTTGACTTCAAAACCGCCTGTTCGCAAGCTCAAGTCGTTCACAGGTCGCCAGATACAGGTGTCCACTTGGATTCCTACATGCAAGACGAGCTAGCCGCATCCCCAACAGTTAATCAGCACATCAGGCATACGCCACCAAACCACATGCACTTGGACTTTCATCTGCACAGGCCTGTTGACTACGTCAGTACGGCGGGACGAACGCACAGTATCGAGCAATATATTGACCAACAGGACCTCCAGCGGGTCATTCACGTATCCCAAGAGGTCCCGACGTCGCCCCAGCGTTATCCTGAAATTTCTCATCCTCTCAGTCACCCGCACCTTCATCCGGCATCCCTTCACCATCACCAACATCACCAGGTACCAAGCGAAGCACTTTCCGATTCCGAGGGTGATTCCGTTGCACAGAATTTAAGTCTTTCCATGAAGGAGAAGAGTCTGCAGCAGCTCGATCTGTCCAAGTATGACGGGCTGGAGAGCGAATTCAGCTTAGCCAATCGGGACAGAATGAGGTTCGAGCCTCTCATAGTGCAATCCACGACCGATCAGGGTCTCGACATGTCGGCCAGGGGTTTTCAGCAGACTTTTGGATCCCAGGTACAAAACCATCACCACCATCATCACCATCTTTACGAGATGAGCGAGCGCGAGCGTCAGGGCGTCGATCTCAGTAGAACAGCGACCTGCATGTCTCCGCCCTCCTATCCACCGCCCTATCCTTCCTACTCGCACGTGGAAGTGCCACGGGTCGTCAGCTTAGAGCCAACCCCGAGGTCTCACCACTTGCATACCTCCGTCTCCCGTATAATTGCCAGTCCCCAGCCAGCGAGCTCATTAACTTCTCATCTCGTTCCTGAAAGCTTGGAGAGTCGCATTTTGTCCTCGCCACCACCTTCGATGCCGACTTACAACACGAGCTACTCGGTAGGTCCAGCACCTTATACTTCCAGATCGGGATATCACTATTCCGGCTATTATTGAGCGTTTATTAGGACTACTCGTATCTTTTTCGAGATGTTTTATAGGTATATACATCTTACATAAAGCACAAGAGCTTTTACTGATAATCTCTCTTCCCAAGCGCAACTTTTTGCATCTAAATTTTTTTTTTTTTTTTTTCAAGGTCCATGTAAACAGTATACATCCTTATCATATATTAAAATATATTTTTTTATTTGTAGCCAATTTGAATACATGGTAAAAGAGTAGATTGGTGGCTCTGCTCTATTAACGATACGATCCTCGTATTCGATTCAATAACTTATCTCTATTATACGATTTAAACGCCTAATAGTTATAACAAGTGTATATTATTTATACACTGTGATACCAATCATGATATTTTTTCTAGTCATTACTTGATGTACATTATATTTTATACCACGATTATTTCCAGTGTGTCGATTAAGTGAAAATTCGTCGGTAAAAGAACTGTTTTTGTATTATTTTGTTGTAAGTAGCTTTTTAATTATTTCTTTAATTTGATGATTTTTACGATTGTCTGTTGTTTTTATTATTCGGCTGATATTATATGGTCTCTTTGAATGATATTTTAGAGAATCGGTTTATATTTGCGTCAGTAAGCATAGTAGAATTTTCACGAAAGTTTCTCTCTTTTCTTCTACGCATGTAATATTTTGGAAAGACTCGCAGTCATACAATACATTTTGCTTTTATGTACTCATAATACATTTTATCTCTGTAGGTACTTTCGGGATTTTAATTTTTTTTTTTTTCTTATATGTTTCGTGATTGTGTACAACTCATGCAAATTTAACGAATCATAGACAAATATATTTTCTAAACAATGTAGTATAGTTCAGTGGCCCTTTTCTCTGCCTCTTAAAAAAGGACCAAGTTAAAAACTCCGTTTTTTTCGTTCATGTGACTTACTGTACATTGCAAAATAAAAATTTCGATTCCAGCTAATATTGTATGGTTTTCAATGGAAAATCATTCAAAAACGTATTTTTAAATACGTGATAGAATTTAAAAACTCTCTGAAATAAATATTATTTAAAAGTTGTTTAAATGAAAACTTAATTTATTCTCATAATTCCGTAGCGATTGACAAAGCACATTTATTGCAAAGGAAATGAATAAAAAAATTCACTGTCATTTATTTTTGCAACCAAAGATATAATTTAAAAAGACTTATGTGCCAAAATAAATATGTATTTATTACATGTATTAACAGTAATTAACTGATAAATGATTTAGTTATTCGTTTTTAGTAGTCGATTCAATAGCATAGGTAATTTTCAAATTCCACTTTTATAGGATTTGTACTAGATAAAATCTGTATGAATATAATAAATTATAATTAATTAAGTTTATGGAATTAAAATGATAATCAAATACGAGCGCAAAGAAAAATCAATTTAAAATTGCGTTAGTGTATTTTACACGGAAAGGTATGGACTTGAAACATTACAATTATTACCATAATCGATGTACTTATGCATATAGATGGTTATATACATAATGTAATGGTACAAATTAAAAAATCTTTAACTATATTAAGCCTATATTTTTTTCATTTAAAAAGTATTAAATATTTGTCTAGAATCAATTTTTTCGATTACGCCTACATGAAATTGTATAAAAATAAAATATAAAATATTTCGAAAGTGTATTGCTTAAAAATTATTTTGTACAAAACTATCTTACTCGTTTCAAATGCGTGTTTGTAATCTTATAGATAAATCAGTTCTTTGAATAGTATCTTCTAAAACGAATAAATGGATTTTTAGTAAGAATTGACGTTCTGTCAAAATCAGACGATAAAAAATTGACCGTTATTCGAATAATGCGAAAAATAAAAATCTTTACCTAATGTGTGAAGAAAAAAAAGAAAGAGAGAGAGAGAGAGAGTGGCTATATAAATATACCCGGCTAAAATTTTTACTCGACTTTGAGATATTTTCAACAGATACGTGTACATGTTGTCGTCGAAATAACGATAAAATAAAAACAAAATAATGTGTGCAGTGTGCGTTTGCGATTTCGTAGGTATCAGGTACCGCATTTAAGTATCTGATCGAAATGTACGAGACTGTGGAGATATATGTGTATGTATGTCATGTATGTACGTCAGCTCGTTGTAATAAAAAGAACAATTTTTTATGTACAATTATGAACGAGAGTTTTTTTTCCTAAATAAATTGAAAACAATTCAATTAGATATGAGTAGTCACTGTGCAACCTACTGCAACTGAAGTAATTGGTTTGTTTAAAATTACTCTCTGGATTTCAAAAAACAAGATTGAAAATTATTTCGAAAGATGTCAACTTTACGGATACCTTGGCTTTTCTTCTTTATATCAAGTACTGTAATTTACGAACACTAAAATTCCAATCTGATTAATTTTCGTAATATCCAATCCAACCCATCTATTAGAAAAAAAAACATTTTAATAAATGAAATGCATTCAGAAATCAAATTTACGAACACTGAAAAACGTCTTAATTTTATTTAACCACAATAATTGTATACACAACAAAAGGTAAACAGTTTTGAATTCTGGTGCTATTGCTATCTGTGCGCGTGAGTTGCGCAGTACACGAGAACGCACATGGCCGATGTGCGGCGACGGCTGGGGCGGCAATTCTGTCTGCTACTCTCTGCTTTGCTTTCAATTGTGCGCTTAACCTAAGTCGAGTCATGAAGAATTACAACTGTTAAGTATCGTTTAAATTTTGTTGTGATTCATAAGTTAAAAAAAAAATCCTTTTTCAAATTATCACCATGTTGAATATTATGTGTTTGAAAAGCAATTTCATACTATGCTGTCGAAGCACAGAGTGAAGTGTATATTACGGAGTTATATCGTCCAAGAAGCCCATGTGATTCTCGTGTGTTAACTCTATTTGTATTTTGTAATAGGAATTATGGCTCGTCTAAGTTCTTACTACACTTTGTGTCCTCTTATCGATCAGCAAAATCTACTTGGTGTAGAAACAGACTCAAGCCCTGGATGTGCAATAGTTACACTTGGCAAAAACATTGTCATTAGATACAAGGTCTGGATTATCTTTTTTTTTTTAACTTACTAATTTGCAGTTTGATATTTTAATTTGTTAATTTTTGTGCAGCTCCAAGATTTAAAACAAGTTAGTAGTTGGTCCACTAAAGAACGTTTGAGCACCAAAGTTATTTTTGATGAAATTTTGAATAACTATGTTGCTGTTTTTAATGGGAAAAACATTAGGATATGGAAAGAGGAAGAAACAAATTTGGATAGCGTTAAAAAATATAAATTCCTATCACCAATACATACCATTCTCACATTCAAAGATGGTCCACCAATTTTGGTATTACAAAATGGAGCTACTGCATCATTAACTTGGGCCCTTGAAAACAGAAAAAATTGGGATGATCATGGAATTTTAAAACCAGATGAAAAAATACTCAATTGTCAACTGGTTTTTGTAAAAGAAAAACTGTATTTGTGTGCTTTGTTGAATATGGAACAAACATACAGTTACATTGTTGTTCCACTCAAAAGGGACAGTCATATGGAAGGATCGGAACAACACACAAGATTAGACCTGAAAAGATCTTCTGAAACTTTAGTTGGTCACGTACTTTTACACAACGATGATAATGCTCATCTACTCACACTGTGTAGGTTTAATGTATTTTTTAATTATTCTTCACTTACATTTTAATACATTTGTAATACAATCTTTTCTGCTGTTTTATCAACAGGGTCACATGGACGACTATACAGCTATCCCCTCATCGGATCAGCCTCGGAATCAATTCCTGGTTCATTAGTTAGTGTTTTGGAGGTTGTTAAAACCAGTTATCCAGTAGTTATGGTTGCTCTGAATGAAAGTACAATAGCAGGATATGGTGCAGATTCCTCCGAAGAAGGAGCAGTGTTATTTATTTATAATGTTCAATTTAAATTGGTTCAAGCTGTTCAAAAATTAAAACTTTACACAGCAGAGTCGAAACTTTGGAAAATTGAAGATAAACTGTTGTTAGCAGCTAACCGACATCTTGCTATAGCCCCTTACAATCTAGAGCCACAGAGACTCAAGTCAATGCTCGGTTCAACTCTAAATTTTAAAAATAACAATCTAGCAGAGGATGACATAGTTGTTGTTCAAGAATCCGAAGTTGCGGATTGGGGAAAAGCTCTGCCAAGTGAAATGGCTCATAAAGTACCTGTACATAAGCTTAAAAGTAGTCTTGCAACTCAAATTTCTGCTTCCTTGCGTGAAGGAACAAATGATGCTACGATACATAACAACATCATACCACAGTTAATTGAATCTAAAGATGTTTCATCTATTTTATGGTGTCTAGAAAATTTGAAGGAAGTACCCGTAGAATCGTTACTTCAGATTTTAACATTTAGTTTAAAAACGGATATATGTGCTTCTGCACCAAATGGATGCCTGGAAAATTCCAAGCCAAGTGTATATGAAACTTTACAAAGCGATCTATTAAACAAAATTTTAGAAGTTCAACACACGGACATTTCCTTAGTGTCTTACCTTAAAACGGGACTAAATTTTGACGCTACTTTAAAATTATTAAGCCATTTAATATGTAAACTTGATGATGAAGCCACCAATGATGATCAACTTGGTTCTAAACAAAAATTAGATAATTCTCAACTTTACGAGTGGGTAAAACTTTTATTAGATTCTCATTATCAGGATTACATATTATCTCAAGATGGAGAAGTACTAGTTATGTTTGAAAAATTGAAGATAGTATTGGATGATCACGTAAGTATTTTGAACGATATTATTTATTTAAAGAAAATTTTAGATACTAATGTTGAACTATAAACTATTAATATGTTTATTTCGCAGTTTGAATTGTTACGAGATTTGGGAAGTCTGAGAGCATTAATCAAAAGGGTAATAGACGGAAAACCTCTGACAGTAAAATCTAATGATGTGAGCAGATTATATTCGATAGAAGCAATAAAATTATACTAAAATAATTAAATAAATATTTTTTAAATAAACTAATCCAATCGTTTCCTTTGTTTTGTATTAATTATTGAATTTAAATATTTACAGAATGATACTTTCAATAACTTTAATTCTCTAATGCGTCTGAAATTGTGGATCGATTATTTTTTCAAATTTTTTCCCAATTCTTAGGAAAAGTAAAAATTTAACAGACAACACTATCCGTATATTTATTTTTCCTATGACTTTTTACAGTTGTTGAAGGTAGGGAACATTTGATAAGTTTCCAATTGAAGCCATTGACAACTTTCCGTTAGCAACTTGGCAGGCAGCCTGTAATGAAAATGAGTAGTTATTAAAGTTTGTTTCTCAATAGACACAAATTACAAACTTATATATTTTGCTTCTTACTTTTTGAACATCAGCTGTGGTGATTTTATCAATTTCAGCTGCAATAGCTCCCGGGGACAGCACCGATCCAAAGAAAAGTGCTTGCTGACCTATACTTTCATGGAGCAAAGCAGGGTTATCACCGACCGACAAGACTGAAACTTTCAAAGCTGCTTTTCCACGAGCAACATCGCAGTCTGAGATGTTTGGGGACTTTAAAAAGTCAGCACCGGCTTTCACTAGCTGTAAAAAAAAAAAAAAAAAAAAAAAATTAACGATTGTAAAGATCTGTCAAATAAGTAACTTATCTAAAACTCGGTTTGTGAACACTTACAGCACTAGCAGAATCAGCTGGTGCAGATATAATAATTCCAAATAAGCCAGTGTCGCTATGGCTTGCATTAAATGAAACTGCAGCAAACAGATCTTGTTTGGTGGAGCAAAGAGCTTTGTAAAGGGGAGTATTGCAAGATCCCCATTTAACCTTAGGTCCGTCACCTACAGCCTTTTGTAGCACTGCAAAAGTAATTGCATCCTTTGCATTTTTTAGGCCAGTACCCTCGACTGCCAGAGCTACACTAGCCAACTCTGAATTACGTTCCTTGCGAATTTCACCTCCCATGTATTTACTGATAGGGTTGCAGCCTTCTTGAGAACTAATACTTAATCCAGTAGCAAATGATTCTATCTCGTTTAGACAAATGCCAGAGCCAACAACAGCACACCTAGGGCCAGTGTAATGATTTGCAACAAAGTGGCTCAACTGTTGAGTAAATACGTATGATAGAGTCACGCAGATCGTAGAAGCATCACATTAAAATTCAATTAAAGAGCAACTTACAGTTTCTGAATTTATTTTGCCGATTTGTCTTTTAGGACTGAAAAGTGAGTATCCGAGTCCCTCCCTGTAAGCAGCTTTGTAGATCAACTCGACCAGTCTCACGGTTTCGGGAACGTTTGAAACCTCGTGTCGGAATCTAGGAGTCTCGTCAGAAACTTCCCAAGGCTTGAATACTTGACGGGTAGCAACATCTTCCAAGAAATTGAGTGCCGTGGCACTGAAACGTTGTTAGTTTGTAAATAAAAATTGTAACGTGTAACGAAGCGCAGCATATTTTAGACTTGAAAAAAAAACTGATCAACTTACAGATTGTCTCTAGTGATCTTCAAGGTGTAGGAAATGCTTTCACGATCGCCAATGGCTGTCAATTCACCTCCGAGCTGTTGAATGTTTCTGGTAACGGCAAAAGTGCTCGAACGGTTGGTTGTTAAGCCAGCGCAGATTCTCAACAAATGCGAGATCCCCTGAGTTTCGTAGGTTTCGTTTCGTGGACCAGCCCTAAAAAGTGTTTACAAACAGCTTGTCAATTTGATGCTCGCGTCATCATTGCAACAACATAAGTAGAATGTCGATCGTTACTTGAAGATGATGGAAACCTGGGTGAGAGGACTGGCGTTGTCAAACGCAGCCACAGTGATTTTGTTTCCGAGCACTTTGACGTCGGCATTGCTCGCTCCACACGGGGCGCATTGAGCTGCAGCTGCTGCGGCGTAGTGGCGGATCTGTAAGAAGCAGCAACAAATCGACCACGTTTTGGCTAAGTGTGTTGATATAATAATAACTCATGGCCACAGTTGGTAGACATGCTATATACATGGGCGTTTGGAAGAGGATGGGCGGCTTACTACCAAAATGTGCATAAATAGTGACATTTGATGATTAAGGTTTTACATAACACATGCAGTAACACCCACATACACGCGTGCGCGCACCAAGAGACAGAAGTCTCGAGAGACAATCCCCTCGAGCTGTCAGCCGAAAGATCAGCCACGGGCTTGATTATATACACTCGGACAGCTACTTAGACAGACTCACCGTTGGATTCTTCAGCAGAGGGTTGCGCATCGCCGAGCAGGCCATTTTTCGCGGATACGAGGAGCAACGGTGTCCGCTTGAGACGACTGTTGAAGCCCCGCTGCGGCGGAAAGAAAAGAGAAGGTGTCTGCTGTTGGCGTTCTGATCAAAGTGCTTTCTGCTAATCAGCTGCTGTTAGGTTAGGTCACGTGCGACTGCGCAAGGAGAAGAGAAGTTTTTATTTCGGAGTTTCGGAGCAACCAGAGCAACGTAAACGGCAACAGTGAACGGGAGTGCGGCAGCTGCTCTCTCTCTCGCAGCATCAGTTGCAGCTAATGTGCATCAGATTTAGGGGAAAAGAAAAAAGTGAAGCGATGAAAGAGTTTGCGGGACACAATGAATTCTCGTAATGTAAAGGTCTTTGGTTCAAAAGTTCAACTGGTTTAGATGCATAAATCAGATTTACTAGTACCTCTATCTACAAAAACAAATAGTTACAATAACGATAATTTTTCGTGGAGAAAAATTGACAGAACGGAGCTACGCTAGTACAGTGAAAATTTGAAAATACGGTTGATATTCTGGACTGTTGGTGGCGTGGCTCGAATCAAGGTAAGCACACAATACCTGACTGTATGCTTATTAATTTTAAGTACAATTTGTTTTTAAAAATCACTATTTTTTTAATGCTTGTAAATAAAAAAATAAGAAATTGTGTCGGCGTACATATAATATTTCTCACATGAGTATAGCTGTGATCACATGTAGAGTTTTTTTTCTCGGTATCTTATTTTCTCTAGTATAAATATGCTACTCCCCCCTGTACATGTATGTAAAATCTATACTTAGGTAATAATAAGTAATAAGTACATTGATGACTGAAAATTACAAATTGAAGCCCGCAAACTGAACTCTCTCTCTCTCTCTGCGAGTCAGTAAATGCATGCAGCGCGCACATTCCATTGTGTTATTATACGCTTTGTGTCCATGTATCCATTATCCATATAGCTATACAGTACACACTTATACAGATGTTGTTATACCTACGCGTGAACATAAATACACATATGTATAGGGAAGAGTAGAGCTGGTTTTGAATATATTATTTTGTCTATTTTTTTTTACACTTTTTTATTTGACGTAAATATCAAGTTTATCTTGTCACATTTATTTTTGATACGCTGGCCTTTTACTCGTTTCTAGCGATTGTGTAAAAATCGGTTACCCGGCCGCGAGTCCTTTCCAAACAGTACAATTTTATTATTCATACACACATTACCAAAGCGTAAACTAAGCGCTTGATCTTTCATTTATGGCCATTATCATTTTTTTACAAGCTCGTTATTTTGAAACGAATCTTGTACTTTGTATGAAAACCACGTATGTACTGGCAAAAATGTTTTATTTAAATAACGAGGTGTACGTATAAATATTTCACAACGTTTTACCATATAGCGAAGAAAAAAGTCTTAATGGAAAAGAAAAAGAAAGAAAGAGGAGGACGCGACACGCGTCTTACACAATAATTATATTCCTGTTCGAATCGAGACGAGATGAACAAGCTGCCCATGTAATACATTATAAATTGAATGCCCTCGGGTATATATATATATATACATTATTAAAATGAGCTTGCTTACACCTCACAGTCTCATTATCATGCAAATTATAAATACATTTCATAACAAGAAGGCATTGATTTCTATACGAGAATCACGAATCTACGTGCACATGAAAACAGAGGTACGTGTATACGCGTACAATGTTTTCAACCGTAAACACTTATTTAACTATATTGTGCACGAAACGGAGTTGTTGTTTTCATTGCAATTTTCACGCGAATAAAATTAAACCACCGTAACAAGTAAGTACGACCCTCAAGACGAGGGAATGAAGTCCCATCGTCCTTCAAACACGTAAATCTCCTGAAAGTTATACATTAACGTTTTTTGTTAAAGCTCAGCAAACGCAACATGCCGAGGACAATGCAAAGTACCTATATATATATATATAAACCTATGCTGTAACGAAAAGTGCACTTTGTTCTCCGGGGACCATTTGTCCGAGGCATATTTATTTTTTATAGTTTTTTTTTTCCAAACAAAGAAGTACGTGCTCGTGTATATTTATATATTGCGTACACGCGATGTGCCTATACAAGTACATGTACACGCGAATTGGCTCCGTTTCTTCTCGCACACAACTAATCGCCTATATATCCTTTCCATCGCGCGTAATATAACTTCCACACCTAACAGGCCCCAACACCCTGAGCACGCGCTTTGAATTTCCGCTCCGCGTGTGCGCGCCTCCGCGTCTGAAACGGACCTGAAAAACAGAGGGAAATAACCCTTTGCTCATTAGGAAGAACAATCACGCTCTCTCAGCTCCTACACCCGAGTGGATGTGTATAATCGCGAGGTGAATACTCGGAGGTGAAGTGTGCAACTGGATATATATATATATTTTGTGGGTGTGCAAGTGTATGCTTCCTATGAAAAATAGCTTTGAAAAAAAAAAAAAAAAAAAGAAAATGCAATCTCTTTGCGTACAACGGGTCGTTAAATGGTGAAATAATAAATTAAAGCGTGCCTGCTTGACGGGCCGTGTTTGAAAAACTTTTACACTATATTATATGTACGAAAAACGAACTGAAATCAGCGTCATTCGGTACGAATTTTTTTTTTTCAATCACAGAATGCTTTATTTGAAATTGTCAACTACGATCATTTCGTATTAAAACGTCAACCACGGCTGTGCGGATCCTTAAAAAAAAAGGTCTCACAATAACTTGTGTCGAACATTGTCGCCCAAAGACGAAGCGATAAGCCGATTCGATCCAAGGATTTTTATTATTTGCTCTCGTATGCACTCCTCGCTTTGTCTTTTTCCATCCGCAAGGATAAATGTACGATAACACGGTATTTCGTTGTTTTTTGCACTAGACGCTTGTTTTGTCCAACAAAGTTTATAACCATCAAAGCCATTGCTTGAAAAATCAATCATGTGTCCAATTATTATTTTAATGGTAATGTTAGTTATACGCTGCCACAAACTGCCGTGATCCTTTAATTATGGATGATGTTAGTTAACAATTACGAGAAAAAAAAAAGGTTTATTTATACTTGTCATATAAACCGTATACTTTCCGCACGTGTAGTGATTGTAGTACATATACTTTTTACGTATAAATTGATTATGTGCCTTATACCGCAGGATCGACAGACCATATATATGCAAAAATACAATGAATGATGTGCCATTGATTACCAAAGACGCTTTATTTGGTGCCACGTAACAACGCCCACGCGTATACACTTTGTGCACGAGGCGGATTGATGTGCTCTCTCATACGAATGGCCCATAAGTACACGGCCCATCGGTACCCATCTACACATTATTTTTAAATCAACGGACCGTTATTATTATTTTTTTTTATTTATTATTATTATTATTTTTTTCAACCTATACATGTTTCATTATCAGTCCGCGTACAAAATTGACGGGGGACTAATGGAATCGTCGTCAAAATAAAAAGAAAAATAACAACTGCTGACGCGAGCAGCATTTAAGAATAGGACGCCAATATGCTGGCCATTAAGCACCATCCCTGCACAAAAGTAAAGTGTACCTACCTATATTATAATATTGTATCTACTCGTGTGTGTGTGTGCACGGATGCAGGCACGGCAGGAGGCGTAACCACGTATATAAGTACCGCAAGCATTAACATAGATAACTGCTCGCAACTATATACATACGTACACGTAACAATATTTTACACTTTTTTTTTTTTTTTTTTTTTTATTTCCACACGCCCTCGAAAGAGAAAATCAAGTTTTCTCCTCTACATCCGCCACTTTTTTTTTTATTTATACGCGCGATAGTTTGTCGCTGGTGACAACCTGTGTAGGTTTCGCAATGAGGCGCGTTGTACACTTTATTCAGTTCCTGTCCGCGTAAATCTATATCCCATATTGCTCGTTGACAAGTTATTCATCGGGACAAGTAAAACGGACAAGAGTTTTCCGTGAATTTAATAGCGAGTCTCGCCACTGTATTAGACACATAACACACAAGGTTTTCGGTGGTCAAAAAGAGTAACCGAACACGTTAACGATAACGATCTCGAATCGGGTCTGGTTGAATTTTGAAATCCGCCGGGGGGGGGGGAAAAATAATAACGTCTCGGGACGCATTTTACATACATGCGTGGTGTAGACACTTTTTAAAGGAGATACAAAAATATTCGATGGCTCGTGCAAGGATTATTCCTTTCCCTCGTATGGGCACGCAAATGTGTATAATTTGCCTTACACGGATTTGGTTTCACGAAAATTCGCATACCAACCATTCGGGTATAAGAGTAATTATATTATTCATAGGGAAGGGGAGAGACAAATATTCATCATCACTAGACGTACATTTACATTGGCAGAAAATTGAGCCTTGAATTGCATTACATTTTGATAAACAAGTCACTGGTGCCACGGTGGCGGTGTACTCACTGCTGCAGGATATACAGTAAACCAAGTATGGATTATTGAAAATTATATATAATTGTATGGGAGCCCAAAAAAAATCATGATTCGCTCGGTACAAGAGCTCTGCTGGCTATTTATTACGTGCTTTCTCCTGTATACTTAGTGTTTCTTCTTATAATAGGGAAGAAGATGGGGATAAACTAGACCTCACTGCCGAGTGATTCCCGTGATGGTATCAATATACGTACGTGGATATACATTAGCCCAAAATACACATAAAAAGCCGTAAACGTATGTACGGGCACATTTTTTCATTCACTCCGAAATTGACGTTACCACACGTGGATCAAACGATGAAAACCGACCCATAAAGTTCTCGACAATCGAAAAAGCTTGACCATAAGTATACATGGCAAAAAGAAAGCACAAAAGCTCGCGAACCTGCCCCCTAGCTTTGGTCTTGCAAGTAAGCGCACACACTCGGCAAGTATACCTATGTTACAACGATATTCATATACAAAATAGCACCTCACCTCATCAGCACACGCGCGCGCGCGCCTCGAACGAAAGCTCCGAAGAATAAGCAAGTAGGTTTGTACACCTTGCCTCTAGTATCGAACAGTCTACACGCGAGCGCAGAGTCAGTCGTTGCTCGTCGTTCTCGTCAACTACAGATATTGTATACCAGAGTGCAGAGGAAATAGCAAAGTCTTCAGGTGTTTACCACCACATACAACAACACTATACCAAATACCATGCAATATACTACACATAAGTAGGTAAGTATAAGTATAGGTACCGCGCGCTCCTTTTGTATACGTCATATACATCCTGCCTCGCGCGAAGTTACCGCGTTACAAGTATATAGTGCTCGGTTGGACGCGCAAGTGCGCGCATCGCGTCTATACACCGAACTTCCATTGCCCTCGTATACACGGTTCACGGCACGTTATTAAATAATAGTTCCTGATGGTTACGGGCGACGTACACACACGTGTGCATACTTATACACATTTTGATCATTCATTCGACACCGCACGTATAAATGTATTGAGTACCTATACGAGCGGCAAAAAAGATCGGCAAAAGGCGCGCGCGTGATCATAAAGTCGCTTTTAACGGTTAACGAGCGATTACGGCGTACAGTAGGTATATATGGTGCGTCGAGGCGCGCTTACGGTACTCGAACGATCCTTGCCGCGTTAACGACGCATCCGTCCGGATACCGTGAATATATATTTATCAGACGTCGCGTTCGACTTTTTTCAGATGACATCCTGCAACCAATGACATGGAAATAGAGGTACACACGGCTATTGTGGGGAGAAGGTGAAGTAATCCACGAAGAATGGACTTTTACTTTGTCCTGTTCGCGCACCAAGAGCAACTCGCGAGTATATCATTGTATCGTAGGCAGTAGATATATATATATATATATATGGAGCCAAGGCCGAGGAGAGGAGAAACATACACAAGTTGTACCTTACACGCTATAATGGTATAGGCCATTAACGCACGAGTCGCCGCCGCTGCATCAGTCGAGCTTTCGCCGGATGACAAAACGTGTGCGCATCAGCTCGCGACATTATATACCCATCACATATATATACCTACTTGCTTGTGCTGCTGTACTCATATACCTCTGGCAGCGTAACCGAGGCATCGAGCCGGAAAAAGGTAAGTGTAAATATAGAAGGAAGTTTAAGGGCCCGCGCTCCATCCCCTCGCGCTCCTTCTTTGTGGAATTCGTGCGCCTATATCTAAAACGCACGGGCTTTCGAGTTATTTTCGAACCATCGGATAAGTAACTAATACACGAAGAGAACTCGCGCCCCCGGAACAAAAAAAAAAAAAAAAAAAAAAACCACGCATCACGACGTACGCTTTGGTACACAGAAAACAGTTCTCGGTGTATTATCGGCAAATAACGTGAAAGTAATTAAAAAAAGTATTCAGGCGATAACCGATTGTTACGATAATAACGTTATTTAATTGAAATTTCATTTATACGTCCAGCCGATGGGTTCTTATTTACAGGAACGTGATACGCGGGCAAGAGTAAACACGGTTGAAATTATTAAATCGTAAAGATATATATAAAAAAAAAAAAAAAGAAATGTTCCCGTGTCGAGATTGATCGGCTTGATGGCTTAAAGCATCGGCATCCACGCAATCGATCGCTGACGTAACCCTTGTAATCTTGAAAGATTGCGATCCTTCCTTCCTTCCTTTTTTTTTTTTTTTTTTTTTATTCTGGTGACAAATTTGCCTCATTTTTTCNTTTTTTTTTTTTTTTTTTTTTTTTTTTTTTTTTTTTTTTTTTTAGTCTCACTGGTAATTTAATTTATTCTTCGTGAAAAACTACTCCTCAGTAGCCATTTATCATTTTGTGTTAGGTGTACATATAAATAAAGCTTAATCAGCTCCAACTAAAGTAATTGCTGCCCATAATTTACATCATTACGAAGAATAAACGTTTAATCGTTTACAGGAGATGAAATTTTGTCAATCAACTCGAAACCCTTGCATGGCATGACTCACGCCGAGGCAATAGCCGAGTTTAAGGCCGTGAAAACCGGCGACGTAGTACTTCACATAGGAAGGCGCGTCAACACCGCTGCTGGCAGGCAAAAGCGAAAAGGCCTGGCATCGTCAGCAGCATCGTCATCAGCAGCTGAGGCAGTAACGGCCAACGCCTTGAATCCGGCGCCATCACTTGGCAAAAACGAGGCCAGATCCCCATCGAACCATTAACCAAACACGCATTACCAATGACACATTCGTTCAAGTTACACATTGTACTAACGGTATCGTGTAGTTTTTCTTTCTCATGGAGGCGGATCATAAGAGATTATCCCACGTTTTTTTCTAATCGACAATGAATTGCTTTGGTCATAGTTCGTTAAGAGGAACTATTGGGCTGTCAATCAAAAGCGTTAGATGAGAGAGAGACAGAGAGAGAACTATGAAAAAAAGATAGAGGCCTTAAACTATTTATGTTAATAGAATCATACATTTTGTTGGATATCTAAATACATAAATTTAAATATTTTTGTACTTCGTAGTTTGTATATTTACCGGTAAACTAGAGGTAATTATTTATGAATCGGATAGATATATATATATATCATCATTATTAATTCCAAGCGCGTGTGTCTCGTACATGCAGACTTGCTTATAATACTCTCATCCTTCGCTATACCATCATCTGTCTTGGCCGAGAATAATACCCATTAATAATAATAATGATGATGGTAACTTTTATTCCAAGTCGAAGGAAAAGATGTGTATACATATACCATATAAAGAGAAACGAGATATTAAAGATTAAATTTATTTAAGGCTAAGGACTCAGGGTCCTTAATAGCCGAAGCATTATACAAGGCTCAAAACAAATGAGCAATCTACTCGTGCTTGCAAGCACTAAACATATATTTATAACTAAAATATAAGAGAGAGAGAGAAAACCATATGCGTTTTTACGGTTGAAAGGCAAAAGTAAGAGCGCGTATATGCTAAATGGCACTGTGGGCGATATCGAGTGTCGCAAGAGATCCGAGACACGGGAAAAACGCCCACAATCGTTTCGCCCGAGAGTTATTGGCGCAACGGCAATCAGATAGACCAGAGCGTATACACATGTATTTACGTGCAATCCGTACTCACGCGTATAATATAGAAATACAAAAGTTACAAGATAATACCCTAATAACCAAACGCGCTCCGTCCATAAAACGCATCGTATTGAACGAATGACGTGTTTTTCCAGATGCCGAGCAGCAACGGCCGCAATGGTCCACCAGAGCGTTAAGCGGGGCAGCCTGCAGACGGACGAGCCACCGGACACGCCGCGGCTCCTACGTATGACGGCGCTGCGGGGCTCGAGTCGCGGCGCCATGTACACAAACGCGGATCCCCATCATCAGCAGAGACACCCCGAGATCCAGCAGCTCTACGCCCGGCAGCTCGAGGAGCGCCGGCTCGCCCGCCAGCGTGACATCGAAAACCTCAAGCGGATAACCGCGTTCCACGCTCACCGGCCGCCTCCCAACAATGGCACCGGCAGGTCCCAGAGCCGCCGGTCCGAGGCCACCAACGGCAAGCCACCCTCGAGACCGGACCAGCAGCACAGAACTTCGAGACCGGGGAGCCGGCCGGGCCACTGCAGCATGCTGGCGGACCTGCGCGACCTGGAGAGCCTCGCCGGCTTGCAGGCCAAGATGACGACGGCGGGGAACGGCGATGGTGGCGCTTCGGAGAGGGGAAGGTCCGTCACCGGTGACCGGGAGGAGGGTCCGGAGGAGCGACAGCCCCAGGCTCCGGTGCGTAGGCGGCGGAGGAGCAAGCGGCGAAAATCAGAGCTGGAGGAGCAAGGGGACGGGGATTCGCGGGTGGTTGGGCATCCCGAGGTCTCGGATCCGGCAAAGTCGGTGCCCGACGCGCTGGCCGAGTTACTCAGGGAGTCGGAGCGCCAGCTGGGCGAGCTCAGGGCCGACGAGCTGGCCCGTAGTAGAGCCAACGGCAGGACCGACACTGTAACCAACGATCACGTGCTCTTCGACCTCGAGGAGAAACCTACCAGCACCAGTAGCACCGGTGAGTGTACATATTTGGGTATATTGACGCGGTACCCCGTGCTGTTATCATTACCCGCGGCACAACCTTTCTCTCTAATTTTGTAACATTTTAGCGTTTTAAATACGTTTTTTTGATCGACCGTGACCGCGTCGATATGGACGATACTCCGTAGTTGCATCACCGTGGGTCTATTTTCTCCATGTTGTGTCAAAGTGGTTATTATGTATACAAACACGAGGGAGAGAAGACAAATCTAGTTTTGTGAGCTCGTTCATGGGGCCGGGCACGCAATTGTACGTATAATATACATAAGTACACCCGCACGAGTATAAAAATATTCTCTGCTGTGTGTAGGCAGACAGAGGCACGCAAAAGCGGCTTCTTCTCTTCCCTGTTTTTTTTTTTCTTTCTCTCTCTTCTCTTTTTTTTTTTCCGTTCATCGCGCCACACATATCGGGCCGTCGGAGAGAGAAAGATGGCTCGGGAAGAGAGAGAGAGAGTCTCTCGTCATCCGTGTCGTCTGCGTCGGCTTTGCGCCGCTGCTCGCGCTGACGCATATATACCCGCGCCGATACACGTCCGCGCGTTCTTCTGCCCTCTTCTTTCTCCGTTCGTACGTATACTTACTTACAAGCATCCTGCCGTCTGCCGCAGGAATATGTTTCTTTGCGATGCTCCGAATCGGGAGGAATCGAAAGGTACAAAAAAAAGTTCTCCTCGAGTGTTCAAAAATCGGTAACTTTTCACTCTTTTTAACTTGTAAATGTACACGCGAGTGTTGTAATGCCGGTGCGCGCTACAAGTATACATCCATACCTTTGTAACAAATTGTACAACGATCTTCCCTTTAAGCGTACAAATATCGTACGAGTGTTCCGTTGGATCGTGATTTTCTATTTATTTTTTTTGTCCACCGAGTGCAGTGGGTATAATATATCCCCGGCAGAGGCAGCCGAAACGAAAACAGTGCGTGCTTGTGAAAATTTAACTTATCACGTCCGAAATTAGACGGCGACGCTCTCCGATCACCAGTGCGCATAATATTAACGAAGGATAGCGCCTTTCATTGTTTATTATTACTTGCATGAATTGAGAAGAGAAAAACCGAGCGAGGCTTCACAGATAACGTGTGCCATGTACATAATATATATACACTTTGACAACAAGGGACTTGCGGCTGTACTATCGTTCCGATAAAACAAGTTAAAGTTTGAAAGATAAAAAGCTTCGAATCTCGGATACACCGTCTATTTGAAAAACAACAATATATTATATACTTACTTCTTTGATAAAAAAAAAAAAATCACGTTATAGTATGAAAAGGAAATGCCTGTAACTTATACATATTTACTCGCTTCTAAGAAAATCCAACCGCACAATAAGCGCGATGAATGAAATAATCCGATCTTCGTTACGTATATGTATATATATGTATTAACGTATACAGTTTACGTACACCCGCGATAAGAAAAAAAAAAAAAAAAAAAAAAAAAAAAAAAGAAGTTAAATATCGTTACACACGTGTGTGTCCTACATATGTATAACTACGTATTGTGTTTTGTTGTACAAAAATAAATGTAGTTACCCCGTGCAGTGCGGACAAATCGGGTATCGACAATCGCTTGCATTGTTTTCCCCCTTGAGTTTCACCATATGCCAGCCTGCATCTATAAAAAAAAAAAAAAAAAAAAAAAAAAAAATAAGAAAAAAAAAACAACATCCTTATCATTCCTCCATGTATATAGATGTACTCGGACCTCTTTCGACTTTGTCCCCCTGCCCGAGTGACAAGTCTCTCTCTTTCTGCCTCGATGTGTTACACACACAGACACATGTAGCGATTGATTATTCCCAAAAGGTTGCGAACCACTGCGGTCTCCGGCAGAAAGAGAGCGAGAGTATGAAAGGTCAACGCGCGCTCCCGAGAGTCAGATTATTCAGAGCCGCGGTATATATACACGCAGGGCTTATAATCGAGGGAGGCAAGCGTGTCTCGAGCCCGCATATGTGTATAATCATACTGCAGCCGTTTCACGTATTATGTGTTATGCACCCACGCACGGTTGGGATCGAGAAAAATCTTGTTTACTTGAGAACGACAGTACGTGGAACTATTTTTATGGTGAATAATCAGTACGAGACGGTGATGAGATAACAATTTTTTTTTTTTTTTTTTTTTTTTTTTATATATATATTGAAAACACCAAAGTTGAAGCGTACCAAATCGCTGCTCTATTTTTACATCCAACGTGTACATTATACGTATACTTGTGATAACAAGTGGCCGGTACGATTTTAAATATAATACTTACACACGCGCACCATTAATGCACGATACAATGGATATCAAGAAGCCGGCGCATATTATCCCGTGAGAGCGGAAAGAGCCGACGTCGCCTCGCTTCTTTTTTTTTTTTTTTTTGCTGGCGCAGGCCTCTTACACTACCAATTCCAAGCGCGTGTGTCTCGTACATGCAGACTTGCTTATAATACTCTCATCCTTCGCTATACCACGTGTGTATGTATATATGTATATGTATATATGTACTCCAGTGTGTACGAGCCGCGGTACACTCTCGCGAGTTGTTACGCTAAAAAATTTTGTTCCCGGCGCACCTCTGGAACGAGAGGAGAGATTTTTATCCGTCCCTCGTGGTATTTATGTGGGAAAATTCGTGAACGGCGCTACACACTACCGCAAAACGTTTTGCCAGCAATCGTCCCGAATGGCCCCACCTTGACTCGGTCGCCTTCACAAATTATATATATTTCATCCCAAAGACGCGCCCGCGCGCCACAAGGTGTGTCCCGAAAAGAAGAAAATGTTTTTTTTCTTTTCGGAAAACTCGTACAACGCGGAGCTTTTTCGTAGACTCGCTCGAGTCTCTCTTTGCCCCCCACCCCCAATATATTATGTTCCCCGTCCGCCGGCGTGGATTGAATCACAGCTTGTTACCCAGTGGCCGCGAGTCGCGCCAGTGCGCCAAGCCTCGCGGCGCGAGATATCGGTACGAGGGCTTCGCGCGTGTACGGTAAAATCCACGGCTTAGGATGCTCGCCTTCGTCCTCGGCTTTATCTACGTCTACGCCGAGCTCCTCAGGTTCGAGCTCCAGATGCACCTGCAGCCCGACGAGTACAAGCTCTCCAAGTTCTGCCTCTGAAGCGCCCACTTTTTCGTTCCCCATCGCCCGTGCACATAATATATACCTACGTAGAGTCGGTTACCGACTCTCCCGGCTCCCACAATGACGCACCACTATTGTCTCCGGCTTCTTTTTTTCCGTCGCTGAACACCAGCAACATGGACTCCATGATCAACTGTACTTTTATACTTACCGATCCTCTCCATATCTTCTTCTTCTTCTTCTTCTTCTTCTTCTTCTCTTAATTGCGTTGTAGCCATAATACGCGTGCATGTAATTTGTTGCAGATCTGAAATCGTGGAACGCAAGCATCAGCCAGCGATGGAGGAAACTGAAGCGCGCGAGCGTCGTGCGGCAGTTCTCGTCAGGCAGGCGCAACGCCAACTCGACCCCGACTAGTAGAGAAGTGTCCCCGGCGCCGGCTGCGGCGGTGGCCTCTTCCTCCTGTGCCCCTGGGACTTCGCACACAAGGAAAATACGGCAGAGCACCTCGCTCAGGCTTCCAAGTGCGTGAAAATTGGTGACTATAGGGATACCGGTCGCTTGCCGATATCGCGTAGCTCGTACTAGTTTGATTAATCGACGCGACCGATTTCAGATACAGGCAAGGCCCTGACGGACATCCAGAACGCCTTGCGCAACAAGTTCAGCCAGATAAACGCGGGTATACGCAGGCGGAAGGCGCTGAGCGTCGCGGAGAACGGCTCGAATTTTTACGTGCCGAATCCTGTGAGCTCGTCGCAGGAGAGCCTCAACTATCACATTCCGCGGGTCAACATATCCAATTTGCGCCGACAGAAGAGCCAGAGTGATTCCTCGACGCAACGGCGCAGCCGAGCCGATCGATCGCCCGCGAACGGCACGACCGCGACGAACGCGCCAACGACGACGACGTTAGCGAGAACGACGACGACGACGACGGCGACGAAGAAGCCGGTTTGTAGCCGGAGCGCTGTCAACATATCGAGCCTGTCGAGCTGCGGGGAGTCGAAGCGCTGGGAGGAGGGGGCGACGCAGGAAGCCGATGAGGGTCTCAACTCGGACTCGGAGGTCGAAGACGTCGAGGACTTGAGGTTCTGTACGCTGCCGAGGCCCGGCAACAAGGCCGGCTCCTTCACGATTTTGACCGCCAGGTTTCTCAAGAGACCTGGATACAAGGGCCTTGGCTTCAGCATCGTCGGGGGCATCGACAGTCCTCGCGGCAACATGGGCATTTACGTCAAAACGATCTTTCCCAATGGACAAGCTGCGGATCTCGGCACAGTCAAGGAAGGTGATTATCTTTCTTTTTTTTTTTGTTCCTCTTGGTCGCACGCAAGAAGCCGATTCGTCAAAGTTTGATCAACAATTCATTCGCACATAACTTCCTCGTCCTCATTATTTTGGAATTTCAGTTTTTTTTACGGAACGATCGAAAGAATCACTAGATCCGACTGATTTGCAAACTCATTCGAGTCATTGGACGATTATATCAGAATTTTAAATCCGAACTATCAGGATTTTTTTCGTTTATTTTAAAGCATCCCGTGTGAGGAAACAAATAAAATGTTTTTTTTTTTTTTTTTTTTTTTAGTCTCACTGGTAATTTAATTTATTCTTCGTGAAAAACTACTCCTCAGTAGCCATTTATCATTTTGTGTTAGGTGTACATATAAATAAAGCTTAATCAGCTCCAACTAAAGTAATTGCTGCCCATAATTTACATCATTACGAAGAATAAACGTTTAATCGTTTACAGGAGATGAAATTTTGTCAATCAACTCGAAACCCTTGCATGGCATGACTCACGCCGAGGCAATAGCCGAGTTTAAGGCCGTGAAAACCGGCGACGTAGTACTTCACATAGGAAGGCGCGTCAACACCGCTGCTGGCAGGCAAAAGCGAAAAGGCCTGGCATCGTCAGCAGCATCGTCATCAGCAGCTGAGGCAGTAACGGCCAACGCCTTGAATCCGGCGCCATCACTTGGCAAAAACGAGGCCAGATCCCCATCGAACCATTAACCAAACACGCATTACCAATGACACATTCGTTCAAGTTACACATTGTACTAACGGTATCGTGTAGTTTTTCTTTCTCATGGAGGCGGATCATAAGAGATTATCCCACGTTTTTTTCTAATCGACAATGAATTGCTTTGGTCATAGTTCGTTAAGAGGAACTATTGGGCTGTCAATCAAAAGCGTTAGATGAGAGAGAGACAGAGAGAGAACTATGAAAAAAAGATAGAGGCCTTAAACTATTTATGTTAATAGAATCATACATTTTGTTGGATATCTAAATACATAAATTTAAATATTTTTGTACTTCGTAGTTTGTATATTTACCGGTAAACTAGAGGTAATTATTTATGAATCGGATAGATATATATATATATCATCATTATTATTAACCCAAAGATAAAATCCAAAAATATTTTTACTAACTCGCATATTTTATATAAATATATACAAAAGTTAACTTCAAANTTTTTTTTTTTTTATCAAAACAAAAACATATAGCTAGTGTCTAGTCCACTTTACAATGAAACCAATCATGCAAGTAATTTGAAGTTGATTGTAATTGTATAAATAAAAATAATACGGATAATGGAGACCTATACAAACAAAATGTAATTTTAAGAGTCGAAAAATTTTGTAAACGAATACTTGGACAAAATGAAACAAAAAGTTTTTTTTTTTTTTACGACAAAAAAGGAAATGACCAATAATGTTATACGTTATATATGAAGTACCGGTGAGTGGAAATGAAAAAAGCAAATAAATAAATAAAGGAGAACGAATAATCGTATAAATAATAAAAAAAATAAATAAATAAAGAAACAAATACGCGTTATACTTCATTGATGTGTTGATGTATGTTGTAAGCTCTACCACCTCTTCTCGAATCCGAAGGTACGACGGCTAGATTTTCCAGAGAAATGATAGCTTCGTTATTGGGAACGCGCAATTCGGTGGTATCCGGTTGCGAGTAGAGAAAAGCCGTTTTATAGCCACGCGGGGGTTTTCCAATCGTTGCCGACTCCTTGAGTATGTTGTCCTGAGCGCTGAGCAACTGCTTAAACCTTTCCTCGTTTTTGTCCTGCTATCAAACAAAACGACATTGGAGATGGTGATTGCTCCACGAGTAAAATTATCAACGACAGCATTCATTCTGAACTTTGTCAAGGTCTACTATTCATACAATATATATATATACACCTACTGTAAAATTATACCCTTGGAACAAGCAATAAGAAATATAATCTGGAAAATGGCGTATAACGACATCGAAGCACGAAGAAAAGGCGAGCAAACGATCAGATAGGTATAACGATCGACAGAAGAGAAGAAGAAAAAGAAAAGTTTCCTATGCACTTGCCTCGCTTTCGCCCAAGACCGTTATGGTGCGTCCGTGTCTGCTGCTCGTGGCGGGCGCGTTAGTCGGGCGCTCCAATTTGTCGGATTCGCCGTTGGCGGCCGTAGCCTCGGGACCGCTGTTGGCGTGGTTGCTGAGCATACTCGTGACGTTGAGCCTCGGGGAGAGGCTCTGGGCCAGCCACTGCGACAACATTGCTATGCCCTGCTCGGCACTCGCCGACACCGCTGCTATCAACTCGTCGGTGTTTAAGCCCGTCTCCTCCTCATCCTCCTCGTCCTCGTCCTCCTCTTCCTCCTGAGGATGACCCTGCTCTGCCGGCCGTTTATTCTCCTCTTCCGTTCTGAGAATCATCGTTAGCTCTAGTTTTGTCAAGTAGTAGATACAAATCATTATACCGATCTTCCCCTCGACATGTACCAGCAAATGTTATTTTTCACAAATCGGCGCGTCGCTTAATTGAATTAAAATGCCAAAGTTTTCTACAACGATCTCACTCGGAAAGGGGGAAAGAAGAAGAAAAGAAAAAGGAATGATCGTAATCGTGGGAGTGATTCCATCGCGATTAAGTAGCACCGACTTGACCGGTTTTTATAATCGGCTGCCACGCGAGAGCGCGCAGTGAAAGTGGAACACCGGACAGCCGTCACGGATTGAGTATGCCATTTCGGGTGCGTGCGTTCTCGTACACCCGTGGTATGTATGTATGTATGTATCAAGTTGACGATTTGACACCGAGACCCACTGCTGTTGTTGATGACGATTAACGTGTGTATTGTACACGCTCATAGCAAATCGTTCATTGGACAAAGAACCGGCCATTGTCACCGCGCGGTAAAGTGAAATCGTGGCCATCGGGATTGTCCGTAAAATACCGTAAAATAAATATCTACGGCGCGATCGTTATAATAAACTGCGGCGCTGTTCCGAAAAACATCTATTTCACGGACTGTCTCCGAATGGCACTCGATCCAGTAATTTTTTTTTCTTTTCAACCACAGTGAAATCGTCACGCGGCACGACAAAATCGCCTTTTTTTCTTTTTGTATCGTTATACTTTTGCACCATCACTAATGTATAGAATAAAGTTGTTCAAAAGAAGCCAAGTTCCCCGAGAGTTGTTGGGCAAAAAAAAAAAAAAAAAAAAAAACAAAGTAGCGACGAGAGCTGCAGTGACGATAAAATATCGTGTAAATGTCGTACTAATGGGAGTCGGTGATGGACAACCAAGCGTTCGTACGCAAATGAGCAAGCCCTGCTCTGAAGGTTCATCCAACAAAGACTTACGCAAAGGGATGCTGCTGAGGAGGTTCGATCCGTCGCACCTGACCGCCGTTGAAATTGAAGCATCCCACGGGGTAGGTGATGTGGGACATGCCGAGCAGCACCGGCTCGATCACCAAACAGCCGTCGTAGCTCCCCTCCGACTTGGCAACCCTCATGGAGTCAAACTTGGCGCATATCTGGGCGAAATCCAAGAGCATGTTGATACACGTTGGCTTGTGGGCCGCCTGGGCTGCGGGAAAAGGGGATTATTGTGCGTTGGAGTATGAAAAAAAAAAAAAAAGAATCCACAGCTTACCGATGTCGATGGTTGCGTTGTGCACGGGATTGTCGGCGTAGCTCAGGTTGAGGGTGACGTTGCGCTCGCGTTGGCGCACGTTGACGCAAGCCGGGCCGCCCAGGTCGAGCGACTTGGTAAGGTTGAGCTCGACGCAGCAGAGACAGCCCGAGGCCTGGCACAGGCACTTGTTGTTGTTGCTGGACTCGGGGGCGCTATTAACCAGCTGCACCGCCAGCAGCACCAGCAGCATCAGGCCCCTCGTCGGCTTGTTCTGCATCTCTCTCTCTCGCGCGCGCGCGCTCTTTCTTTCTCCGATCGCTCTCGAGCGGGGGGCGAATCTCCCGAATCGCCGCCGGTGTCGGTAAAAAAAAAAAAAAATATAGCCAGGCACTCTCGGGAGAGTCTCGACGCCGCGGAGTCCGTTCTCGGAGTGCGACGCGCCGCGAGAGCCAAGCCAGCCGAGAGCAGTCCCACTGACCCGCTGACCCCGATACCCAGCCAACAACGACTCTCGTCTCCCCGGCCCACCACCACCACCATCCTTGTCCCGTTACGGAGAGATGAGCGCCCAGCCGCCATACCGTCACCCCATACATTAATATACACGTATACATACCTTGGGGCCCGCTACTCGACCGCTATACTTTCTCCTCGAGCGCTTCCACGTACCTAGGTATATATTATTCTCTAGGTGTAGAAAGGATAATATATGTATATGTGTACGCACTACCTGCTCGCTCGCTTCCTCGGTGCATGCACGGCCACCACCACTTGCTGCTCCTCCCTCTCCTGGAGAAAGAGAGTTTCGAGGAAACGGAGGAAAGGAGAGCAGGAGCCATCACCGGCCAGGCCCGAGGCTCAGTCGACTCCGGACCCCCAAAGATAACGCGCGCACCGACTCAACTGGTCACACGTACCTATCGTCTCCCTGAATCTGGGTCATCGGTGATATTATAGGCTCGGGCGTTGCGAGTTTTTTTTTCTTTTTTTTTTTTTTTTTTTTTTTTTTTTTTTTTTTNCTTCTTTTTTTTTTTTTTTCTCTCTCTCTCTCCTCCATTAAGTACCGTGCACGTAGGCACACCTATAGTTTGTCATACCGATTGTTCGATTTGCGACACGCACCGGGGCAGGATGCGCCTATCGACGATACTCGAGCTTTTGCTCATATTTCTGCTCATCGCTTTCGCCGCTTACGGACGGGTGATCGGTAAGTGTGTCTTTTGTACATCCCTATTTCTCTTCCCATTCGTTTGAAACACGTGCATGTGTATAGAGCCCGCGCTTTCGTTTTTAAGTTCCAGAAGGTCACGGCCGTGGCATCGAGAGCAGGAGCAAGTCGAGCGCCGGTGGTATCGCGTCCTTTAAACAGGCCGCCGAGAGAGTCAACCAGTACTGCACCTGTAGCGAGAAAATCTGCAATTGCTGCCATAGTTTGAAAATTTCGTTGATCCCGAGTCCCGGTTAGTCCGGCAAATCGCCATGTCTCGCTCATCGCGTTTACCGATTTTTCAATAATGTGGCTTTGTTCGTTGATTTTTCTCAGCTTGCGTGTCCCTGCAGTACCTGAAATCCGACAATCTGGCCATGCAACTGAGCCTCAGGGACAGCATACTGTCCAGCAACATATTTTACGGTAAAGTATATATACATACACGACACGCTGTAATTTTTGTTTTTTTCCAATGAATGAATAGTTACCAATGAATGTAATTTAGGTAAGAACCCGAAGCAGGTCTGCGCCACTATGCCGGGCAAGTACACGAAAGTGTGCGGCAGCATATACTCGATCAAGAGAGAAAGCAACAGTCACTTCAAAGCCTGTCTCGGGCTCGAGTTGAAGACCAATGGCAAAACGGACGCCAGAATGAGCGTGAGCTGCTTCAGGTATGGGACTTTATCTTCATGCGCGTTAAGCGTCTCATCTCCAATTGGCCATGAAAAAACGATTCTTCGTTTAGATTCGGCCCCGACGGAATCAAACTTCGAGCTGCCGAGCCACTGCCTCCGCTCTCAACGAAGGTCCCTTCCTCTTCCGACGATGACTACGACGACTTCTTTGCAATCGACGAGGACGACGACGACGACGACGACGACGAAGAGGACGAGGAGGAAGACGACGACGATGACGAGCAAAAGGCACGGCCGGAGGACAGCGCGGTATCCTCGGACGCGGAGGACGAGGACGAGGACGACGACGACCTCCTCGGGTTCACCAATTTATTTGACATCTTGACCGGCGAGGAAGACGTGGAAAATAAGAAAAAACCAGCCACCACTACCACCACGACCACGACCCTACCGTCGTCCTTCGTCATACCGATCCTGCCGGGCGCTACGTCGACCGAGACGCCGCTGGTCGAAGCCAACAGCGTAGCTCCGACCACGGACGCCTCGGCCGTGTCTACCGTTTCGGCTCAGTCGAGCTCCAGCGACCTGGACGCGGAAAAGGACAATAACGAAGCTGCTAGCTCGACCGACGAGTATCCCCCGGACTCGACCACTTTGAAACCAACGAGCGACGCGAACAACGAGGAAGCCACCAGCGCGGAAATGGGCGTGACCGTGCAGGAAGCCAGCGCCACCGAGGAAGCCAACGCGAAGGCCCCCCCGAGGGTACACCTCGCTAACAAGCTCAAGAAGAAGCCGGGGAGCGTCGCCCACAAGGACAAGGTCAGTCTGTCGTCACAGAGCGCCAACGCCATAAAGAACGACGACAAGAAGCCAGGCCAGCACGGCGAGGAGGATGAAGACGAGGACGAGTACGACTACAACAGCGAAGCCGACGACAGCGACGAGGAGGAAGAGGAGACCGCGGTGGCTGAGGAGCCCCAGAGCGAGGGTGACGACAAGAAGCCGGAGGCGGAGGCGAACGAGGACGACGAGGACGAGGAGGAGTCCGAGGAGGAGGAGGACGCGGTTCTGAGTGCCCTGGTCGACGAGGAGGAAGAGTCGGAGGGGGAGAAGAACAAGACCAACAAGCTCGTCGACGGTGGCAAGGTCGCGGTCAAGAAGACGGACAAGTCGTCGCTGGAGGACGAGTACAACGACGAGAGCGACGAAATCGACGAGCTGCTCGCGAGGCAGCATCGCCAGCCCGAGAGCGAGACCGTGGGACCGGTGAGGTCCGCCAGGCAGAGCAAAGTCATGAGATTCTAAATGGCACTGTTTTTTTGTACGATTATTCTTGCGATTGATCCATCGAAAAAAAAAAAAAACAAAAAAAAAAAAGAAAACAAAAAAAAAAGGACGTACATGCTATAGGGATTACTTTGTACAGCCGTTATATTTTTACGTGAGTGCAGTGCAAGCGACAACACATTCGCAAATATCTAGGTGTACAAGTGGCACACGACTGTTTGTTTGTTTATTTATTTATTTATTTATTGTATGTGCTCCTTCTCATGTGTGTTCTTTTAATTTGCGTGTAATTTATTTATTTATTTGTCGCTTTTAAGATACGTCATTGTTGTTAATTAAAATTAAACTTTTTTTTATAATATCAAGGTGTTTTTCATACATACACGTTTATTTTGACCTACATAAAGTGCAACCAATAAAAGACCCGTTTGAATTCAAACGTAGAAACGATATTTGAAACCCGATGATTTTCGGCTCATCGATGCTTTCGATTTCCTTTCTAATTTGGAACTCCATTTTTGCATGGCTACACCAAAAGTAGCACATCACATATTGTTGTCGCGGCTTTCCAATTCTTTGAGTAACGTGCGTTATGTCGGTACACAAGAGCGTTAACCCTCTAACGTGCCACTTTGCCGCTTTCTCTTCTTCTCTGGGTGCCTCGTGCATACGTGTAACTGTTATTTATCGCGCTGACTCTTGTTTCTCGAACCTTCTTTGAATATGAAAGAATTTTCTTTCTTTTTTTTTTTTCGAAAGAGACTTTGAGTGATGGAGACACGTTAATAATCTCGTTCGGAGGAAAAACAAGATTAGTATTTCTTTTTTTTTTTACGCGCATTCTCCAGAGAGAAGAATATCTTACTTCCGAGCGTGGTATTTATAAACTTGAACTTGATTTAGTACCGAGTGAAAGTTGCATGACCTAAAGGTAAAGTGAAAGCAAGCACGCGTCAGCTTCGAAATCCGGTTTAAATTTTTACCTTCGATTTACGTCATCACCAAATCGAACGAGAATACGTATACCTATACAATCGAGTGCTAATTTTGTCCTCCAGTTGAACAACGCAATTTACGAAACTGACTGGTGCATCCGTACAATAATTATGTGGATTGACAATTAGCATTTATATTTTATATGCGATACGAAAAATAGATCTACTTTTTGTTTTCCATCACGTGACTGCGCACTACAAACGGCACCTGTGGTCTATTTGAAATTATTGTACTGTTACTTTAGAGATCTCTTTTTTTTTATTTTTAGGCTCTGCCACCAAGTAAGCATTGACAAAAAAACAGTTTGATGGCGAAATGTACGTTTCTTACATTCATTGATTTTTAGATATTTGTGAAAAATTTGACAGAAAAGGTGATAAACAAGACGGACAGGAGAATAAAAATTGGTTTTAAATACGTTTAATCAAACAGTTATCATTCTTGATATTCCCTGTACATTTTGTATACTGAACGTTTTTTAGGTAATTTTGTAAACTTGATGAAACAACTTAAAATTAATTCAAGTGATGAATAAAATTTATGCTAAGAGAATGTGATTGAAGCCTTTCTAGTTTTACTCCATTTATTCCTTCTTGCTGCCAGACCACTCGCTAAATTTCGTGGCTGCCCACGCCGGGAAAATTAATGGTACTGCGAGTAAGAATAGCCCGTGTAATACTTTTTCCTGTAACAAATAAAAATTATTTTTTACCAACCGGACAAAATTTTTCAGCGGAGTTTGCTCAATGCATGAAAAAAACTCAATGAATCTTTAAGCAGCCAGCTTAAAGTAGTGTGCAATTTTGGCACCGGCTTACAGCACAAAAAATAATGTAAAATGCCGAAAATAATGGGTTTCGGGGAAAAACCAAACTGTTAAGGTTGGAATTTTGTTTTTGCAAATTAAATTAATAGTGTAAAGTCAAGGCGTTATGTGTAACGCTTTCGTTGCTGAAAATAAAATGCAAGGGTGAAAACCAAAATTGGGAAGTATAATTTTTTTATCTGGAATTAAAACTCAAAGGGTAAAACCAAACTGTGGAGATACAATATAATTAATGATTTCTGCATTGAGAGTAAAAGATGATATGGATGTGAGCTACCATCTTTACAAACTTGTATTTAAAAAGTTATTTACGTGGTGTATTGTCTGGGACAAAGAAATTTTTAGGGAATTTTGTTGTATCGTCTTTGATCTCTGACCATTTTAAAATTTATAATTTCCAAACATGAATAGTTAAACTTTTAGGTAATCCGAATTATTACTCGATATAACAAGCTTATTCAAATTATAAGTAGATGAGCATATAAACAAGTAAAAGTCAGAATTGATCAAGAATTATATCAAGTGTAAAAAAATATTTTTGTGTATCTAGACTGATGACCTGAATATGTTAAAAAAAAAAAATAAGAAAAAGAAACATTTAAAGAAAAATGGAANAAAATTGAAAGCTGCAATGATATTACAACTGAATTTTCATGCTATGGTATAAGTAAAAGTGCTCAAGCATCACTAAATCTTACAGTACTTTTAACCTTTAATACCTTTTATGAGAGAAAATAGAAGAAACTCTTTGGTCAAAAAATTGTATGCCTACTTATTAATTTTTTTAGGTCAGAAAAGTTACGTCCAGTATAAACATACTTTGATCATCCTTTAAATACTAGAGATAATATAGAAAATTTATTGAAATCTAGTCCTTTTTATTCTTGTATTCATCAAAATGAAGCATAACCCATATTGGTGTAGCCATCACACATAATATCATGAAAGTTGCATGTGCTATTTTTTCCTGTTGAAAAAATAAATTTAACTGGAGTACAAATAATATTCTACAATCACAAAACTTCTAATAGAACTACAGTTCAATCGTTATCTGTGAACAATACATGTAACATTTTATCATAATATGCTAAAGATGCTTGCCAAGTATCAAGTATATTGATACAACAATACTGTTTAGTTTAAGAATCTTTTTAAATAACAATTCTGCATCAAGTATAAAAAAATTTTTTTCTATTCGTTAATTGTAATAAGCAAGTTTTATTTTGGATTAAAAACCCATTTAGCTGTTTAAATATATCTTTAAGAGATTTGACATTAAATTTAGGATCACCATGAAATACTTGAATTGGTAAAATTTATGAGCTAAATAATAACTACTGTAAAAACCTTTTTTATTCAAAATCATGACCATTAAAAAATAGTTGAAATATTTATAGACGTGTACTCTGTAATTCAAGTTACAATAATCAATAGTTAAAGAAACACACAATGTACTGGCTTTGACTTTTAGATTAGAGATATCTTACAGAGACATTAAGTAATTTAGAATAAATTGAGATTAAATGATTGAAAACCCGTTAAATACGTGAATAACAATTTTTGTACTCGTATACAATAGCGAATTTATAGCCCAGCAAGTGTACCATGACAGATAATGCGCGATATTATTCTTACCAATACATAACCTAAGACGAGCTTTTGCCAAACACTGTAATCAAGCTGGATTAAAAAAAAAAATAGATGTGATTTTCAACCAATATTATTAGTACTCTTGGTAATCATTGCTGTTTAGGCGCATCGTTTGACTTGTTTGTCAGGTCGAGTTTGTACAAATCGCCCTGGTTACATAATTGACGAAAATAAAGAGCAGACGGAAAGTCAAGGGGATCCTTACCGGCGTAGAGATCTTGTTCCTTGGCTTTGTGCCGATGATGTGTTCTTTGCGGACCTGCTGGCTCATCACATTAACGAGCCTGGGCGAGTTTCCCGCGATCTTCTGAAGGGCAAACATTTTTTGACTTTGCTCTGGGAGTTTGTTTTCTGTTGATCTCGAGACTTGAACGACTGGCTTACGCACGCCTGGAAATTCGATCGACAGACAGAAAGAGAGAGAAAGAAAATTGAGCTCTGCGCTTGCGTGGCGAGCCTCGGTACATCGGTGTTCGGTAGTTCGGTGTGTTCTTTGATTGTTTTTTAAATCGTTTACTTATAAAATTTTTTTAGTTATGAGATAACTAGGTATTTGCAATTTAATTGACTATAATGTGTTTATAAAAGTTTATTGATTATATTAACTAAGCCCAAAACAAACTGGTTTTAAACAATGACTGTTCTCGCATTGTCACAAATTTTCATTGATTTCTTCCTTAATTTTGCACAATACAATTTTTTTTAATATTAACAAGTTAGTGACCTTAATAATAATTCTGGCTAGTTAGTAATTTAAAAGTGGCGCTGACTTAATGCTACCAACGATGGAATCGCATTGAACGTCGGAAAATAGGGAATTTTCATTGAACGCTCAACTTCATAAGTTTAAGTACATCTATTTATTAGCAACAAAACTACAGATATTACATGTAAAAAAAAGTGCAATCAGTACTTGCTAATTGACATCATCCCTTTAGCCAATAAAAAGTGAATTGAATTTCAAAAGAGTTTTTTTGAAGTAATGTAGGGAATTTCTGATCTAAAACAAAACTATGGAATTTCCCCCAGAATTATTCGCGAGAGAAATGGCTTCGCCCATAACTGCAGTCGGAGCCTCGGGGCGAAACTCTTTTGATTAAATCTCGTGAAAATCACCGCTTCGCAATAAAAAATGCGACGGGGAGGACAAGGGGGCCAGTTGTGGATGAAATAAATATAAATCGTCTCAAGTGTTGGCAGTACTCAGTGACACTCTCACGTCACGCGTGACATATACTCACGTCATGCGTCAAATCGAATAAACAAAACATATCAAAGCCAGCTGTCAGCAGACGTTTGCTACAGTGTTTGACACTTTTTGTCGCAGTGGAGCGTTTGATTGACGTTACAGTTTCCGCAGCTTGATTTCTACTTGTATGTAACGAAATCTCGAGGTAAGACTGCATTTCGGAGTTTGCGTTCTCTTGCACGGCATGTTTTGGTGTATGCGTCTGTCACACAGCTGTCAGTCACGTGTACAAAAGATTATTTACAGCTTGAAATTTTTTAGATATCGAGCATGGAGAGAAGACTGCAGGGAGTAGGAGATTGGAGTAAACAACTCTTTAGGAGGTACAGGATGACCAAAATCAGGTGAGCACAGTAGCCATGAAGTCTCCGCCAACTCAGCCCCAACTCAACGGGTGTGGGGGTCTTGTCTCCAAAGCAGTTAAGAACGGGGGAGACAGCAATGCTCATCTCTCCCGTACATTCAAAGCAAATAACTACATCAATGGCAGTGCTAAAATTGGCAAACAGCAACTGGTTTCTCTGAATGGAGATTCGATACGCTGCAACAGCGTGGAGAGCGACGAGGCTCTGGCGTGTGACGTTGCCCCTGTGCCTATTAAAACCAAAACCAAGGCATTATGCGTACACATAAGAGAAAACAAGTGGTACGATGCTGGCAATGTGGTATCTGTGGGAGTGGCAGGAACCAGTCTGAATGAGGCACTCGAAAGCATGTCGTTGGCTTATAGTCCAACGACAAAGCAAATATATTCTCTGGAGGAGACCCAAAGCCCAAACGACAGAGACTCCTCCAAATCCAACGACTCCCTACGGCTAGATGTGGACTCCTGTTCTGCCAAAGATGAGCTCCAAAACAACAGTGGCAACAACAGTCCAGCAGGCAGTTTGCATCGCTCCTGCAGTAGCACAGTGTCCTCCCTCAGTGAGTGTTCAGCCTCCCACAGTTTTCTGGGCAACGAGGAGTCTCCCCTTTCTCCCAACAAATCCAAGCTCTGGGCTCTCAACTCTGGGTTCATAAAAAACGTGTTCTCGTGGCGAAGCGGTACCAAAGATCAGCCAGAGCCACAAAAGTCGCCCACGGCGAGCACCAGTCCGTCTCGCAACTCCGACAAAATCGGCGGCAGCCTCGCCCTCATCCAACAGTGTCGACCTGCCAATTTGCCGGCCAAGAGCGCTCTCGAGGAAGAAGAACACAGACGCCAGTACAACGCGATCCTCGAAGCAGCACGAAAACGCGAGCAACGCGAGGAACGAGAGCGACGCTTGCAACGGGAGCAACAACTCCGCGAAGAGGAGCGTCTAGCGGAGGACTCGCAGGTCTGGGTCGGTCAAGTGCTGCCGCGTTTTGACGCGCTCAAGGAGACGCGTCGAGTGCGCGATCTCTGGTGGCGGGGTCTGCCACCCAGCATCCGAGGCCGAGTCTGGCGGCTGGCCATCCGCAACAGTCTCAACGTGACGAGCCAGCTGTACGCGCTGTGCCTCGACCGAGCCTTCGCTCAACCGCACAGCGAGGCCGTGGCGGCGATCCGACTGGACGTGGCGAGGACCTTCCCGACCCTCTGCGTCTTCCAGGAGGGTGGCCCGCTCTCGGAGAATCTCAGGAATGTACTGGCTGCCTATGCGGTCTACCGACCGGACATCGGCTACGTTCAGGGCATGAGCTACATCGGGGCTGTCTTGTCGCTAAACATGGAAGCCTCGGTCGCGTTCACCTGCTTCGCCAACTTGCTGAACCAGCCCTGCCATCTGGCAGCCTTTACGCTGGACCAGCGGCAGATGAATGCCTATTACAAGGCCTACTCGAACGCCCTGGCCAACAAGCTGCCCAAGGTTTACACCCACTTTGTCGCGGCGGGCCTCAGTCCTGATCTCTATCTGCTCGACTGGCTGTACACGATATACGCCAAGGCGATGCCTCTCGACGTCGCCTGTCGCGTCTGGGACATGTTTCTACGCGACGGGGACGAGTTTCTGTTCAGAACAGCTCTAGGAGTGCTGCATTTGTATCAGGACGAGCTGCTTGACATGGACTTTGTCCGAGGCGCCCAGTTCCTCACCCGGCTGCCGGAAAACATTCAGGCGGACACGCTGTTCAACAGTATTAGCCAGGTGTCGACGACCGTTGGGACGACCAGCTTCCAGCAAATGCTGGAACAGATATTGGCCAGCACGTAAGGATGTATAGGGCACTCGTTATTTATATTTTTGCTTTTCCACGGTACGTAGCGTGGAAAGTTCCATAGTGGATAAGGATTTTATTTTTTTTAATTTTAAAAAATTTTTTTTTTTTTTTTTATGCTTCGATCAACCTGGAGCTTAGCACGATTGACCCGATTGTATCGTCGGGCATGCCAAGAATGGCGCATGCTTTAATTGTATAAATATGTAAATAAGCTTTGGAAATTTTTATTTAAAAAAAAAAAAAGGAAAAGAAAAAAAAAGACCAATCATACTTTCAGATTTATATTTATTAATCAACTATTAAGTTTTAATGATAATTTTTTACAAATGCATGGATATATTAATTTATATTTTAAGTTGGACATTTTTAGGTATATTAATAATTGTCGGCAAATTTAATGTAACTTTAAAAGCTTATAACGAATCCCGGATGGAACTTTCTAACTGGGAAAAATTTGAACAAAAATCGCTGATCGATTGCCACGTTATAGATACATACTGTATGGAGGAAATGTGTACACTGCGTGCATGTACTCTGATTTTGGTGCCAAGTTTCCTCTGTATGCGTATTTTTATCGTTTACAACAATGGAAGGGAATCTCGGTAGTTTTTTAAATCTTTACACATCTTTTTTAAACAATGTAATGATGTTTGAGCAAAACGACCTAGTGTATGAGGTTTTTAAAAAGTATCCAAGGATGGATTTTTATTTTTCAACAAAAATCATTTTCAAGATGATTTTGTATTTCAATTATTTGTAGCAATTTAGTCCTTACGGGAGTAGTAATACTATTTTAAGATTTATTACAATATCAAGCTATGAGCCAAAGAGTATATACTATAAAAATTGAGAGCTGTGTTTTTGATATGACGAAAAAAAAATATACAAGAAGGTGCTTCGGTAATTTTTTATTTCTGTAGTTTTTTCCTTGAACGTAAATAAATTCAATTATATTGGTTTAATTGAAATTTCAAAATTGTATGAGATTGTAAATCAATCAATTGCCTCAGTACCCGTAAAAAGCACTTGTCTCAAGCAAGGGATCGACGAATAAGAAAATCTACCGTACGAGGAAAAAAAACCACGTGATCGAGATTAGATTATCATTGGTTGGTTTATTTCAATCATCCAAAGGGTGAAAATATTTTTCTAATAAATTAAACGAAGGAGGGCTAGGTGTAGTTTTGCTTCATTAAAAACGTGTAGCGCTGCAGTTTTGCAAAACGAAAAAAGTACTCCGACGCTATTATAAGAGAAAACGCGACTGTCGTGTAAAACGAAACATGTTCTCCCCGTTAGTAAGAAAACAAAGAAAGCATTAATAAAATTAATGAACAAATAAAAAAAAAAACGCGTATAGCAAAAAATTAATAGTACATGTAAGTTTTACGTCTATATTTACATACTCGCAAGAAAAAAGCAAAGCAATGTGAAACAAAAATTATTTTCAATTGTATCAAGTGATACATGTACACCCGCGTACTCGTGAGAACAAAAAATAATGCAAAGTTAAGATTTCAACTAGATCTGCTTTAAAACCGTCCTTAATTTAAGAAGGTAAATTCACACTATTGTGCACGCACTTGCGAATTAAACAAACGAAAAAAAAAACAAAAAAACAAAAAAACATACGTTTGGCTAAAAAGAGCATCGTGTGCACTTTTATTTGCATACTCGCAATACGGACTCTGTAGGTGTACGTAATTCAATTCTATTTTGATCTGTTATCCGATACTCGAACAGAAAAAAAATATACGAGGAGTTTTATCGAATCTTCATTTTATTGCTGTTGAATTTTCATAAGTTTCGCGATGAAAACGCCCACTATCCGCCTAATGTACGTATATATTTCTTATACCCAACCCTTATAATATATATATATACTTACACGATGCCACACAATACATCGTACGCATAAAAATAAATCACCCGAAATGTGATCTTGGCACTCGAAGAGTATAGGTATAACATAAAGAGAGGAACATGAAATCGCACTAATGGCCCTTGGTGCCATCATATAAATATATTATCATGTATACGTGTATAAAAGTAAATAACCGCTGTTTTTGCTGTTGTTTCGTTCGAAGGGCTCTTCTTACTACTGTCACTTCTACTCCTACTTTATTTATGTATACACTAAATTACTTCCACTCGCTGCGTACGCGAACGCATGATTTTTCAGTTTGAGATGAAACACGTCCCGAAATGAAAAATGCAATAGATTTCGGACGTAAAAACATACCCTCGAAGAAGAGACCAAGAATACATTGAATGGGTATTTCTTACCCAATTGTTCTCAACATTATTTAACCTCTATAAATTAATTTTTCACAAATTATTGAAGATAACAAAGTTATATGGAATTTATTAGTACAATTCAATTTTTTAAAAATGTCATGGATTTTGTTGATAGTAAAAGGTCCCACCAGATGCTTCCTAGTGATCCATATCTATTTTCATACTTACGAAGGTCTTTTGCGTTTTCAGACTAAATGTTAGTTTTCGTGCGCTATCATTATATGACACTGCGCTGAGCGCAACGAATAATCGAATGTATGCGTGTGAGATGTGACTGTTGCAAGCCAACCTTTTTTTCTCACGTACGAGAATGGAAAAAAAAAAAAAAAAAAAAAAAAAAAGCATCGCCGGTTTCGTTTAAAGAAGGTCTCGAGAAAAGTGTGCAATGACGTTTGCCCCTCGCTCTTGCCAAGTATGATAAGGCTTGCTTCGTCAAATCGGACGAAAGAAGAAGATACGATTGGCCTGCACGCGCGTTCGAGTGTAATCACGAAGACTGAATTTATTATTACGATTGTTCGAGACGACATACGTATAGGTGTTTGCTAAAGTTAGCTTATCCTTGTATAATATGCAAGAGTGTTTCGTTTCGAAATGTCGCTCGAGACCTTCGACAGCACATCTGCCAGAAAAAAAATGAAGTATTGTAGTACCTGTTGGTCTCGCTACATGATTTTTCTTTTAAACTTTTTACAAACAAAAAAATTAATAAATTTCAATAAAAAGTTCAACGCCCGAGAGATACAATTCGAATGCGCACTTAATAGCTTCACTCGAAGGAAAAAAAAAAAATTTTACTTAATTGAAAAAAGTTACAAAAACAGTGTTGGAAAGTAAAAAAGAAAAATAAATTAAAAAATCGGCATTATTGCCATTCGCTCTCGGCATTCCTAGCATGTCCAGCAGCACAGGCGGTTAAAACGCTGCCAAAGCGTGCAACCTTTTCCCGATTGTATCGTCGGGCATGCCAAGAATGGCGCATGCTTTAATTGTATAAATATGTAAATAAGCTTTGGAAATTTTTATTTAAAAAAAAAAAAAGGAAAAGAAAAAAAAAGACCAATCATCCTTTGTCTGTAAGCGCCAGCGTACTGTTATTTTTCTAAAAATCGTCATCGCTCTTGGTGTATATTGTTCTCCTGTCTTGGGTAAGTCGCGCTTGGCACATCGTTCCTACCTCAAGGAAGTAAAACTAATTGCATAGAAAGTTGTACCTTTTGCGAAAGATGTGTGTGCCTAATGAAAAACAAAAACAAAAACAAAAAAAATGAACACGAAGATGAAGGGAAAATATACGCTCGTCCTTCCATCTCGTACGAATATAACCATAGTATCGTATAACCGTAAGCTATGTGCATATCCTTATCAACTTGAAGTATATATGATGGTATATATAACGACACTCTGTGTGCTACTCTATGTACATGTATTATTAAAAATAAGTATCAAGCGGACAATACTCGAAAGCCAGCCAAATTTCGTGTGTGAACATGACAATGGTACGTTTCTTTGCACGCGTGTATGAGATTTAAGGACGAATCAGTAAAAAAAAAAAAAAAAAAAAAAAAAAAAAAAAAAAAAAAAAAAAAAAAAA